ACCAAGACAGCTGTGAACACGACTACTACACCAAGACAGCTGTGAACACGACTACTACACCAAAACAGCTGTGAACACGACTACTACACCAAGACAGCTGTGAACACGACTACTACACCAAGACAGCTGTGAACACGACTACTACACCAAGACAGCTGTGAACACGACTACTACACCAAGACAGCTGTGAACACGACTACTACACCAAGACAGCTGTGAACACGACTACTACACCAAGACAGCTGTGAACACGACTACTACACCAAGACAGCTGTGAACACGACTACTACACCAAGACAGCTGTGAACACGACTACTACACCAAGACAGCTGTGAACACGACTACTACACCAAGACAGCTGTGAACACGACTACTACACCAAGACAGTTGTGAACACGACTACTACACCAAGACAGCTGTGAACACAACTACTACACCAAGACAGCTGTGAACACGACTACTACACCAAGACAGCTATGAACACAACTACTACACCAAGACAGCAGTGAACACAACTACTACACCAAGACAGCAGTGAACACGACTACTACACCAAGACAGCCGTGAACACAACTACTACACCAAGACAGTTGTGAACACAACTACTACACCAAGACAGTTGTGAACACAACTACTACACCAAGTCAGCTGTGAACACAACTACTACACCAAGTCAGCTGTGAACACAACTACTACACCAAGACAGTTGTGAACACGACTACTACACCAAGACAGCTGTGAACACAACTACTACACCAAGACAGTTGTGAACACAACTACTACACCAAGACAGCCGTGAACACGACTACTACACCAAGACAGCTGTGAACACAACTACTACACCAAGACAGCTGTGAACACGACTACTACACCAAGTCAGCTGTGAACACAACTACTACACCAAGACAGCCGTGAACACAACTACTACACCAAGACAGCTGTGAACACAACTACTACACCAAGACAGCAGTGAACACGACTACTACATCAAGACAGCTGTGAACACAACTACTACACCAAGACAGCAGTGAACACGACTACTACACCAAGACAGCTGTGAACACGACTACTACACCAAGACAGCAGTGAACACAACTACTACACCAAGACAGCTGTGAACACAACTACTACACCAAGACAGCAGTGAACACGACTACTACACCAAGACAGCTGTGAACACAACTACTACACCAAGACAGCCGTGAACACAACTACTACACCAAGACAGCCGTGAACACAACTACTACACCAAGACAGCTGTGAACACAACTACTACACCAAGACAGCAGTGAACACAACTACTACACCAAGACAGCAGTGAACACGACTACTACACCAAGACAGCTGTGAACACAACTACTACACCAAGACAGCAGTGAACACGACTACTACACCAAGACAGCTGTGAACACGACTACTACACCAAGACAGCCGTGAACACGACTACTACACCAAGACAGCAGTGAACACGACTACTACACCAAGACAGCCGTGAACACGACTACTACACCAAGACAGCTGTGAACACGACTACTACACCAAGACAGCTGTGAACACGACTACTACACCAAGACAGCTGTGAACACGACTACTACACCAAGACAGCTGTGAACACGACTACTACACCAAGACAGCTGTGAACACGACTACTACACCAAGACAGCTGTGAACACGACTACTACACCAAGACAGCTGTGAACACGACTACTACACCAAGACAGCTGTGAACACGACTACTACACCAAGACAGCTGTGAACACGACTACTACACCAAGACAGCTGTGAACACGACTACTACACCAAGACAGCTGTGAACACGACTACTACACCAAGACAGCTGTGAACACGACTACTACACCAAGACAGCTGTGAACACGACTACTACACCAAGACAGCTGTGAACACGACTACTACACCAAGACAGCTGTGAACACAACTACTACACCAAGACAGCTGTGAACACGACTACTACACCAAGACAGCTATGAACACAACTACTACACCAAGACAGCAGTGAACACAACTACTACACCAAGACAGCAGTGAACACGACTACTACACCAAGACAGCCGTGAACACAACTACTACACCAAGACAGTTGTGAACACAACTACTACACCAAGACAGTTGTGAACACAACTACTACACCAAGTCAGCTGTGAACACAACTACTACACCAAGTCAGCTGTGAACACAACTACTACACCAAGACAGTTGTGAACACGACTACTACACCAAGACAGCTGTGAACACAACTACTACACCAAGACAGTTGTGAACACAACTACTACACCAAGACAGCCGTGAACACGACTACTACACCAAGACAGCTGTGAACACAACTACTACACCAAGACAGCTGTGAACACGACTACTACACCAAGTCAGCTGTGAACACAACTACTACACCAAGACAGCCGTGAACACGACTACTACACCAAGACAGTTGTGAACACAACTACTACACCAAGACAGTTGTGAACACGACTACTACACCAAGACAGCTGTGAACACGACTACTACACCAAGACAGTTGTGAACACAACTACTACACCAAGACAGCTGTGAACACGACTACTACACCAAGACAGTTGTGAACACAACTACTACACCAAGACAGCTGTCAACACGACTACTACACCAAGACAGTTGTGAACACAACTACTACACCAAGACAGCTGTGAACACAACTACTACACCAAGACAGCTGTGAACACGACTACTACACCAAGACAGTTGTGAACACAACTACTACACCAAGACAGCTGTGAACACGACTACTACACCAAGACAGTTGTGAACACGACTACTACACCAAGACAGCTGTGAACACAACTACTACACCAAGACAGCAGTGAACACAACTACTACACCAAGACAGCTGTGAACACAACTACTACACCAAGACAGCTGTGAACACGACTACTACACCAAGACAGCTGTGAACACAACTACTACACCAAGACAGCTGTGAACACGACTACTACACCAAGACAGTTGTGAACACGACTACTACACCAAGACAGCTGTCAACACGACTACTACACCAAGACAGCTGTGAACACAACTACTACACCAAGACAGCTGTGAACACTACTACACCAAGACAGTTGTGAACACAACTACTACACCAAGACAGCTGTGAACACAACTACTACACCAAGACAGCTGTGAACACGACTACTACACCAAGACAGTTGTGAACACGACTACTACACCAAGACAGCTGTCAACACGACTACTACACCAAGACAGCTGTGAACATGACTACTGTACATCTGCGAACATGACTACTGTACATCTGCTCCGGGCAGCGCCGTGGGATCGCACGGACACACAAGGCGCTCTCTGTTGTGCGTGTAACCTCTCGGTGGGCGACCTCACCCCACAGCCCCCATCTCTCCCCCCCCACTGCCGAGGAAAATATCGTCGAATAAACAAACGCAGCTGCTCCCTCGCCTCGTCAACCCCTCCAACTTTCACAAAGCTCGCAAGTCCACCAGTGGAATGTCACCCGTAGGGCACGCGTCTCTGCCGCGAGTTGCAATAACCATGAGAATTCGCACGACCATGCCGATCCCGCCTTCGTTGCGGAGGACTGCCGCCGAGGGCTGTGATTTTAATCGGGTACAGTAATACGAATCGAACTGAAGCACATCTATATGTGGCACGCACGCGAATGGACGAAGTGCGGTGCTGGAGAGCGCTCGGTGTGCGTTTGAGAGACACGTGTTGAGCGTGAGCCGTTGCGTATACGATGTGCATTGTTTGCCTGCTCCACTCGCAGGCTATTTTATCCGTGAACTGTGCCCCGCTCACCGATGCCAAGGTCTCAAGTCAACCGTGCGCCAGGCGCAAAGAGTACAGCGGCTGTCTAGGACGAAATTTCTCAATTTTCATTTTATTGGTTATTTCGGTAAAGTCATGTATAGAGAAAATAACAATTAAAAAATTCAATAAAAAATAAAAAATACAATACATTGAAAATAATAAAAGCAAAAAACCCACGACGTTTCGATCGCAAAACAAGCGGTCTTCATCAAGATGAATTATTATTTGTTATTTAATGTTATTATTTTTTATACATTTTTATTTTATTTGTATTTTCTATCTACGTGACTTTACCGATATGAATTCCTGCAGTCACGAAAGTTTTAAGTCAAAATTTCACAATATTCACTTTAAGATTCGAGAGTACTGTATATGTATTTTTAAAAAAGTACATTTAAAAAATATTTATTTTCATTCCTAAGTTTTCCATATCTTTCCCTCATTTTATAGTAACATCATATCCAAGGGTTCTAGATTTGAAGCTTTCGTGACTGCAAGGATTCATACTCTTAGGCTTTTTCGGTAAAGTCACGTAGGTAAAAATAAAAATAGAAAATAAAATAGAAAATAATAGTAATGAATGAAAATAAATCAATTAAATCACGACGTTTCGGAGGCAACACAAACACAAGCTTCCTTCATCAGGTGTAAAAAGGCACGGCAAAATAACGTTATTTTGCCTCCGAAACGTCGTGATTTAATTGATTTATTTTAATTTATTACTATTATTTTCTATTTTATTTTCTATTTTTATTTTTACCTACGTGACTTTACCGAAAAAAACCTAAGAGTATAATATATCCAAGGGTGTTTTGTGGAAGCCCCAGGTTGAATTGTAGGCTATGCGAAGAAAATCAATAAAGCTGGCAGTCAGTGAGCCAGAGGTCCTGATACTCACTCAAATACACAATCTTCATTAACCCTTGCCGATAACATAAAAACACGCATGAGAATTACATTATCGGTAATGGTCCTTTCTCTCAATTGTCCAATAAGTCACTCTCATATTTTATTCCTGTTATAATGCGTAGTTTATGAAGAGGTTGGCGAATTTTATTCGATTCATGATTAGGCACCACTGTCTCACCCCCCCGCAATCTGCTTATTTATAAATGTATGTACCCCTTGACCATATGCCACTGAAAAGGATTAATCCTGGGCCCACACACCTGGCCGTGAGGAGGTCCTGCAGGTGTCGCCAGCCGTCAGCCACCTTGTTCAGCTTGTACTCAATCTCTGAGGCTGTGCTTTCACTGCTGGCGCCCATAAGGAGCCGTCCCATTTCGTCCAGATGCACGTGGTGCTGGGCGCCCGCGTTCATCTCCTGCTGGTGCTCCTGGGTGATACGCAGCAGCACAAAGCGCAGAAGAGGCTGTGGAGGTACTCGAGCTGTCGTCTTCCTTGACACAAAGCAGTGCAAGCATTTATTTGTGCAAAAGTGTAGTTGTATACACACACCTTTTGAAGTTTTTCAAGCATCTCCTCAATGCTCACATCTCCGTTGTGTGTCACCTTGCTCTCCATCTGCCCGAGCCACTCGCACAGCTTTTTGTACTTCTCATTGAACAGGGACCACTTGTTCAGCCTCTCAGTTATCATCTGCTTGCGTATGGACACCTGAATCGACATTTATAAAATAAGATTATCTCCAGCCCAAAGAGACTCACATGTTCTAGGAGGCCAAAGCTACAGCAGCATATGCAAAATGATACAAAGACAAATATCCCCCATATAGCCTTAACAGACTGTTGGGGCAAGTGCTGTTCACGAGCATCTATGAAGGCCGGCACGGCACAAAAGGGGGTGGGTGGCCAGCACCACGCCCGGCCGCCTTTGTCTCCCCAGTGGAGATGTTTACACATCGCACCAGGAATTAATTTAAGGCTGAGTCGACCTATTGGAAGCTCTGGACCGATTAAGATAATCGTCATTGGTGTTGGCCATGAGCGGGAATCGAACTTGGGTTGCTGGGATCATAGTGCAGCGCACCAACTGTTGCACGACCACTCCTCACGGTATACACAGACACACATAGAACACACCACATACACATCAATAGTTTTTATATATTTGTAACTTACTTTAGCTCAGAAGTATTAATTGCAAAGTAGGGTATATGCTTAAGGCTGGTATTTATTTTCATGGTAAAACCGGGTATTCTGTTACCTTATACGTTGGAAGGTGTGCTTATCATCATGATTAGGTCGGTGATCTTTTTTTCTCAAATAGAGAGGGTGTTTTATTGTGTTTGTGGATAGTAATGTGATCCTGACCAAATATGTGTGGCGACGTGCTTCATTAACCTGACACGTTCAGACAAACTGTTACGTAGTGCATAAGCGTTTTAACGTTCCACTAATTACTGTTTATTGTGTATAGTACTATACTTGCAATAAGCATGACGTTTTGTCAGATCATTACCTGGCCTAACTCCAAACAACAATTATGATTCATAACGTTGACTATGAAAAGCACGCGTTAAGCAAAGATTATCTGAGGTAGGCATCTCATCATATAGACATGGGGTATTCTTACAAGCATAGATACTTTACATTCACAGGTAGTAAGATCTTTTTAGGTTTTTTCAGTAAAGTCACGTAGGTAAAAAATTAAAATTAATAAAAGTAAAATAAAAATAAAATAAAAATCACGACGTTTCGGAGGCAACACAAGTCTCCGACATCAGGTGGGACCGTCACAGCACGACTGCTGTATCAAGTGAGCAAATCTAGCTGTGACGGTCCCACTTGATGACGGAGACTTGTGTTGCCTCCGAAACGTTGTGATTTTCTTTTTACTTTTATTAATTTTAATTTAATTTTTTACCTACGTGACTTTACTGAAAAAACCTAAGAATATGAATCCTTGTAGTCACGAAAGCTTCAAATCTAGAAGGTAGTAAGATATTATAGCAGACACAGATAGACGTGGTCCTCATACAGTCTTAGATAGGAGTAGTGTACTTATATTCATGCAAACGAGGCGTGTCCTCAAACTTACTGACCGGGAGGATGCTCTGGTATCCATGTGTGGGTTAATTTAGGTTATCTTTTTAAGGGGCTCACCTGCTGACCGAGCTCCTCCCACTGGCGTTGAAGCAGCTCCATGCGCTCCTGCAGCCCTGAGATGTCGTCCACCCCAAAGTGCCGGGCCAGGGCGTCCCTCATGGCGGTCAGCTGGGCTAGCTCGGCCTCCCAGTCCTCCACGCTGCTCTCCAGTTCCTGGGGGCACCATCAAGTGCACGTTGGGCAACTTAAACCTTGGCTTCCTTTGGGAGTGTGAGGCCAGGTTTCATATCGAGTTAGTGAGCATGTTTCTTCCTAGCAGCATTTACTTAAAAAAAACAAAGTAGAACTACAATGGAAGACAGAAACCGTTTCCTATGATTGAATGGGCATGTGGTGTGGCACATCAAATAAAGGATATGTTTATTGAGATATCTGTCTCAACCTGGGTTTGTTGCTACAATGCCATGGCCTATGACCGTGCTCACCTTGCAGCTGACATTCTCAGATTTGAGGTCATCATGATGCTCTGGCAGAGGGTTTGAAAGTTTGATTTTCAAGCCTCTCAGCTTCTCCAGTGACTCAGCCATTTCTTTCTCACAACTCTCCCACTCCTGTAACAGAGTCGTAAGAGCACAATAAAAAATACCATACAACATAAACCGATTTAACACGTATGTTTTCGCGACCAATATCATCCACAATACCGTTTTTTTTTGTTTAGATCGCATAAATATAAATGTGTCGTTAAACCCACCACCACCCGACACAGCCAAATTAGTCTTGTGGATTTGCTCTCCAACACACCGGTGTGCTGTACTAGTAACGAATTGGCATGTTTTGTTTACGTGACAAACCTTACTAATTGGCTGTGTCGGGTGGTGGTGGGTTTAAAGACACATTTATATTTACGCGATCTAACCCAATAAAACTGTATTGTGGCAAATAAACCGACATGCAACACGCACCACCAATCCCATAAAAAAAATGTTGGTGAACTCTCTGAGACATAACATTCATCTTTATTGACCACTTTTCCTTAAAATAATCTGCACTGGTACGTGATCCAAAAGGTCAGCCATGTTGTCACACCATTGTATTTTTAATGCAACGGCGAGCCAGGCTCACACCAGCCCGACTGCGGGAAAGGCTCGCTGGACGGCCCCTTCTCCGCCAGCGCGCTGCGCTTGGACGGCACTCACCTGCAGAAGCGTGGCGACCTGGCGGCGCCGCTGCTCCAGATGTTTCCCAACCGCCTTCCAGCTCTGCTGGAATCCCGTGAGCTCAGCCTGCAGCTCCTCCTCCGTGGACGCGTCGGCCGACAGCAACAGCTGCTTGCCCGCCTCCACGCTCACGATGTAGTTCCCTTGCTGCCTCTGGAAGGCCTTCTCACGCATCTGCAGGCCGCGGGAAGACACAGCGTGATGCACAGGCTTCATCAGCGAGGCTTCTGTCCAATGTGGGGCTTAAATCAAGTGATAAAATATGAAGGGTGTGGCTAAACAGATAACATTGCTTGGGCCACGTAGTGACGGACATAGAGCATGCTCTTAATTAACAACGCTGTCGCTAAAATCATATAATAGGCTTACGTTTATATTTTTTTGTATTTTCATAGAATCAAAATCCTGGGACGATCTATCCACTGCTAGAATAAAGTCTCTCCAATCCGTCACCATATCTCATGATCCATCTAGCTCCTGTGCACGAGCGGATCTCATCACTCCGTCTTCTTGCAGTGAAGAGCCTTCCTTCCATTAGATTGTGTGCGTGAGCTTGCCTGAAGGTCATCAAGGAGTGCGCGGGCCTGCTGCAGGCTGAGCGACCTCGGCGGGAGAGGCTGCGGTCTGGCGAGGTCGGCCCATTGCTCGAGCCTCGCACGTAGTTTGGCAGCGAGCTCCTGGTAGCGCTGCCACTGCGCCAGCAGCCCGTCGATGATGCCTTTTCGTTGCTGCGCCCGCCGCACCACGCCCTGCCACTGGTCGCTCAGCAGCGTCAGCTTCAGGTTAAACTCATCCCTGTGTACACACGTGCGTGGATTTGAGTTGCATGAGCACATTTACAAGCGTGAATGCGTTGTAGTGGAAGGTAAGTGCGTGAGCAATAATTTGCCGTGTGTACCGACGGCAGAGAGGTGCCAATCTCTACAAGTGCACCATGCACCCCTTTGAGGATCTTTGATGCACTGCCGATTGCCTCACCCTGCCTCTGCTCAAGACCATCTCTTTCTCCGGCTGCCTCTTGAATTGTCTTCAACCACACCTTACCATTGCATCATCTCCCTTGTCAGTTCTATAGCCTTCTACCCCCTCACTGCCTCACCTAAAAAAACAAATGCTCATTTATCCCCTTTTTCTTTTGACGCACGTGTCTACCCTATTTTGTACAGCATCTTGATATGTGGTCGCATTTAGCCACTCTATACATTCCACTCATAACTGTAATCTTTTGCCATGCATTGCACAGAGAGAGAGAGAGCAGCGACGAGCCGCGCTCTTACCTATCCTCCACCTCGCCTTGGTCCAGGAGACTGTGTCCGTCCACAATGATGGAGTGAAGGATTTGCTGGCGGCTGAACATCTCCGCCTGGAAGAGCTGCTCAAGCGTCCAGCCACAGGAAAACAACACCACATCGTATCTCAACAAACTTAGAGCCGACATAGCCACTCTTTTCCTCAGAAACACTAACATTCCGTAGATCATGGCTCAAAAGGGCCTTTTGACTCAGCACGACGATGAAATAGCCAAGTGGGTCGTCTCCACACAGTCTTCATCAATGATGCATACACAATGGTGGAGTGTCTTCTTAGAATGTTGACCGAATGGGATAAAGCACATCTTTAATAAACATTGATAACCCCCCCACCACCACGTAACACCCTTCTTTTTAGAGATAAAGCACTTGAATCCGACCTAATCAGCCACTAGTGAATCTTATAAAAGGGGGGGAGATTGAAGCTTGATTATAGCGCCCCCTTTGTTGGAAGCCAAAAACTCCCCAAAGTACCTTAAGGGAGCAGCTTACCAATTTCACTTGACTGACCCATGATGTGCGTGTTGAGAATCCAACTAATTTTTAATTCATATGTCTTGCATGTAATTGTTTAACACAAGGGTGTAGTCTTGAATTGAATCAGGACGCCGAATTAGGACAATTCATCAAATTGTGAGGGGTAGGGGTCATGGCGGGGGAGTAGGCGGGGCTTAAATCATTCCAAGCTAGGCCACAGCCCCCGGTGGGCATTGCTGCAGGGCAGTGTCCCATGGGCAGTGCCAAGTGCCGGGTTCAGAGGCTTGCCTCGTGGGAACGCTGCTGTGCCAGGAGGGCTTCGTGGCTGCCAGCGATCTCTGTGGCGAGTGTGCCCTCCGTGTGCTCCAGGAACTCCAGCCAACTCTCGCACTTCTCCAGGAAGCTCTGGCGCTGCAAGAGAAACTCCTGCAGCTTGCTGCGAAGCACAGCGCAGAGAGGCGTTAATATGCCGAGTAAATATCAGTAATGTTCTCCAGAAAAAAAAAATCGTCTTAAATTATGACTACATTTCTGTTAGATGTGTGATGATTCAATGCTCCAATTCAAAATTGCGACTCAGTCCACGATTCGCTTTTTTATCAACATCTTTTATATCTCGTTTTTATTTTTTAAAACTAATTTCTATAGTTTTTTGTCATCCCTTCGCATGTATTATATTATAATAGAATTTCTTTACGTTAAGAACCATCAATTGTGACACATTAAATCGATGCATGTATTGTGAGTGTATGAATCACTCCCAATCACTGCATAGTTACACTGCCTAATTTCTACAATGAGATTAAGATTCATCATGACACATGAGTCATTAACAATTAATATCACCATGCGTACAATTCACTGCTACAGCACAAAAACCGTGAGAGACAGTGGCGGCTTGGTGAGGCCTTCAACCAAACATTTTTTTTATCACTGCTGACAACGAGGAAAACGTATAGACCATCACCGACATCCGTTCACTGGCTATAGGTTTTTCTGGAATGAACTGAGCGCAGAGGCCACGGAATGCAGTGGGAAGCAGGGCATACCTAAACCTCTCGCAGGTGTGACCCGACAGCAGCGTCCAGCGGCGGTTGAGAAGCTGCAAGCGCCGTATGCTCTGGTTGTCCAGGGGAAGCCGGTAGCCCAGCTCATTGAGCCGGTCCAGCTCTGGCACAAAGCCCCCAAACTTCAGCATCTGCTCCTGAATTGCAGACACAGCACCCGTCGATGTGTGTCTAATCCGATAAAAGCAATGCGTTCAAATGCAGCGCAACGGGGAAAGATCTCTTACTGGGAAGCTGATGACTTGGCCAGGGTATCTAAGCATGTAACGATCAGCCACTCTCACCGTTCAATCAACTATCACAATTCGGGTTCACGATCCGATTCAATAATCAATTCTTTGATGTCGTGATGAAAATAGCAACTGTCGTGGCTGTGGAGATCACATGACCCAATTGTACTCAATATATAAGAAAGGAAATCATGAACTTTCATGCACGGTATTTTCATGTTATGCATCGTGAGCGTAATGATCAATTTTAATCGATGACTCGATCTATCTTTAAATCCCTCAGGGCAATCATTACCTTGAGCTGCTGCATCCTGTCCTGAATGGCTTGCTGTATGGCCGTGCTGTTCGGATCGTTGGGCTTGAGGACCTCCTCTGACTCCTTGGCCCATCCTTCAAGTGACTCCAGACTCTGGAAGAATCTTTTGTTTTCCTCCAGCCCACCCTGAGCATAGCAGGACACGCAGGTACATTCCATCAAAATCTTTAATTTCTCAAAGCAGGCAAACGAGAATGTGGTCATTTTCAATAACGGTTGAGTAGGTAGATGGACGAACGCACCTGTAGGCTGCCTTGTTGGCGTGTCAGTGCCTGCTGCAGGTTTTCTAGCCGGAGAGTGATTGCTCCAAGTTCTCCCTTGATGCGAGCAGCCACCTTCTCATCGAGCCGTGCCCTCAGCTTCTCCCCGAGCTGTGACAGCTCCACCAGGGGACCATGGAGCTTCTCCACTTCGCTCTGCAGGGCCTGATAGGACACAAATGTCAACGTCTCGCAATAACCACCTGACAGAAAATGACGTAAATCAACAAAAAATTACCAAAACATGAAACCGGCTCACCTCTGCAAGGGGGTCCTGGAGTTACAAACCAATTAAAATACGTGACACAGATCAAAGGAAATATTATTTTGTTGCCATCTGTCTTGGGGTACAATTCACGTGGCTCTTTCGGCCGTTATTGTGCCGAGATTTGGCAGAATGAGGTACGTATTTGGATAGAATTGGATCCGTTCTGCATTTTGAAATTCCTGTGCGGCGAATTCGATATGAAAACACAAAACCATTCGAAATTGCAGTTACGGCCCAAAGTGCGTGGGGTTAGTCAGGGATTACGGCAGAGTACGCGTGTGTGTGCGTTCGTGTGCGAGATGGACATTGCCTGATTGATCAGCTCGGCCTATCGCTTAGGCTAGCACGCAAAACATCAACACGTATGGCCCCCGATTTCCAATGGCACTCTTTGCCTACTCATTATATGCAGGGCTTTTTTTCAGAAAGTGGAATTGCTTTTGTTGGAATTTCCCATCTAACGGTGAAATTTCACAAAAGTGTGAAAACAATAATCCAAACGAATCGGGCCTTGGTATTTAACGAGTAGAACATGAGCCAGAAAATCATGGCACGAATCACGATCCGCTCGCCGCTTCGCCCACCTGGCAATCCAGCAGTGGCAGTGCCACATCCCCGTCGCCGCTGTCCTTGGCGGAGGTGGTCTTGAGAAGCTCAGCACTACGCTCCTCGTGCCGCTGGAGCTCCTCCTCCAAGCCGGCGTGCCGGTCGCGGTAGGTGCTCCACACGGATAGCAGGGCCCTGCATGAGGCCAGAGCCTCCAGCAGCTCCCGCTGAAAGGCGCTCCACCTGTGCAGGATGTAACAGTTAATGGCAGAACAGCTGAGTGGTTCTGTGTCCGTTTACTTGAACAGAGTGGGTCGTTTTTTTATTTCAGTAGGAGCCCAGTACAAAGCATGAAACGCAACATGGGGGGTACATAAACTCTGCGGACATAGGTTCCGAACGCTGTGCTCCTGAATTTAGAGGAAGGAGGAGTTTGGGCTCGCTGCCCCACCGAGTGGGGACTGCAAGCGGGGTGTACAAGGAATACCATGCACTTTCGTCTGGTTAGGGACCAGAGCATGGACGAATGTCAAAAATGAACGAATGTTAAAGCAGAGCCTTTATTTAGCTTGCCAATTTATTTTGGGTGGCAAAAAACGTACATGCAAATAACTACAGTAACTCTATAACACATGCGTGCAAAACCTAAATAAACAGAATTAAAAGAAAAGTAAACATGAGAATAAATAAACACTAAATAAATATACAAAACTCAATATACAAAATGATACCTTTAAATATTTGTATTCTTGCCTAAGTAAACACTGTAGTATTACTCTTTGGTTCTTTCAGTAAAGTCACGCAGGTAGAAATAAAATAAAACAAATCACGACGTTTCGATCGCATTTGTTTTATTTTATTTTATTTCTACCGACGTGACTTTACCGAAAGAACCAAAGAGTATGGATTCCTGCAGTCACGAAAGCTTCAAATCAAGACTGTAGTATTATACTGTTATCACAAAAATAACTATGAATTGTTTACAGTATAATCACAGAAATAAGTACAGTATTAATAATATATGAATAAACCCAAATATAAAAGATGCTCACTGAACGACTTCTATTCAAAGACTGAACGAAAAAGATGGCACGTGGCGCGAACGTCATGGAAGGTTTTGGATGAAATCGGACGGAAGAGGAAAGCGCGTGGACGAAATATGTAATGTGGTTATAATTGAAAATGGCTGAAAGGTCAATGCGACGAAAGTCAAGATACTCTTGGGTTATTTTTTTATTAATTTCCTAGGGTAATATTACCAATAATACAGCACTTTAATTATGCATTTTTTTTGTAATTGTGCATTCTAAGCTTTCTTGGGGTGGTCTTTTAAACGATATACGCAGTATGAATGTCATTCTTATTATCTGGTTATTACATCTATAAATATATTTAATATTGCAGTTTGTTGGTGCTGCGTTGAGCCTCACCGCTCCGCGACATCTCGATGAGTCTTTTTAAGGCTCTCGTTGTTCGCCGGGTGGAACCCCTTCGTGAGCTGCTCCGTGACGGCGCTGAATCTGCCGATGCACCCCTCGTGCTTCTCCATCTCTTCCTGCAAGGTCTGCGGGGCCACACCGAGCGCGGCTGTCACAGTCGTACATCACGAATTCGGCGGCACGACGGCGTCGCTTTTGTACTGAGGTGCAGCGGGAGAGACACGCACCTTGAGGTTCCCTTCCTGACACACGGTGGCCTCCAGGGAGCCTGACAGGGCCTGGTACCGTGCCAGCTTGTAGCTGTTCTCCATCATCCTCCCGTTCACGTCCTCCAGGGCTTCTCTGTAGAGCCGCCAGTGCTCCAGTGCGGCCTGCAGGCCGATCTTCAGCTGTCCCACCTGCAGCAAAACCGGCTCCACTCAGTGCACGTCCACAGCACCCTCCGCTCAGACACGACGCATGTAACAATGCGTCGTCTTTTGAAAAGCGTGTGTACAAAGCGATTCTTTATAAATAATGAGCAGATACTATGCAATTGATAAACCTAGGCTTAGGGAGGAAAAAAAAACGAATGCACAATGATCCAAATTAGACAGTATAAATTAAACAAAGAGAACGATTATGAAATCAAATCAGTCACCCCAAACCATGGCATTTCAACAACTCATTGCAAGTGTGAATGGTTACCATCATACATGCTTTCTCTTATCTGTAGCATAGTTACACCAATAAGGTTATAACAACGTAAAAATTCCATCAAAGTCTCTAATGACACTGTGATATAAAAACATTGTGAGGAATGCATTTACGTGACCTGATGGTCCACACTGGCCCAGAGCTGATTGAGGTCCTTCAGGGTGGACATGACGGCTTCGGACACCGCAGGGCTTCGGCCCTGCCCCAGAGAGAGCCCATGGTGCTCAACCTTCTCCACCTCCTTCTCTTTCACCCGCAGCTGCTCTTCCATTTCCTGAGGCCAGTGAATCAGGAGAGCGCTCGTATAAGGACCACGTAGCAACAGGTTTAGCTCGGCGAGAGAGGCACGACTAGAACGCCGCTGGAGTCACGCACCTTCGATGAGCACGTTTGACTTCGTACGGCGTGAAAGACGTTAAACGCACGTACGTACTGGCAAAACGAAGCGAACTGACCTGGCACTCCTTGAGCGCAGTGCGGACGGACGCCTGGTCGCCGGCACGCTGGAAGCCCTGCAGCCGTGTGCTCTGCTCTTGCAGCCAGCAGCGCAGCGACTGCACACTGCTCTCGTGCTCGGCCCAGCCATCCAGGACAGCCTCCAGCTCCTGGACCTGTCAACCCCAAACATGAATTCTCTATTGAAACCGTCAGAGCAGACGGTAACGGTGCAGATTTAATTTCTACTTACACAAGTTACGTGGAAGGATTATTATGCAATAGATGAATCGATATTCGCTTCATCGACGAAGCGAATATAAAAAGAATTCACATCAGACGATAAAAATGAGACGTAAGACAGTCGATTATCAAAATGAACCGCGATCCCAAATTGTGACTGGATTATTCACGAGGCTGCAGTTGGAGGTGTGTGGAGTCCTGAGACACTTCACGCAGACTCTTGCCTTGTTGGTGACCGTTGCCTGCAGGAGCTGCCAGCGTTGGTTCATGGTTCCCAGTCGCTCGGCAAAGTCGGTCTTGTCACTACGCTTGCTTTCCACGTCTTGGCCGCTCACGTGCTGCATCGACTGGTTCACAAAGTCGATCACCAGCTGCTTGCTGCCCAGCTCCACCTTGTAGCCCTGCGATGCGACAACAGCAGCATCCACCGCGAACAAAGCGCATCGCTACTAAGCACTGCCGCACTGGCAGAGTAATGTCAATTGTACATTTACAAGTATTTCTCTAACATGTAATGAGTCAAACGAGAATCCGTGAAGTGAGAGTGTCTCCGTGCTTAAACACGGGATGGGCACTACTCATCTCTGGCCATGGATATTCCACATTCCTTCAGTGGGTGCAAGCCTATCCATGCAATGTTTAAAATTGTAAACTGTAACAGTGTCATTGCTTCCATCTGCATATACATGTGGTGCTATTTGCAGATCCACTCCTCACCCTGTACTTCTGGAGGTGTCGCTTGACAGCATCGGCTCCCGCCAGATCCTGGATCTTGATCTCATCGTCCTTCACCATCTTCTCCATCAGCTCCATCCAGTTTCCCATCTCGGTCATCGCCTCTCGGGATGGAAGTCTCTCCATCTGTGCCTGGAAGGGAGCGGACACGGGCAAGCCATGGAGAGGCCAGCTACAACAACGTACATGGAAGAAGTATTTCCCTGCAGTGCCACCAAGATGTCACTGAGATGAAGAAGCGATACATTTTTGCATCACACAAAAAACAAATGGAAATTAACCCTTATGGAAGAATTCGTTCACCTTTCCCGTGTTTTCAAATGAACCCATGCTTTTATATTATTTTTGTTTAAAATTACAGACATCAATTTGTCCTCTCTCTCTACTCTAAGTCATTGTCTAAAGATTAGCCTATTGCACCACCTCTCTGTTATTTGGCATTCTTTCATCGCTGTTGGTGAGATATGTATAGTTTGAGAAAATAAACTCGAGTTTCCTGTCATCAAAGCCACGAAACACATTTCAGCTTCTTTTCTGCTTGATGGCCCTGGCCTCCCTTGCGATCGTGAATTCCCGTCCGTGCGTCCCCCACTGCAGCCGGCGAGCCGCGTCGATGCGTCGCGCCGTGTGCCCGTCGCACCTGCTGCAGCTTGTCCTGCAGCAGGGGCACGACCGCCAGCAAGCGGCACCAGCGCTCGTCCAGCTGCGCCAGGCGAGCCCGCACGTCAGCGACATCCGCCCGCTTCAGCCGCTGCAGCTGGCCCCCCGTGCTCATGACCGACGCTTTCAGGGCCACCCTGGCGTCCACGTCTTTCGAAAAGGTCTGGGGGGGGACAATAACAGGCACAGTTGCCATCGATGTGAATATTGTTGAAACATCATGCGGAGCTGTGCGCCGTGTGTCATATGGCTCATTTACAGTTTCCCAGTTTGATTCTTGCAATTTGTATCCAATTACAGTGCTTCGTAGGAACAGTTCAGTCTGCCTGGAAAAAATATCAGAGTGTGAAGAAACAACGAACCAGGAAATCTGACAGGTGCTGCCGTGTCACATCTGGGTCCTGCGGCTCGTTGAGAACGTGCTCCCTCCAGATTGCCACCTTCGCCTCCGAGGCCTCGAGCCACTCGCAGAGTTCAGCGCTCTCCTTCTGAAACCTGACCAGTTAGCATACGAAATCAAACACGAATTCTCGTGCCCTGCAATGACATAACACCGGTAAGGCAACTGCAGCAATAGGTTTCATTCTCTGCCACGGGCCACTGGGTGCGAGCTTGGGCAACGCGGACCTGGCCGAGTGCTGAAGCAGTGCCTCCGCTCGCTGCAGCTCCCGCGCGGTGCGCGCCGAAGCGCCGAGCCAGCGCTCGCCCAGCTCCGTGAGCTGCGAGTCGAGCGCGGGGCACGACAGCCAGCCCAGCAGCTGCCGCCCGTCCTCCAGCACCGCGTGCAGCCGAGGTTGCCTCTCCGCAAGGCTCTCCTTGAGTTTCTGTCGTTTACGGTTGCGGCGCAGAGCAAAGCAGGCACAATAAGGCAAACAATCAGCATTGGTCTTGGGGACCTGATTGCTTATGGAGTGCGTCAATGAAACCCAGAAAGTCACAAAGGATATTCCATGCCCGTGAGATCAGTGCAGTCACAGGTTTAATTTATGTGGAGGTAGGTCAGAGCAGCATGAATGGCACAATGTCAGCAGCACAGTGTAAAGTGGCATGATGTCAGTGGCATGTTGTCAGTAGCAGTAGCAGTGTCACTGCATGGCAGCGGCGGTGACCTTGTAGAGGGCAGCACGGTTGGCGAGCGCCTCCTCAGTCTCATCATGCGTCCCGCTTGTGGGGAGGCCACTCTCCATGGCCTGCAGTTCTTCCGCCAGGCTACCACACTCCGCCTCCACAGAGCCCCACATCTGCAACGGAGGCAGACGGTGATCACCTGTACACCGACTTCTCCGTTCGCAAATGCTTCATTTTCGATTTAAAGCTTTCGTGACTGCAGGGATTCATCTTCTTGGTTCTTTCGGTAAAGTCATGTAGAATAGAAATAATAAAAATAAAACATAATAAAATAATTCTCACGACGTTTCGGCCACAACACAAGCAGCCGTCGTCAGGTGAAGAACAGGTCTGTCGAGAAGACAGACTCTGTCTTCTCGACAGACCTGTTATTCACCTGACGACGGCTGCTTCTTCACCTGAGGACGGCTGCTTGCGTTGTGGCCGAAACGTCGTGAGAATGATTTTATTATGTTTTATTTTTATTATTTTATTATTTCCATTCTACGTGACTTTACCGAAATAACCAAGAAGATAAATGCTTCATTGCCATGACGCCAGCGTGACGGCTAACGGCACGGCACACGGCACGCATGGTCGGTGTGTGGCGGTAGGGAGACTGCAGAGCAAAGTGAGGCCGAGGTTGAGCCTGCCGGAGCGCGGTGTGACGTAGCCGCGCGCGAGTGAGGAGGGCACCTGCAGGATGCGCTCGAGCTGGACGCCGCGCTCGTGCGCTCTGTCCTGCAGAGCGGCGGCCGCCGCCAGTAGCCCCGAGCGCAGCTTGGCATGGCGCTGCCGACTCCCACGGCACACGCTCTCAGCCAGGCCCTCGACACTCAGCTGCAGCCCCGCCAGGCTCTGGAAAAAATCCTGCGAGTGCCCACGCCAAGCACACGTCAAGCACATGACAGTGACATCACACGGAGGTATTACTTTTTAATGACACGTTAATTACACTTTTAATTAGTTAAATGTTCAGTGTGCTCAAGTGCATTAGATGGCTCCCCCCCCCCGCAGGGCCGGGTCAGGGGTGCTGTGGTGGTGAGATGTTATCTCCCTTGCCTGGTATGCAGGAGGTCATGGGTTCGATCTCGGCTCTGACGCCTGGATATTTGAAGTATGCATGTTCTCCACGTGGTTGCGTAGATTTTTGTCCGGGTCCTCCGGTTTTTCCCTCCACATTTAGAAACATGCGTTTAAGAGTATTTGGCTGCTATTAATTTCCACGTGATAAGCCACTTTGTTGAGCTATCATTTATGGCCAGGTCGCTTCTGAAAAATAGCTTTATAGCTCAGTGGGCCTTACCTGGTAATATAAAGATATGAACAGTTTGATCGTGTCCTGCCGTGTGAGTGTGCTGGAGCCAGTGTGGCCCGTTACCTTGTGCTTGTGTAGCTGGCTGGAGACTTGCTCCCGGCTGCCGGCCGAGGTGTGCGTGGCAAACGCCAGCTTCTTGTTTCCCATGTCGATCATGTCCGAGAGGTCACGCAGCGCTCGCTCCAGCTGTGCCTCCAGTGCCAGGTCATGGCCTAACTCCGCTCGCCGCGCCCCCAGCAGTCTCATCAGCTCCTCGTACGTGTCCTGGCAAGGCAACAGCAGCAGCAGGCATACCAACACACACGCATTGTCTCATAATTAGTTCTTCTGTTTAAACAAAAAATGTTTTGGTGTTTTAGTTCTGAGTTAACTCCCTATTTGAGAGACAATGGCCAACGATGTACAGTAAGATAATGAATGTCCTCGAATTCATAATAAGCTGAGTTTGACAAATGCTGTTTACTCGTAATTGGTTTTATTCTTGTAGTCTACTCGGACACGACACACTTTTTATATTCATGCACAATAACGATTGCATGTAACATCCGCTTAATTAACAGTGTGATAAGATAAGCATCCATTCATTAACTAAAGAGATATTTCCGCTGAATATTTTTTTTTTTACATATAACAAAAATATATATAATTTCAATGCAATATTGTTTAGATTTGGGCAGTTCAAAGACATTTGTGCTCTGTCACCTGCAGCCTGTGAGATTCCTGCAGGACAGCTGGATCGAGCTCCTCATGGTGATCCTTCAACGCGGACACACGCATCTCCAGCGCACGCAGGCCTGCCTCCAGATCCTCCAGCACCTGCACACACAGGGCACACGGTGCACATCACACACACCAGCATTCCATCACATCACGTAGAAGCACACATCACCAACAAGAACATATCCGTGTTCACATGCATCGCCAGCCAGGATACGTCATTTACCAATACAACGCGTACTGTTTATCAATGTACTTTCGTTTGTATTGTGAACTGCCCAATTCTAGTCGAAGTGCGTGTATAAATCGTGATAATTTTGAAACAGATAAAAGGCATTGCCTACCTGCAGTTGCTCAGAAACTTTATCCTCCAAGCTGTCAGCCAGCTTCTGCTGAATGGAGCTCTTATGGTCAGACAGGAGGCCTTGAAGTACACTCAGCTCCGTCTGAACACACGGCGAGAAACATGGATGTTTGAGGTGAAGTGCGCAAGACATTTCATCTCAAAGTGGCACTGCATTTATTATTATTATTATTATTATCTTTTGTGGACGTGAATTTAGATGAAATAAAGAGATGGCACTAGGTGGATTGGAGTGCCTTTGAAAGGCTGAATTTGATTATGAAAAGCAATTTCAAAATTTTCCTCGAGAAGAACGTTTTTAATGAGAGCATAAGACCTGGTAACCTTGGACAATGCCCCTCCCCAAAAAAACAAGAACGAACATTGAGAAAACACTTGAATGTTAGAGGCATATTATAGACTTAAGAATAGTGAGTTTTGGCAGGACATGTCAAGAGAAGGGGTGATGGCCGGTGGTCAAGACGAATGTTGGAGTAGCAGCCAAGGAATCGGACACGTCCGAGAGGATGTCCACTATGGGTGAAAATGGAGTGACGAAATCAGTTCATGTGCACGTGCTACAGCAGGTGTATTGCTGCATCGCAGGACCGTGAGAGATGATAATAGCTTTGAGAGACCGTCAAAACTGCCGAAGCTGTGAATTGAGTATGGCTCGTGACGATGTGAAACGTTCAAAATGGCCGTCGCTGTGAACCCCACTGCGGACCTGGTACTCGGTGACCTCTGCGAGGCGCCCCCTGAGCGCGTCGGAGCGCTGCTGCACCATGTGCTCGAGCGTGCCGAGCCGCTCCCCCAGCGTGGCCAGGGTCGCCCCGATCTCCGCCCCGTTTCCGGTCTCTGCGGGCAGCACGCTCAGGAACATCTGCTTCTTCACGTCCACCTCCTCAGCGATCCGCGCCACGTCCCTGTACAGTGTCTGGAAGGGGCGGCAGTCAATGATAGACGATGTTCGCGTGCGATTTTTTTTTCTCGCAGTTACTGATCGCACACTTCACTTATCTGTACGGTCATGAAAACCCATCAATGGCTCAATTTTGAATGTGTAATTTTACAGATAGCACTGATTACATGCCTATATAAGGTATTGAAAATCAACAGATTTTAAATGTTTATTCAACAACTGCAGTTATGGTGAGTAAGAACTGTTTCTTCCTGTGTTTAGTTTGTTGACCTTCCCCCACGCCTCCGATAAGCACGGTTGGCTACGTACGTTGCAAAAGAAGTTCAACATGTACACATACAACACACACAGGTGCACGAAATCCTTACTTCCTGCACACACAGGTGCGCTTCCATCTCGTCAGGCGGCGCAGCAGCACTGGCAAACAGTTTGTCCTCCACGCCGTCGAGCCACCCACTCGTGGCCTTGGAGGCCGTGAACAGCTTCTGCTCTAGCTCGAGACCGAGCTCCACCGACACAGGGTGGTGGCCCTGTTTTCAACGTAAACAAAGAGACGCTAAGAGACTGATGGGGAAAGGGCCGTTAGTAAGCACCTAAAGGTGTCCAATACATACATACATGCATACGTAAAAACATAGACACATACACGCAGATGCACACAAATAGCTTTAGGGCCTTACTAACTCCGAGCTTCCCAAAGTACACCAGTATAGACTATAGAACCATCTTGTTAACTTTCTGTGTCATTACAATATCACATGCACTGTTCTTAGTTATAAATGATTAACAATGCTGCGCCTAAAACATTTTAAACAAAATGTGTACACTGCGTGCAGAGTGAACTCCGTGCAACACGAGTCCATCCAGCAGTGGAGCAGAGGCGACAAGAGGGCGGTGGGGGAGCTGCGATCGCCCGATCAGCACCTGGAGGCCAGCGTCCTCCAGCGCCTCCTCGAGGCCGCTGTAGGTGACGAGGACGGCGTCTCGCGAGCGCTCCAGGGCCCCGTGGTCCACCAGGAATGGCGCCGCCCCAGCGCCTGCAGTGCCACTCGCTCGGCCGTACACCTTCACCATGTGGCCGGCGCACGCAGGCACACAAAGACAAAGTTCCCCCGTATAGCTTGTAACAGACTGTAGGAGCAATTGCTGTTAGCGAGCACCTATGAAGTTCGGCATGGCACACGAGGGCGTCGGTGGCCAGCACCATGCCAGGCCGCCTTTGTCTCCCTAGTGGCGATGTTTACCACACACCACACCAGGTAGACATTTGGGGCTGAGTCGACTTAGGGGAGGCCCAAGACCGGTTCAGATATAATCGTCAATGGTGTCGACCGTGAGCGGGAATCGAACTTGGATTGCTGGGTTCATAGCTCAGCGTGCTAATCACTATGCATACACGCATGCGGCACGCACTCAAAGAGTCTACATACAGAGTGTGTACGGAACATACACACGGCACGTACACGCAGCATCTACAGTTGTGTACACGATCAGAGCTTGGACACTTGGACACATGTACACCCCCCCCCCCCCACCGATATGTACTGAATCCTTACAGAATTAGTTTTGTCCTCCAGTAAAATTTAAAACTATTCCATTGAAACCTCTGCAACTCATTCATTACGTGAAGAAAACCAACAGGAATTCACACATCAGCCGCAGCAGCAATCGCGACTCGAGCTGCACCTGCATGGAGGTGTCCTGCTGCAGCGTCTCCAGCAGGATCCGTTGTTTGTTGGCCACCTCCTGGCCCAGCAGCTGCCACTTCTTACGCATCTGTCGACTGCCGTTCTCTGGCTCAAAGGAGACCTCTTCGGAGAGAGAGTCCGGACCCGCGACGACACCGCCACCCGCTTGGCTATGATGAACGAGAGAGAGAGAGCGAGACCAGGTGTCCTCACCTTGACGTTGCACGGGTTACGATGTCACGGCTCTATTGCAATACAACCACCATACCTGGCTGACCTCGTCAAGCAGCATAAGCCATCACACATGAACTCTCGTCATCCTCGCAGCGGACTTTGCCTAGCCATCACAGCATCACACACTTTCAGATGTGCTTCTACGGCCATCTGGAAGGCACTTCCTTCCAATATTAGAAGGCACTGAAGCTATGCACTTTTAAATCTAGATTGAAAACTCACGTCTTTCGAACAGTTTTTTGTCTTCCGTTTGTTGTCCTTCCCCGCACCTCCGATTAGCACGGTTGGCTTCGTATGGTGCGAAAGTAGTTCAACATACGTATGTACATACATAAAAGACGTGGATTTATAGAGCAGTGCCCAGAAGCAATGGCAGAAACAATTGCATCTCAGGACGCTGTACAACACACGTGGTGATAAGTGCTCACGTAATAGAAGTCATCATGGGACCTCCTTTGCCAGTACCAAAATATGAGAATATTTTTTCCGACAACAAAACAGGTGTCGAGATGTTAAAACACCAAACTGAAACCTTTTACAAGGAATCATGTCTGCATTAACCACAATGCTTGTGGTCAGAATATGCAATGTATCTTTAAACTGTCACAGAGCTGAACTAAAACACCCCAGCTGAACAGAATTCTGAATCTGTCAGGCACGTAGCAGTACACCGCTTTAGAATACACCATAATGACGAGGGAGACACATAAGGAAAGTCTTTGGTGTGTGTTCCTGTGATGCCACGCGTGCAGGCCGTACCCGCTCTGGGCTTCATTGCTGTGCGAGAGGAGCAGCTCCCCCTGGCTTGCCACCGACTTGAGGAGGCTCTTCTGCTCCGCCAGCTGCTGCTCCAGCTCCTGCTGAAGCCCCGTGCGTGAAAACAACAGTCGGCACCGTTCACACCATCGTCAGCCACAATCGACGGAGTCGACTTCACATGCGTTCCTTGATGCTCGACTCATTGCCCTCTCCTCGTACAGCACAGCCATAGAAACTCTCTCTCTCTCTTCGTCTCTCTTTCCAGTCCCATATAACTTGACTCGATTGAGTTGTCTCCCACTTCCTTTTCTAAGCCTTCTTGATACAGACATCAATGCCTCCAATAATGACCAATGATGCCAATTATCCTCTTGGTTCTTTGCAGCTGATGTGAATTTTGATTATGTTTTATTATTATTTTATTATTTCCCTTCTATGTGACTTTACCGAAATAACCAAGAAGATGAATCCATGCAGTCACAAAAGCATTACATCGAAAGATGCCAATTATGTATACAGGATAGCCTCAACGAGTCAAATTGCTCTTATTTAAGAGGATCCTACATTGGGATGATCGCCCTATACCATTCATGATTATTTGGCTTGTGGGAGGATAACAAAGCACCTGGGAGAAAACCCAAACAATGACGGGCTAACACCCAAAACGCTGCACGGACACACTCGGTGCACACTCAAGCAAGCACAAACCGTTTTGCTCCACAGTTAACGTTCCACTCCTCATAACTCACCGGCGGTACGCCAGTGGTGTTCTCATAGAGAGCCTGCAACTGTAAGGAGCGAGTGTCCGCGGCCAGGGCAGGGGCCCTCACCTTCTGTCTCTGCATCGTGTCCTGGCGAACCACGTGCCGCGCTTTGGCCTCACTCAGCCACTCCTGGATGCTGGGCCCGGCCTCCACCGTGCCGTCGTCCGCGATGCCCACGCACGCCTCCTGCCGTGTGGGACACACGCCCGGGTCAAGGGGCTGCACGGGACGCGACGTCGGCAGCAGCACGGTGTGTGCGGCACACGGCATCGGCAGCCACGCGAAGCCTGAGCTCTGGCTCAAGTGGAACACGAGGTAAGTAAGTATTTGGCACGCATTGATTCACTTCCCTACTGCCACCTCCCAACACTGCAACGGCGGTGGTTTGCCACAAAGTCATGATTTGATACAATAAATCAATTATTTGTTGCATCATTAACTTACTGTCTTGTGTTACTGTTATTATTACCCTCTATTTTCCTAGTTTTTACATATTTTTTCTTCGCTCACTTTCTGTAAACGCTACCTTGAGCATATTTACATACAATTTCCACGACTTGTGAAATTATCAATTCTTCCACGCAACATTTTAACGCACGCACGGGTATCATGAGTGTACAGAATGGATTCTAATGGATACATCAACAATTTATTACATGCCTGGGAAGTGGTGCTGCACGGTCATTAACTCGAACGCTGGAGGTTTTACAAATAAGTGCTTTCATCCTCATGGGATGAGCACACAGCTCTTGTGAAGTTGACGTTTGAGTGGTTATCCAAGCTCGACCCTGTGGTGACACTACTTAACTTAGCCTGTGTTTCACTTGAATGGCCTTTGGACATAAAAAAAATTGGCAATCTTGTCAACATATGACTTGTTAAATCGAATTTTAGATCAGTTAGGAATATGATTAACTGCAAAAATAAAGTTGAAAAAATGTAAATCAGCATCATACTAAAGGTGATTAAATGTGATAGCATGTTAATGTCCTCCCAAAAGGTTTGGATGTTTTCTTTAATTACTTCACATGATTCCATTTCATTGACCAAGAAAGCGACACTGCAAACAGCTAATTATGTATCTGTATCTGTGATACTCTTTTTTTTTTATCAGCACACTGCACACAAGCAAAATATAGGCACTTTACTGTATTAGTTTCTCTCTTCGCAGCTGCCGCGCCAAGACAAGACAACTTTGCCTGCAGCAAAACAAGGTTCATACATCGCGTGCCAAAATAAGTGTAAAAATATGACCATTACAGAACACTGTTAATTCAAGTCAGTGTAAAATAAAAACATTTTCCGCTACATTAATAAATTAAATCATTTAAATAATTTACCAATGAAGGTTAAATTAACTTTTGGTAACCATGTACAAAATACTGACTGCTATACACACACACACGTGAGAAATCACTTGAAAGCATTTACACTTGGTGCTGCTTACTCATCCACTCTGTAATGTATAGGGTGGAGTGGTGGCATCTTGGTTAGCACACTGAACTATCTGAACCAAGGATCCTGACTCCATGACATGAGTTCAACAACACGGTTAACATCAGTGGCGAGTGATATCTCAATCAGTACTGATGCCCCCCTCTCCGTCCGCCCACCCCCTTTTAAAAAGCTGCAGAGGCCAGCATTTGGAATTTGGAAGTGTGGTCTAACAAACAACCCTCATGATTGACACGCATTCATGTCAACCCCTTATCAATGTTCTTAGGTTTTTTTGGTAAAGTCACGTAGGTAAAACATCAAAATAATGAAAATAAAATAAAATAAAAATCACGACGTTTCGGAGGCATTTTTATTTTATTTCATTTTCATTAATTTTGATGTTTTACCTACGTGACTTTACCGAAAAAACCTAAGAATATGAATCCTTGCAGTCACGAAAGCTTCAAATCTACCCTTATCAATGCCCTACCTTATTGCAGACCAATTCAGACCAAATTGGTCACCCTGTGCCTCTAATAAATCACAACGTTAATCCTATACACTACACTATACACTACACTATACACTACACTACTACACACTACACTAAACACTACACTAATACACACGACACTATACACAAACTATACACTCCCATACACTACTACACACTACACTATACAGTACACGATACCATACCTGTCAATCCCTTATCAGTGCCCTACCTTATTACAGATCAATTCGGACCTTATTGGCCACCCCGTGCCCTTATAAATCTCAACGTTCATCCTACAAAGTCCCATCACAAGGGAGAAACACAAACAAATAGACAAAAAAAATTGTACTCAATTTCCCTGTACAAGAATATGGGTAAACCGTATGGGTTGACAGGTATGGACACGGCACAGGGACTGTACATTATTATTACTCTTAATAATTATATGGCGGGTATTGCTTGGCAATGAAGTCACGAAAGATTTGGGTGAGCAGTCACTCTGTGTCTGTGCGAGTAATCAAGCCGGATGGCAACTCCAGATTCTAGATTTGAAGCTTTCGTGACTGCAATGATTCATATTCTTAGGTTTTTTCGGTAAAGTCACGTAGGTAAAAACATTAAAAAGTAAAATAAAATAAAAATCACGACGTTTCGGAGGCAACACAAGCTTCCGTCTTCAGGTGGTACCGTCACAGCCACGACAGCTGTATCAAGTAAATGAGAGATTGCAGGAGCTACCACTCCGTTTATATAATGGTTGGAGAAGGTGGTGGGGCAAGGGCCGCATACTTTTTATTAATATGGTAAGGTGAGGCTTAAGACTCCCGACTCCACTCCGCGCGGTACCTGAATGCTACTCTGCCTCTCCAGCAGCGCCGCCTGCAGCTCCAGCAGCGCGGCCCTGAGCGCCACAAGTCTGTCGGCGAGCTCCTCCGCCTCGTGCCTCGCTCCCCCCGCGTCGCCCGCCTCCCTCTCCAGCCACGACACCTTGCGCTCAATCTCGCCCAACATCGACTGCAACAACAGTCGGAGGTGAGCTCTTTATTCAAACTCGCCCTGCTCTGGCAAGCAACGCGGAGGCACTTATCTCCACCGGAGGCTCTCTGTGCAAGTGGTGGACATTCCACATTCCTACGGTAGAGGGGTGGGGGGGGGGGTACGCCATCCATAGGATGACCACTAGAGACTTCCCACAGAGCGGTATTGATTTTACTCAACCCAAAGGTATGACGAGTTGACTCATTCCTCCACCATAATTTGAACTGTAAATACAAAAACTGCAAGTCGAAAACAATAACCACAGCACCACCTGGCTCAGTGGTCTATCCCGTCTAATTCCACTGCACTATATGACCACATGAACCCTTGCGGGGAAACACAGGCCAATGCATTTCAATGCCTCGTGTGAACGCACAGTCGCAGAGCCACTGGGGGGAGATTAAATGTCAACTACGGTAATTGAGAGTACTTTCTCACGAGGATAAACCCTCAGTGTGCCCTGCACCCGCTGCGTCGATGGCACCGCTTGCCTGGCACTCGAGGAGCTGCAGTTCCATTCCCGCTGGGCTGTCGGCCGAGGAGCAGGCGCCCACCCCCAGGGCCTCGTGTTGCCGCTGCAGCCACGCTTGCAGCTCGGCAGCCTCCTGCTCAAATGTCTGCAGCGTGCGCCGCTGCTGCAAGTCGGCGCTCAGCCGCTCCTGGCACAAACACACACCACCACGCGTAGCGCCAGGCTATGGCTCATTGCCACAATTGACACTCTCCTTTCGCATCATGCTTCGTTATTGCCGTCGGCTTACGATGAGGCTTTGGCTCAAAAATGCAGCTATTTAATTAGGTGTAAAACGCACACAAATTAGGTGCTAAACACACGATTGTTCAACGTGACAAATTGCCTCACCGGCGACACGGCTGCAACCGCCACACGCTACTTACACTAACCAGCACCGGGGAGTGACGCGACGAATCGGAGCATGTTGCACTTTTTGCAATGGGCTGCAGTGAACAATGAGAAAACAGAAAGCAAAACAATGTGCAGATGCAGCAGTAGTAGCGGAAAGAAAAGAAGAACAATGCGAAATTGAGAAAATGATATAAAAAATAATTTTGAAAATGTATAAATGTGGAAAGTGACTCACAGAGAAGAGAAAGGAAGGGAGGACTTTGGAAAGGAGTGTACGGAAGAAGCTGGAGGCTTGGGCAGGGGCTGTGGTTGTATTCTCTAACGTGACGCGTTCCACGAATGAGTCGTCCTCTGCGGAACCCTCGTCAGGTGACGCCGCGTCAGGTTCAACGTTAGCAGCACGGCAGGTCTTTTCCACGTCGTCGGCTTCAGGAACATGCTCAGTTTCTTTGAAAGCAACTTCGTTGTTTTGTGTCAGTGAGCTCTGTGCACCGTCCAACTCCGGCATTAACGAATAACCTGAAGCTTTCACACCGCCGTCCGATATCCTACGTGGAATTTCTTTGAGTCTTTCAGTATTGTGTGTTGACGCGGTAATCGACTCGGAGATGGCGTGGCGTTTTGATTCTAAGTCACTGTCGGGAGAATCAACCGTTTGCCACAAAGGGTGCCACTGGCTCCCATAACCAAGGCGTGCTTGGTCAGGCGAAGTAACGCCAGAATCAGTTACGGCTTTTTCCTCATCATTGCTGTTTGCATTCGTAATGGGAAAATGCTGTGCTTTTGGATATATAGCACTATACTCTGCATGCCTATCTACACTTTCTTCACAGGGAGGAGGTTGGCAAAACTCCAAAGCGACATCACCCGCGGATGTATAACCCTTATCTGGAAAAGTATCGACTGCCCCAATGCTGGATTCGTCATGCTCCGCTTCTGTTCTGCTAGCGCTGGATATAGTGACATAACCCGACGAAACCGAACCGACAAAGCTCTCCAAACTTTCATCAGATTCCGGAGTAAAGACAGTGTAACCTGGTCCTTCTGGCCAACTTTCTTGAGAAGCACATCTGGCAAGTACAGTGGCCTGATTCACGTCTGTCTCGGGCAGGAAAATCAGCTTTGAATCCCCATGGGTGTCCACTTGTTGTAGACCTCCAGTAGAAAATGCATGACAGATGTCAGCTCTCTCTACGTCACCACGCGAGTCTGGCGGTGATGCGCATGGCAGCGTAAGAGCAGACCCTTCCCCCTGGTGCATCGCCCCAGCACAAAAGTCATGCTGCCCTGCCTCGTGTTTTGTCAGTGCATCAGAGTGCATTCTAAGTTCATTACCATGAGGAGGCAGCTCAAGTGGGTGACAAAGGGAGTCTGTATGTACATGTCCACCAATGTGCGTGGAGACAACTTCACTTTCGCTTGCAGCAGCTGCCTTTTTCTCAGCACCGACTACATCTCTGTCTTTAAAAACCTCGGTGCCTGCAGCACCATCATTCGACTCTTTGTAAGAGTGCTCTTGCTTCATCTCAGTACATATATTAGGAAGAGAAACTTTGATATTATTTGGTTCTGCCAATGCCATACTTCCATAATTTGAGAAAACACTGACATCTAACATCGCAACGCTTCCCAACTCATTTCTATCGGTTTCTACATTTGCAGAACTGTCGACTTTTAAACCTCCGCTGTCATCACAATACGTAGGAGTGCTTTCTGAATCTTTGCGGATTAAACGTGTGTCTGCATCACTGCTTTTAGTTACACCGAAAGAATCAATTGCTGAATATTTGCCAACATCCATCTCTGCGCTGAAAGAAGTGGTAACGTTGTTTTCACCAACACTGGCAGCTGTGTAACTACCAGAAAACCCATCGCTTTTAACTTCAGGGAACAGCCCGGTTTCTATGTTCTCAGTAATTTGACTCTTTATTCTCTCCAACTGTGAACCATGAGAAGCATCGGGGCAAGTTCTCGAAACGGCTTCAGCCAGTTGGCGAAATTCACAAATGTCTGCACTGCTACTCACTTGGGTTTCATCACTCTCACCGACCGACCCGTCCTGACCGCCTGGAACGGGCTTCGTCCTCTCTTCTTCGGCGTCGCTGGCCTGCCCACCGCTCTCTGTGACACGAGCGCTAACCAGCTGCGGCGACGCTGCTGCTGCTGCGTGTAGATCCAGGTGCCCGCGAGCGCTAGTTTCACCCCCTGCTTGCTCGCGCGCACGGGGCGTGGAAGCAGCACCATCCTGTCCGAGCGCATTTGCCGTTGCGGCACAAACTGCCGCGTTGCTCACGTTGGTGCCAACCTCACTCCCAGCATCTCGTGCGCCGCCCTCAATGAAGACGTTACCTTCTGCTTTCAACGAGCTTGAGTCAGGTGGTAGAGAATCGCCTCCCCTAGTTTCAGACAGTCCAGCGACCACAGGTGAGGAGCGCTCGGAATTCTCCGCACCTTGCTCTTCTCGTGCACTGGCTGGCCCAAAGCGTTCGTCTCTGAACAAGTTTCCAGCAAAACCAGGCTTGGTAGGCGCCAGCAGGCTTGTTTCACCGTCATTCTCTGACAAGCAAATGCCAGAATCTTGTGCCGACTCCGTATTGTCATCGCGAGGGTGAAAACCTCTGCTGGCCGTTTTGCTGTTGCATTCGGTTTGCATATTTTCTTCTCCTCCTTCTCCTTCTGCAGCGAACGCACTTCCTTCCGCGTCGGCACTATCTCTAACGTCGACGCGTCGAAGGTGTGCAGGATGAGCTGCGCCTCTCTCCGTCCGTGCACCAGTACTCGATTGCAACGGTTCGGTCCCACCGGTGAGCACATCGGCCCCGTTGTGAGAACGCCGGGACGGCGCAAGCGTAGGCCCGCCCGCATTCCCATCCGACGCAATCATCACGCTGCCCCAGGCTCTGGCTCGAGGCCCAGCCACGTGCCTCACATCGCCACCCTCAGCGTTGTCTGTGCCCAGACTAATCTCGTGCTGTAACTCCGCCGCCGCCTGCTCCTCGGCGTGGCGTCCAATTACCAATTCACTCGCGCTTAACAGAGGCTTGGACCAAGTACACGACACAGGAGGGGGAGGATATAATGAACAATTATGAGCACAGGATAGTGAATAAGAAAATAATTATTTCATATGCAGGTTTTAGAGAATGAGTAGACAAGAAAAACTGTAAAATAGCGTCCACATGAAAAAGCCGTAAACACATAGGAAGGTGCAAATGAAGGCAGTCACCGATGAAAATCACATGAAGATTTTGAAATGTTGTCTGATGTGAGGAAGCATAGTTTGGAAGCTGCACACTCTTGCAAAGGAGGTGCTCCATCTCAAGGGATTTTTCAATTTAAACACTTTAACATGAAATAATACGAAAAAAAGTTACCGTTACACAATGGAGAATGGTAGTGTAGCAGTGAGCGCGCTGCGCTATGAACCCGGCGACCCGAGTTCGATTCCCGCTGACGGCCAACACCCAGTGATGATTATCTGAACCGGTCGCTAGGTCGACTCAGCCTCAAATGAGTACCTGGTGCAGTGTGTAAACATCGGCACTGGGGAGACAAAGGCGGTCGGGCGTGGTGCTGGCCACCCACCCCCTCGTGTACCGTTCCGGCCTTCATAGGTGCTCGCTAACAGCACTTGCCCCTACAGTCTGTTAAGGCTATACGGGGGATCTTTGTTGTGAGAACAACAACTCCTCGTAGAAAGTGGCGCCTATCTTGCGCATGCCGATTGACGGACGTTCGATGTGCAACACCATGGGGCGGAAGGACCACTCCGGGATCGTTTCCGATCCTAATCACCTCCAGCTTCTGCTGCTGCTGCTCTGCGCGGGAGCGCAGGGTGGCGGCGCGCTGCGCCAGCGCGGTGAGCTCGGCCTGCGTGCGCAGCTGCTCGGCCGTGTCTCCCTCCAGCGTCTCGTCCACCAGCTCCTCGGCGAAGTGGGTCTGCAGCTCCAGGACGCCGTCCTGCACGCTGCACACATCCTCTTGCACCCGCTGGGTGGGGGGGAAAGTATGGGGTGGGGGGGGAGGTAGCGGGTGGCGGAAAGTGTGAAGAGGCAGACAAGAGATGAAGAGAGAGTTTGAGATGTGCGGCTCCTTGCGTACTCAACATTCGCTGTCTTTTCAAAAGGCCCCTCAGAGGCCATGGAACGCCGCTACAAGACAAGGGCGCCTTTTAAAACAAAACCGAATGTGATCAATTACTCACAAAATGTCACGATCTCTTACTTGAATAATTATGAATGCAATGAAAAACATTGCATTTTTTAGTGAACCACATAAAAGATAAATGTAATTGGACATGAAAGGATATTTGCATACCAGTACTCCGATACACTATAAGTGGTCTAACTTCACTGTGGGAGCTGAGCCGAGGTTTGTTTGGGTAAATATGACCACACGACAGGAATTGCACAACTTACTTACCTGTTACAACATCAGCCAAACCCTAGGGCCACTTGTTCTGCACGTCGACATTGAGTGCGTGGCTTGCACGACATTTGTACCAGTGCATATCAGTTATGGTTCCATTCAACTGGGTATGCGCATGCTACAACTTGCCCTCCATCCAACATGATTACGACACGGTGGATGCACGTAATGCCTTAACAAGTGGAGGCTTGGCTGCACGCAGCGTCAGCTACAAAAGTTCTACGGATTCATCTCACCAGTAACTCAGCCAGCCGTGCCTCGGGGCTTCCACCACCCAGTCCCCAGCACCTTCAGCAGGGCCTCAGCCTCCTCCATGCGAGCGGCGAGGTGCAGCACGGAGGCCTCGTAGGCCGTTCCGCTCTCCCTGGGCCTGCGACCCTGGCCACGTTAACGACAAGGAACGAAATGAAACTGGGCCACACATTTCAATGAGGCACTGGGAAAGCAGCAGTCTCAACGTGACCGTTTTGAACATCGCGTGCTGGGCCTGTTGAGACTGCATGAATTAAGTCTGGGAAAAAACAACCCCTGTAGGTTGGTACTCAGTGCAAAGTGGGTCATGCCATTGCAATGCGTCACACTTTTTAAAATTAATTCAAACAGAAAGGAAAAACAAATAACTCATTAGAAAACGCCTCGGATAATATAAGGCCGTGAATGTTGATCACAAACTCGATTGGCCTCTCACATTTATGTTGACGATCGGGCTTTATATAATCACTGCCGGTAACCTATCGTACAAATTAAATTTGGAGGTTATCAGAAGTAAGCAAGTCACATCTTTAATAGAACGTTGTGGCTTGCACGAGGCGAGCTCACAGCAGGTTAAAAGAAAAAAGAAGGCCTGGAATACCACCTTCCAGCTGAGCAAATAAATTATTAGACACAAAGCACACCTGGGTTCAATTTGTTTTGCACACGCGGCTCGAAGGGGAAGGAGCACTTATTTTCATCAACTGTAGCCAATGACAACGGTGCAAACTGTGCTGACAACTGTTACGTCCACGAATCGGTAAATGCTTATGAACACAACTCTTGCTGGGTATTCTTGACAACGTGCGCCATATTTTTGGTGTTCTCGTGTGGACAAATGACTGACCAATGATGACGCAAATTAATAAGCTTGTGTTATTTCAGACCTGTGACCGTTTAAAAAGAGGATTTATTTTATGATACTTTACCTTTAGACGATAATCTTCATGTTCACAGCAAGTAAAATAAAAACATGTACAAATGAACATAAACAAGTGGATAGTGCAGATATGGTGTCACGTTTAACATAACTTCTCTCTGATAGCCATGCTCATCCAACAGTACAGGACCAACGAGACACAATTACTTTGGTATATCATTCAGAGAGTGAGAAATAAGGTCCATGCTGGTATCACAAAAATAAAAATGGGGTTTAAATCCATGCCTCAAAATGTCATGGATTTCCCATGTTACCCATACAATTCTGGCTAATACCGGCGCCACCATCACAGGATAGGACAGGAAGGTGTACGGCAACTCCAGGATCTGGCAGATCAACATGGGTCACCAAAAGCAGTTTCAGGGACCATGCTTTACCGAAGTGAACCAAGGAAACGGAAAAAAAAGAAATCAAAGTTCCATGCTGCTCGAGGGGCCACGGGGTCATGGAAGATACAATGAAGACATGCCATGCCCTCATCCCCGGAGAAGAAGCCACAGGAGCCGCCATGCTGCATCCACAGTGTGCAGAGGGAAGTCTTGCAAGACAGTCCTTCAGCCACAGCCAAGCTAGACCACCCATGCCAACCACCAGCAGTGGGACCTTCGCTGGTACCTGGCTTGTGGACAGGCTCGTAAATGAGCTGTGGATTTTGGTCGGCGAGAGGAAGCGAGCTGGAGAGGCCACCTCACTGGCCTCGTCTTCTTCCCCAGACTCCTCGTTGACGGGTGTCAGCACGGTGTGACAGCGGCCAGCTGTCACCTGCCGTGAGCAGCCCCCGACCCCAGTTCAAGAAGAGTCAACCACAACTCGCGCTGTGTCACGGGAGACCCGCCGAAGATGCACAGGACACTCTGCCAACGGCCAAGCTCTGAGCGACCGCGCTTATTGTGCGCAACGTGTATCGTGTAGCGCAAAATGCTGACCATGCCGTCTCCTTTGGGAAAAATCGCCACACGATTTCTATGCGCATTGTGGGACAAAACGCGCGTTGCATTTTGGGCGGGTCAAATTTTTTCTTACAACTGACACGCACAAACACACATTTTTACAAAGCAATGCCGGAACATGAGAGCATCACAGAATTTCCATGATTTTTTTGCCTTTTCACAGAATTCATTACATCGGATGATTGGAGGAAATAAAGTTGGGATTTCAATGGGCTTCCCTTACGTCAGGAACGGCGTCAGCAGGCACTCCGTCACCATGACGACAGTGGTTCTCATATTACTGGCAAAATTGTGGCGCTGCCAATGGCTTCCTCACCATGACGACGGAAGTGCTCAGGTGGCGCGGTGATGCATGTAACTCCATCTCGTCGTCGTCGTCGTCCCCATCCCGCGAGGATGTGTCTCCCCCATCCTCGTCGACTGTAAGAAGCATGGCCGCCTCCCTTGTCTGGATGAGCAGGTGTCGGCTCTGTGCCGTTAGCTCCAGGATCCGCTCCTTGTAACTCTGTATCCTGTCCGATATCTCCTATTCCCGCATAACACAAAGGAAGAGGCAACATATTCACATTGGCATCAGCCTACAACAATGACATCCAGCAACCGCTATGGCAAAGGAAATCATATCAAATGGGTATTTTACTAGATTTTGTCGTCTAGTCTTCTTTAACACGTAGGCATTCGCGATCAATATTATTCATAATAAACTTTTTGGGTTTAGATCGCGTTATTTATAAATGTGTCATAACCCTCCACCACCTGACATGGCCAATCAGTAAAAAAGTGTCACGTTGACAAAAGACAAATAGTTCACTACTTTAGCCCACCGGTGTGTTGAAGAGTGAATCAACATCAATTACAATTTTTTAGTACGACGTCTCGCTGGTAATTATATCCAGCATCATCGGGTAATTTGCCAACCAAATTGCCCAGTGGGCTAAAGTAGTGAACTATTTGTCTTTTGTCAACGTGACACTTTTTTTACTGATTGGCCGTGTCGGGTGGTGGAGGGTTACGACACATTTATAAATAACGCGATCTAACCCAAAAACATTTATTACGTCTACTATTTTACTTCATAAATCACACTTAATGATTATGCACTAATGTTGTGCTTAAATCCCAATGTAGATTTTACTCAGCTTCATGATGCCTCTGTGGTCCATCAAATGAACACTGTTTAATGGGACATTCACAGCAGTTGTCCTTTTGCCAAATGATAACAATGCAGAAGTTCCACCACTGCCTCTTGACCATCAACAAATATGAGCATTGCCCAACATTCACTTCAGCCGGAAGACATTTTCACCGTAACTTCTCAAATAATAGTGCTCCTATGGCTCCTGCCAGGCCTTCCAAGGGTACACCTTATGTTATTTATACAGTCACAATATATTGCTCATGCATACATTTGGAACGGCAAGGCTCTGATGTAAACACAGTAGTAGTCGTAGCCGTTTGGCCTGCACTTCGCTCGTGTCATGGGAGTCTGCAGTAGCGTGCCTCGGCTTCCCGCATAAGCAGGGTTGCCTCCTGTCCTGATTTTCCCAGGATATTACTCTGATTGAAGTCGCAGTCCTAAGAAATCTACATGTCTTCCCGAGACATTGTCACTGCGGTTTTGCAATAGCAACGGTGGCAATCTACACGTAGGCCTCGGCTTCACACGCAGGCCTCGGTTGGCCGTGGCCGCGCGAGGTGCGAACGTCACCTCATGGCGCGCGATCTGTGCCGTGAGTTCCGCGACGCTGCCCGGGCACACGGGGCCCTCCTCCACCTGGAGCCGCGCCTCCTCCAGCAGGCGCTGCACGCGGCGCACCTCGGCCTCCTGCCGCTCCACCTGCGCGTCTGCCTCCTAGCAGTCGCCGTACACGGCACAGACACACGACGCTGACGCGAGCCCTGGGTAGCGCCGGTGCTATTGCTACCACTACTCATACTGCAGCACAATACAACTTTGAATAAATGATTTCCACCTCCCGGCCCCTCCAAATTTTTTTTTTAATTGCATCATTGGTATTGTGTCATGATAGGAATGTTTCCCTATGGAATACTACAGCGAGCAGTGTATCACCCCGTGACAGAGAATGGCTCGAGAAGATGATGTCAGAGAACTACTTCTGAAGACTCTTCAGAAAACCCCTTTGTCCACGCTCGGGGCACATGTTTTCATCATCTGTAAATCTGATTCGCACTGGACGTGTTGTGTTAGAGTATTTGACTCACAATCATTAACTTAATTTAACTCAATCCTATTCAGAGCTCAACCGAGCTTATAATTCCTACAAGTTCGACAAAAATAAGTACCAATTAAGAGCTGACTCATTCCTCATCAGAGGGAGACTTCACTGAACAATTGAATGCCGATGAAATACCACTGCAATATATGTTTGCGGTTGAGCTCTATAGCTCCCTGATGTGTTTCCGGATTGTACCACGCGCTGTTCAGCATGATGTCCGACACTTTCGCTCCTTAAGTTCCTGAAGAAGCTCCCAGTACATGGCGTAAATCGATGGACGCGGAGCGAAAAGTCGAACACCATGTCAAGCAACGTTTTGCGCAATGGCCACTCGCGAAGGCCGTGGCGAGCACGCACCTGCAGGAGGCTGACTTGCCGGATGAGGCGGTGCTGCAGGCGGCTGGCCTCGTCCTGGAGATGGGCGGCGGTGCCCAGGATGGGCAGCGAGACGAGCACCTCGGCCGGCACGCGTAGCCCGCCCTGCCGATGCTGCACCGCCGCCACCTTCTGCTTGAACAGCTCCATGTCGGCCAGGAGTCGCTGGGTGTGCGGCCGCACGAGACACGATGCACCAGTCAGGACAAAGTGGCGTGGCGAGTCGACGTACAGAAACGTTCGCTCGATCATAGTATAAAACACAGGGGGGCGTGTTCCAAATGACCAAAGCGATGTCTACTGTTAGCAACGTTGAAAGCGTTGTAGATTAATCAGAGTAATCAATAAAATGTATTGTCGACCATTATATGCCAAAGTAACCCAAGATCATTTTCTGCAATGTGGTGTGATATTACACAATTAGAGCCAATACCACAATGAAGACCTCCGCAAACTGATTTCGCAGTGGCTGCTCTCAGAATGCCCGTCCTGCGTATATTTCCGTGCGAACTCTCTACAAACCTGTCTGTGCACGAGCTGCTCCTTGAGCGCCAGCTGGGTGAGCTCTGGGGAAGCTGAGCATGGCCTTGGCCTGTCTCACGCTCGCCTGCAGTGACTGCACTTCCGACTCGAGCATCTCGATGTCCTGAGCAGATCCACGCCACGCGACACTCCACTTAAGAACAAAAATCTCTCAACACATTCCACTGTGAAAATCCACCACCGGTCTGCTCGTGTTAGAAAGCTCCACCATACGAAGCCAATTGATTGACACGGTTGGCTACGTACGGCGCGAAAGAAGTTCAACATACAAATGGACATAAAAGGGCTCTATGTGCAAATTTCACATCAGTGCTGAAAATATGACTTCAGAGGGCTCTGACCTTGGTGGCATCCAGCAAGAGCTGCAGGCGGGCCTGGAGGACCTTCTGGAGTGAGGCCATGCGTTGGTCAAGCTCCGTGATCTCCTGCACCAGGTGTTCCACCTCATACACGGCCGACAGGACGTCCACCTTGCCCAGCATGGCCTCTAGGTCCACCAGGGTCTCGGCCGACTCATGCAGAATGGTCTGCAGAGATGACCAAGGCCCCAGTAAAAATGAAAGTGACGTTAGTCTTCTTTGGTTTTTTTGGTAAAGTCACGTATAAAAATAAAATAATAAATTAAATAATAGCATACGACGTTTCGATTGCAACACAAGCAATCATCATCAGGTATAATGAAATAGCGACATAGAATATAACCAGAAAACTATAGACAGACATATAAGCAGACAGATATCACCAAGATACATAGAGAGAGCAACCCAGGTACAGAGAGAGGTGATCGTCTCTGTGGGGTGGCCTTAAATAGACAGAGGGGGGCGGAGGCAGAGAGAGGGAGGGGGTAGGGAAAACATTTACATGTCAATGAGTACGAAGGGAGGGGAGTAAGGTAAGCAGGCTTAGAGGGAGACAGAACACACTAAATTAAATAACCTAGCAAAGTATCGAAATGTTATGTAAAACGACACAGAGAGTCGGTCAACACACAATTAACGCATTGCCTGGTCGATTACGTATTTCAAAGATTGCTAAGTTAGAATTTAAGTGTGAAAATTCCAAAGACAGACAAAACATAAAAAAAAGAGGAACGGAGACACACAGACAGAGCAGAACCTAAGAACGATACAAAACGAGTGTAGACAGAGAAAATTACACTAAATATACAGGCAGAGAGAGAGAACAAGAAACCCAGAGAGAGAGAAAAAGGTAAACTTGGAACTTCCCCGTAGAAGTGGTTCAATCTTAATTTTGGAGCTTTCGTGACTGCAGGAATTATTCTTTGGTTTTTTCGGTAAAGTCACGTATAAAAATAAAATAATAAATTAAATAATAGCATACGACGTTTCGATTGCAACACAAGCAATCATCATCAGGTATTTGAAATACGTAATCGACCAGGCAATGCGTTAATTGTGTGTTGACCGACTCTCTGTGTCGTTTTACATAACATTTCGATACTTTGCTAGGTTATTTAATTTAGTGTGTTCTGTCTCCCTCTAAGCCTGCTTACCTTACTCCCCTCCCTTCGTACTCATTGACATGTAAATGTTTTCCCTACCCCCTCCCTCTCTCTGCCTCCGCCCCCCTCTGTCTATTTAAGGCCACCCCACAGAGACGATCACCTCTCTCTGTACCTGGGTTGCTCTCTCTATGTATCTTGGTGATATCTGTCTGCTTATATGTCTGTCTATAGTTTTCTGGTTATATTCTATGTCGCTATTTCATTATACCTGATGATGATTGCTTGTGTTGCAATCGAAACGTCGTATGCTATTATTTAATTTATTATTTTATTTTTATACGTGACTTTACCGAAAAAAACAAAGAATAATTCCTGCAGTCACGAAAGCTCCAAAATTAAGATTGACGTTAGTCTCTTGGCATTTAAAAATTACTGTGGCAGGTGTGTACAAGTGCAAATGTAGTAGTTCCTTAAAAGATGTTGTGAATTTGTAAGTGGCAAGCAAAAAAAGAAAAAGACTGAAATCGGATAAATGACCTGATGAGATATCAGCTGCTCAGCGAGTTTGGTTGCCGAGCTCCAAACGATGTCGGTCAACGTCAAGTGTTGCGCTTTCTCAATCCACTTCAGCACCGCACTGTGCAGGTCTTGGTACTCGTCAAACTTAGCGAAAGCCTGTAGCAAACCAACGACACATTCACAGAAATCTGAATTAATCCCTGCTCCGTTTGGAGAGTATTGCGGTTTTTTTTTTTACAAACACACATTCTACGATGTACGATGTCAGCACCTGCAATGTTTTGTGGCGTTTATGGGTATTTGTTGGAAGCTGTGCGGCCCATACCTTGGTGAGCAGGACAGAGCGGTACTCAGCCTGCCTGCACACCTGCTGGTACAGGTGTGAGAGCGTGAGGGTGCGCTTCGCTCATCGCGTGGCCCAGCTCGGGGTTCTGCTCGGTGAAGTCCTGCACGCCAGCGTCCAGCTCCACGAGCCGCCCGTGCCAGCCATCCAGACTGCTCCCACACGCGCTGCGGAAAACAATGCCACACTTTGCTGGGAGTCGAACCCTCCGCTGCATCAGCTGGTGCTTGTTAGTCTTGTAATTCACTGTACAGTGCTCGTGGCTCAGTGTGCGCACGGCCAGGTGCTCGCTAACTGCACTTGCCCCAACAGTCTGTCAAGGCTATATGGACGATCTTTGTCTTTGCATTTGCACGTCCAGGCCCTGGAGCCCTCCCAACGTACCAATGCATTTACAGTTCATTTAACGGGTGCTCTGTTAATGGGGGATTTAATTTTACAATGGTAACAAGAGAGGAGCACTAAAGAGTATTCAAAATAGATTCAATTACAAATACTGCTGATGTATTTGGGATACAACTTCTCAAGGGAAATTTGCGGCAAAAATGCAAGCCCGTTTCTGCATACGTGGCTAAATAAATTCAAGAGTCAATCAACAGGACTAAATGTTGGTCCAGATGCACATGTTATTGCAAAATGTTTCTTATAGGGTTGCCACCTTTTCCACAGACCAAACCCAGACAATATTCCTCATGCGGCCTAGGTCTATAAAAACGGTGTAGTCTATTGTAATGACGTTTAATACATTACCACTAGGTGTCAGTATTAATCAATGTTTAACAACCCGAACATATGTAGCTAACTGGGATAATCAGTTGTGGGGGAAGGACAATAAACTCAACGCAAAAAGCAGTTCTAAAGAAATTAGCTTGTAATTTAAAAATCTAGATTTAAAAAAAATCTAAATTAAATGTCAATTCCCAAAAGAACAGGTGGATCCATGTTTTGTTTTCATCCATATATTTATTTTTTGGCCAAAAGCATGCCAATGTCTTCATTCCACCAATGGAGCAAATCGTCAAGGTGAAGTATTTACAATGCTTTGTCGATACTGCACTTGAATCTGGTCATGTTGTTAAACACAAGTTGCAAGTTTTGGGGTTCCTCATAAGCCATGTGTGTGGCTTTAGCACCCCGCTACCTGTTGATCAGTCTTGGCCTGGGCCAGGTTGGTGGCCTTGTTTTTGAGAGAACGGTCAATGTTGCACAGCCCCTCCGTGATGTCGGTGATCTTCCTTTCAAACTGCCTCCTGTGCGCTGCTGGCCTGAAGCAGGGCCTTCTCCTTTGCCTGAGCCTGAAGGACACGCATGGGCACAATGAGTGAAAGAGTCTCCTCCCCACTTACATTTTTCATCATTACACCCAGAGCTTCATTTATTATTGAACATTCCGTGTCGCTGGTAAGCTAGAGCTAATGCGTGACTAAGTAACCACAGCCATAGCAAGCGGTATATTGGATGTGGTGTGACAGGTGCGGAAATATGTTCCTGGTCACCCACCCAGACAGACCCGGGTAAATTTAAGCTCTGATTACGACATTAATTTTGGGCACTCCGGCACAATCTCGATCATTCTTAAGCATGGCAACACAAGGTGGGGCTGATGGGGGATGAAATGGAATAGGGATGGTGATGTATCCATCTCATTGTACAATCCGGATCCAGCCAACTAGTCAGAAAGCAGAATGCATTATCCCGGCCACCCTGCCTGCATTGTCATTTATGGCCAGGTCGCTTGTAGAATATAGGTTCTTGCCTCAGTGGGCTTTGTCTAGTAGGAATGGGGATGGTTTAGTTTTATTTGTATACAGTTTGGGTGATTTGATTACCTTTCTTATACTTTGCACTAATATCATATTTTTGTGCTGTTGTTGTTGTAATATTCTTACCTGCCCCTACTGGACATCTGTAAAAAGCGCTTTATAGGTCATCGGATTCCTCCAGTATAAATACATATTCTGATTCTGAACTGTGCATCAAAATAAAGTAACGGGGCCTGCAGCTCTTGTCAAACAGATGCTGCTCCAGCACAAAGACACGTACTTGGTCAAGCACGGCCTGTAGAGCGATGGAGATGTGAGCGAGCTGTGTGGACATCTCGGCCGGCAGGATGGTGTACAACTCCAGGTACTTGATCTGCTCTCTCCCCGTGAGCTCCTCCACAGCGCACAGGTGTGACGCAGCCTCCTCGCGGATCTCCTGCATGACCGATACAGCGCATTGAAAGGTGTCGCCGACACGGAGTCATGTAATCATACATACGTATATATATTCAGAGCTACATTGACGATGCTCTGTATTCTTATTACACTGGAATTAAACATTATGCCTTTGCATGGTAAAAACACAATAAATTCATAGCAATCTGAAAACATAGTAAACATTTCAGGCCCAATAATGACATTGCTGGACATATCTGACAAAGTGATTTTTTGTATTTAATTAAACATAAAATGTTACTCCGAGACATCAGCAAACATGATTCTTCAGTATAATATAATTTTCTTTTGTAAAAAAAATACGATTAAAACGCATCTTTATCTGGCTGCACCTATAACATTACTCTCATTAACTGCGCTACACTGAAGCACGCAGCACCGCACGGGCTGCTGGGCTGCGTGGAGCGTGCCGTGCTGCTGCTGCTGCTGTCACCTGGAGCCTGCGCAGACGCTCTTCGTGACTCCCACTGCCCGGGTTGTGGAGGAAGGCTCCGGCCTCCTGGCTCCAAGTCTGAAGCGAGCCCAGCTGAAGCTCCACAGCCGCTCTCTCCGCCATCTCCCTCTCCACTGACTTCCGGCTCCTGTTCACCTTCTGTCTCAATCTGCACAGAGACATTCCCTACGTGGATATCTCATTTACAAATCGGGTTCAAAAGCAAGATGTAAATCGTGGCCAAAACCATTGATGCCACACCTTTGCCAACACTTTCTACCCTCTTGCCAGTTCCCACAGCTGCTGTGGGGAAGATGTATTAATTGAGTTTCAGCATTTGCATTATGCAGCTTGTGCATATCATATGTAAATAACAACACACTTACTCATGATATTGTAAGTTTACTAAAGGTGTGCAGCACGAGCAGAACTAATAAGTGTTTGCAGTACTCATTTTTAAAACAAAAGGGCCAATTTATGTAGTTATTTTACCTTTCATGCTGCCATTTTTTGGTAGAAACACATATTTACATTTGATGTGAAGCTGATTCCCCAACAACGAAAACCATTCTGCCACTACTCGCGCTGCAATTGCTGCCACCCATTCCGCACAGGTGAATCGGGCCAAAAACTTGTCGCATAAACTTGTCACAATCGCTTATGTGGAATTTCTCACTCGTGCTGTGAAGTGTGAAACTAAAACTCGACACCAATCATGCCCACACACTCCCGAGAGATTGCGTTCGGCAGTGTTGGGTTACGCACGTTTCGTAGCGATCCTCCATAGCCTTGATCTCCTGCATCATCAGCGACTCGTGTGGCGGCGGCGACGCTGGTCGGCTGAAGAGGCCGAGGGCCTGCTGGCGTAGCAAGGCCACGACGGAGCACTCGCGCTCAACCTCGCGGCCGAAGCTCTCCGTGTAGTCGCTCAGCTGCTGCAGCTCGGCGCGAGAGGCCTTCTCAACGGAGCTGTCGGGAAGCCGCTCTTGCAGGCCGTCCAGCACCAGCGTCGCCTTCTGCATCTGTGGTGGCGTGGCAGTATTTATTTATTTATACATCGTTGACTCAAGAAGCCTCACTGAATCGCAAGACTCTGCAAGTTTTTGCAGTTGGGGGGTGATGTTGCTATGAATAATTAAGTGTATATTTTCAGCATAATACTTTTATTTGAAATAGTGTAATTAATGGTAATTGCATACCATAATGCCGTACATTAACTATATATAAGGACAAAATCCTAGATACAGCTACTACTGAGCAAATTGTAAAATGAATAAAGAAATCAAGAAATGGCACCAAAACAAATAGCATAGAAACGTTTTGCCAATATCAGTTACATTGTATAAATGTTTTGCTAACGGGAGGAAACCTAGGAACTCAGAAGAAACAGTGACAGAGAACAAACAAACACCACACAGAAGGCACTCGAGTCGGGTATTGAACCCAGGGCCTTCTCGCTGTGAGGCACAAGTGTTACGACTGCGCCACCCTGCCACCCACGGGTCACAATGTGCAGCGGGGCATGGGCCTCCCTTTCCACTGCACAACTGCCACGTCTCCATTCAGGAATCTCTGATACTGTTCATGAGCACAGGCGGTAAATCGGTTTATTTATTACACTAAATACCGCGCGCTCAAGTTTTAAAAGCACGTGGAACATTGTTGATTTTTTTGCTTTCCGAAAAAAGTATTTTAACATACTTTTTGCTCAGTTTTTCTCGCTAAACAAGCACCCAAAACATCTCTCCTCGTGCCGTCCCTTCACTGCGCGAGTTTACATTCTGTTACATTTCACAGGCGAAGGCAGACCATGCGCGCACCTCCTGGGCGAGCCCCTTCCAGCCACTGAGCGCTCGCTGCAAGCTCGACTCCTGCTCCTGAGCCGTCCCGCGTAGCCGCGTCCATCGCTGCCACACCGCCGTCATGCTGCGGCCTACAGCGGCCTTGCTTGGCCCACTGGCCAGGCCCTCGAGCTGAGAGGCCATCTCCTCCAGGGAGGCCAACTTCTCCTGCAGCGAGTTCACACTCGCCAGCAGCAGCTGCTCACAAGGTCACGCGCGTTGCACGGCAGGTCTCCATTTCAACGCTTGCTCCGTGCACTTTTCTTTTACAAGAAAGTGTTGGCGTGTGTAATAGACATTTGATGTAACATGCGTTGAACGCATGCGGAAGCTTACATTGACATGTAAAGTATTTTTGTCAATCTACGGCTGGATGAGTCTCTTTATGCTGCGCTGTTTTTGACGATACTCCATCACGTTGGCCAGATAGGGATGGTAGAGGTTAGGGGCACAGATATTGGAGCAGAGTAAATAACAGCAATGGATTTTGCTGCACTGCCCTCTTCTGGCAACATCGCCCCATCTTCAACGCCAGATTTAGTGAGTGTGGCCTCCCATTTAGGCACGATCCACACTCAAACTCCTGCTAAGCTGCCCGAAATCTGACAATATCCGGTGCATTTAATGTGATTTAAGTCATAAAGCGAAAGATGTATTTAGGAATGTGGTAAAGTGCTCTAAAAATGGCTCGATGAGCAGTGCTTGCCTCCTGCTGCTGGAGCCTGCCGGAGGCCTCTTGTGCGGAGCAGGTCTGCGGGGCGGACAGCTTGCAGAGCTCGGCCTCCGTGCCGTTCAGCTGTGTGATCACCTCGTGCCGCGTTCTTTGGAACGCCTCCCACGTTGCCGCACAGCTGTGGACGGGGTTTTCGAACGTGGTGAATGTGAATAAGGTGCAGCCCTGCAATCGCTTTCCCGAGCCACTGCTTGGGGAGAGAACTCTTAGAGAGATTCTCTAAAGAGTATTTTGGTGTATTGTTCCATGCAGGCCATATAGCTTGGAAGACTTTACCCCCACTAATAGAAAAACTGTGCTGGACACATTTATCGTGCCATGCCCTGGAAATCGAACCGTTGCCATCAGGATTGCAAGTCCATTACACGATGGCATCACTAATACAAAATACGAGCGATCAACATTTTATAACTCTATTGCAAAATTCTGTTTCATAATACAGTTATTTCTTAATTATTCGTACGCGGATTATACAAGCTGCGGTTTGCAAAAAATGTGAAGTTAAATGTTTACACGCACACTGGTGACCACAAAAATGTTGGCAAGCAAAAACCGATTACTTAAAAAAAAACAATATAAACAGAAGACACATTCTAGCTCTTAACCTCCATTAAGCATTGGTACGACAAAAAAACATGCGTTTTTTATGCTGATTAATGCATGTTTGGTATCATCTGTGTTTTCATTTGATCAGGGCCAACCTTCTATCCCATGACAAATAAGGCAGTGTTTACTGGGGGATGTGCCGGGTTAGGTTACTGCACCTCTCAAATTGCTGCTGTCTGTCTTTAGCCTGTGTTGTAATGATCGACTTCTGCTCCTGAAGTGAGTGCAGGGTCCTCGTCAGTTCCCCTCTTCCCTCCTCCCCCGTGCTGTCTTCCAGCTGCGATGCTGCCTCGTTCATCTCGACCAGTCTGCTCTCAAACTCCGCCTGTCTGCCCAGGAGCCCACGGAGGTTCTCCAGACTCTCCTGGGAGTTCTCCACGTCCAGGCCCTCCGCGAGCACGCCCTGCTGCTGAACCCGTGACCCCAGGTCCTGCAGCCACCCGGAGGCGTCCTGTAGAGCCTTCTGAAATGTCTGGCGGACATTGGCGGCTTGCTCCAGCGCCGCCTTAATGTTTGCAAAGGAAAAGAAAAAAAACCCGTCGTTAATTTCTGTTGTAAATAAAATGCAATGCAATATTTTAACACGATATGCGTCTAAATGTTGGTGGGGCCTTTGTATTGATAACCATTAAAAGTAGGTTCATTATGTGTGGAATACTGACATGTCAAATCAGCCTCACCTCTTTATTGTGCAGTGCCCGCTGACACAGCTCATGCAGTTGCTGGAGCTCGGCGAGTTTACGCTCCATGTCCCTGGGCACGGGCTCGCTCGCCTCGGCATACCGCTGGGCGGCGCGACTGCTCAGGGCCGACATGATGCGCAGCCGGGACTGCATCTCCTCCCGCAGAAGCTGAAGCTTCCTGATCTCTTCCTGCACGGTGGCTGTCTTCAGGCCCATGGCAAGCGGCTTCTGCAGGTCCTTTGCATTCTCCTGGAGCCACCGTATCAGGAGGTCGATCTCGGACTGGAAGTCTTGGCACTGGATGAGCCTGGCCTCGCAGTCGAGAGCGCACATTCCAAGTCCACTCTGCAGGGAGTGCAGCGTCTCTTGCCAGACTTGAGTTTGCTGATTTACCGTCTCCTGTGTCGGGTCGTCCAACTCCGCAATGAAATTTTGTGCCTGCTCCCTCGCCTGCTGCAGCAACGCCTGTGCTTCCTGCAGCCTGCTGGAGAGTGCACGGTAGCGTTTAAGCTTCTCCTCCACTGGCGTCGTTTCCTGGTCAACTTGCTCCAACTCCAGGTGTATAGCCTCCAGGTGTCTCTCGAGCATCTCCACTGTGGCCTGATAACGCTGACGCGATGCCACCGCCTCCTGCATCTCCTCCAGCTTGCACCCCACCTGCCGAGCTAACCGCTGGTAGAGACTCGTCACCCCCACCATCTCGTCCGGCAGCCATGGCTGGCCAGTGCTGCTCAGACCCTCTTTCTTTTGTTTCAGGTGATCGACGGACGGCTGGATCTCAGCGACTTTAGTCTGCAAGGCTTTGTACTGCTCGAGCTTACTTGTCGTTTCATCTGCGGGGAGAGACACCGAGTCTTTGCTCAGAGTTTGAAGCTGCTGCTCAATTTCTTCGACGGCATTGCTCACCAATTCCATGAGGGCTGAATATTCCTTGCGGCTCGCCAAGGCCTCCTGCACACGCTCGCACCTTTCTCGCGTGAGCGCAACAACCACTTTGAAGTGAGTGGGGAGGCTTGCCATCTTCTCCACGAGGAAGGAGTGGTCAAACTCATTTAGAGATTCAATCATTTCCTGGCCGCTCCTTTGGATGGAGAGCAAAAGGTTTTCATTCTGAGGCACTTCGGAGAGTATTTGCTGGTACTTCTCAATTTGAGCGTTCAGCTCAAAGTCCAAGCACATTAGACTGACTTCAGGGAAGGTCACAATGTCAGCCTGCTTCAACCACTGGCTCACCTTGTCCAGGTCTGCCTTGAAACGCGTTCTCAAATGCAAACATTTTTCCAGCTCCTGCAACCTTTGCGTAGACTTGAGCACCAACGAATCGTACTGTTTTTGCAAATCTCGCAGTCCCATCTCCAACTCGGGCTTCTCCGACTCGCCATCAGCCAATAGCTCCCTGTTCATTGACCAGAGAGCTGTGAGCTCGGACTGGTAGACTTTCAAGCTGCTGTGCATGCTCTTGCAAACCTGCAACTGCTTGCTAATGTCCTGCGGCATCAGTGCCACGTGGTCTTCCGCACTCAGTTTTTTCTCCGCTTGTTGCAGCCAATATTGCGATTGCTGAATGAGCCGGAAAAACTGAGCCTGATCCGAGATCTTCTTCTGAAGCTGTCTGCGGCAGAGCGTCGCAGCTTCCATTGCTCCATTCATGGACTGTTGGGAATCCACCAATGTCTTTTCCAGCCTCAGCCTTTCGATTTTACCCAGGTTGCCAAGCAGCATTTCAGCATCCTTTAGAACACTACTCATTTCCAGGAGCTTGCCCTCGATTTCTGCGTTCATTTCTGCGTGCCTCTTGAGCAGTGTGTGCACAATATCAGACTGGGGGGCTTCGGAGGCAGCCTTCAAGAGTTCCCCAAGGTGCTCCCGCTGGCTCAAGAACCAGGTCATATGCTCGAGCAGCAGACAGTCACATCGCTCCATTTCCTCCAGAGCAGCCACCGACACCTGGATCCTGCGTTCCACCTGGGCGGTGAGCTGCGCCCAGCACTCTTCCGCATGGCATGTCTGCTCACGCACGAGCTCCCGGTCTTCCAGGCTCAGGTGCTCCACCACCCTCTGCCTCTGCTGCTTCACTTTATCCAGGCTCCGCTGGTGTCTCTGCATCTTCTCTGCCAGCTGCCCCAGGGCTTCCAGATGTGCAGCAGTGCTGTCTGTGTCAGCCCTGCAAAATAAACAACCCGTGTTACGCAAACTGAGGCCCCACGTGACATCCTGGTTGTTGTTATAAGAATACTTTAAGGATGAGGTGATGCCACCAATCACTGTTGCATTAATATGAGTCAAAACAGAATGGACAAGCAATGCACTCCGATGCCTTTCACCAGCCCTAGAGATGCAGCACCAGTACTGTTAATTGTCATGTCCCTGTAGAGCTTCACATTGCCCTGGCAGTGGTGTGGGGGGTGTGCAAACACCACTGTCAAAAATGTCTTTAAACACCACTGTAAATATCTCTACATCAATCAATATCACTGCCTTACATTACACCAGGGGGGAACCTATTTTCATACTGAGTGCAAATTAGGACTTTAAATACCTTTAGTGGGCCACAGTTTAGTTAACACTGAATTTTTATCACGATAGGACTTGAATACATTGACTTTGCACGAATTTCAAGCCTAACTGGTATAAATGGGCTTGCTAAAACTAGAAATACAGTGTTTCCAGGTCTAAAACATACCCTCTAGAATGGCTAAGATGCTTGCAGTTTCAAAGTGGAAGGCCATATGAAATTAAATCGCATTTCCCCAAGTGTGAATCGCGTGGCTGCTTGTTTAAGGTCCCAGCGAGCGCCTCGTGGCACCAGCGAACTCACCTGGCCAGGACATCCCACTCCTTGGCCAGGGCATCCAGCAGCTCCTGCATCTCCAGCACGGCACGGCGGTACACGCTCGTCCTCTCCGCGTCCCGCTGACGCCGCACGCACAGCTCGCCGGCGCACACGCACAGCTCGTGCCACCGCGCGCGCACGTCTTCCAGGACGCCATGCTCGGGGGACTCCCGCCCGTCCGTCAGTGCGGAGACACGCTCCGACAGGGCGAGCAGAGCCGTCTCCTTCGCCAGCACTTGCTCGGTGAACGTCTGTGAGTCCGACACAAGAGCGCCGGCCCTTCCCTCTGTCAGTGCGACTCCATTGTTGCAGAACAAGGCAACAGTGGGTGAACGGTTTGGGTGACAGCACATCGGAGTACGGCAGCCAGAGACTTACCTCGTCCACTTAAGGTGCAAACGCACTGAATCTGCACAATACCCGTTTCCACAGTAAATGTAAATACGGTGTACTTACATGCGGCAGCATCTCAAGACATAATTAATAAATAATACAATGCACTTACAGTAAAACCTTGGAAACGTGTTTGTAATCCAAAGTACTCGTATATCAAAGCACTCGTATATCAGTTGTGATCACGTGACGCTCGGCAGACAAAGCGTATACACGTACTACTCGTATTGCAAGACCTCGCTCGTTTATCAAATTAATATTTATTTAAATTTTTTGCTCGTTTTGCAAAACACTCGCAGACCAAGTTACTCGCAATCCAAGGTTTTACTTTATTTAAAATGTCTTTAAAAGCAGGCCGACTCGGGTGTACCGTGAAACATCGGTTAGCCGCAAGGCCCCGCTGGGTGCGCCAGAACCTCACCTGTGCCTGAGCGAGCTTGCTCTCTGCCCGTTTCCCCTCCAACTCGCTGGGCTGGCTTTGCAGGCTGAGCAGCGCCTCTTCCGCGTCCGCCAGCCAGCTCCGCAGCTCCGCCCTGCCTTGCTCCACCTCCTCCCAGTGCCGCACCACCTGATGGTGCCTCACCAGCACGTCCTCCAGCTGCGTCGACGCAACGTCCACACATTATCATCGTCGTCATCGTTGTCATCGTCTCCGACGGTACTGCCGCATGGCACGGATGCAATCGCGCTACTGTGCATCACCGGTGTGTTTCGTGATTTTAGTTCAAGGTGTTATCACGAGTTGATTAATTGATTCTTATGCTCAGGATACATGCATTGAATGGTGTGCGTGTGAGAGTGCAATATTTACAAGTATGTATGCATGTGATATGCTAATGTTGTCAAAAAAGACTCGGATGCACGAGACAAAACCTAAGAAATCATGACCCTGATTTAAGCAAATTAATCGACACTGCATTCCTAATGTAAATATAGCACGACATGCATTTGCCTAAGACATCATTACTACCGCATTGTTCCAGCTGCTATAGCACTGTTTATTTCACTGGCTAAACGCTGCAGGCAAACACCAACATCCCGCCACCAGCAGGAGCTGCAGCCAGCCCGTCCATGTTGCGGCCGGAGTCGCGCACGCCGGCCTGTCCCCGCAGCGGGAGCCACCCAGACGAGATCCCGCCTGCTCACCTGCAGCCCGGCCTGCCGGATGTGAGCGGCCGCCTGCTGCGTGACCGCGTCGGACGGCTCGGACAGGGAGGACAGCAGCTGCAGGTACGTGGCACCTTGCTCCTGCAGCGTGCGCACGTCCCTTGCCTGGGCAGCCGCACGTTCACACACGCACGTGCTGTCACCCCCGCGACGGCCTCCGTGGCTCGGGAAACACAAACCCGGCAAGAATTCAACAGCAGCCTCCGAAGCAGGAAAGTCGAGACTCATCGCCCGAGGTGAACTCAAGCTTCAGGGAGCGCTAGTGCCAGGTGGTGTGTACCTGGGCGTGTGCCTGCTCGAGCGACAGGGCCGGGTCTCTCTGCAGGGTGCCGCTCTCCTGGGCGGCCGTGTCGAGCCAGCTGTTGGCCTGCTGCAGGGTGTCCTCGTAGCTGGCCCGGCTCTGGAGCTCGCGCTCCAGGCTCTGGTGCACCTGCAGCACGCCAGCAAGGATGATGACGCCGCTGGCGCTTGTAAACATCGGAACTGCCCGACGTCAAGATCGAGAAGTCATCACAGCCAAAGTTGTTGTTACTTATTGTGTAAACAAAACACACATACACACAGACACACAGACAAATGCTGCCGTGACTCTCCCACCACTCCCCCACATCTCTCCCACTGACTTAAGGTCTTTCTGCTGGGACTCTGATCAAAGGGGAGAATTATAGAGGGCAGAGAGGGAAGTGAAATTACATTAGGGTAGAAGTGCAAATGAAGACACTTCAGAGAGCCTGAGGCCGTCATGTGCAGAAACAAAGCGGAAGTTCCTGAGCCTGGACTTGCATCTCAGAGGGTTGGCGCAGTGCAGAAAGCAAGAGGAAGATTATAATCAGAGACAACGAGCAGCAGCAGCAGAAAGAGCAACCTCCTCTCGAGTAGAGGGTTGTCGACAGTTTTGACCAAAGGCTGGGGCTCATGCGAAGGGGAAGTAGTCCACAGCACGTGCGTCCAGTATACCGTGTCGGCGGTGGTGCACACAGCGTGGAAGCTGCTCTCGATCGCCTGCACATTGCCCTGCACGTGCTGCCGGAGGCGCGGGCCGTTGCGCTCCCCCCCGCTTGTCACCAGCTGCTCGCCCTTGCTCTTCAGCTGCTCCAGCCGCTGCTCGAAGCCCACGATCTCCTCCATGAGCGCCTGAGTGGGACCACAGTGCACACCCTCTACGTTACTGCTGCTGCATGTCTACCAGTCAATCCACTGCTAGATTAGGCGCCTCTAACATCGCAGGGGTCGTGTTGGTTATTTGACCAGACTGCACCACGCTGCTCAGCACAGGTTGTTGGGTGTGTAGATGTCCAAAATGGCAATGGATTTTGCTGAACCATCCTCTGCTGCTGACATGGCCCATGACACTTGTGTTATACTTGGTGGTCCCACATACAGGCCCTATCGAGGCTTAACTCTGCTTAGCTTCTAAGACCTGGTCATCGGCAGCAGCAGCTGCCTATATCTACTGAGGGGTACTCAGTAAATATTTCAAAGTTGACAGCAATGTCCAGCATTTGGTTACATTTCCATGGTTTTGAGTATCGATTTGATGCAATAATATTTTTGGAAATGTTTTACTTCACGTTGATATTATTTGTATTCTTTCTGTTTTGTTTTTATTACGTTTTTATATCTCCATTGTCCTCCAATCTAACATAACCGTATCATTTGTGTATAATTTACATATTACATAAAGAATAGATACATTATTTTTGCATCAATGCACCACCAGAGAGATGGTGGAATTTCCATCACTGGTTCAAGGCCGCCAATGGAGATGAGCAGCACCCCTTCCTTATATGAGAATGTGGGACGTACCCTTTGACCTTCATTCATTTACCGACACTTTCACATGTGCATCGGAAGCCACCGCAGACACAAGCGTCTCGTTAAATAAAATCAACCAAGCAGGGCATCGTCCGACATCGTCAAAACCAAACGGCGTTGTGAGAAGACGCGAGTGAGAGAGCGACCCGGGCCGGGCTCTGGTGGGCACCTTGTGCTGGGCCATGTGCTGGGTGGTGCCCTCCAGCGTGGCGCCGGGAACGGTGGTGGGAGCGAGCAACCTCCCAGACACGTGCAGGAGCCACTCCTCCAGCGCTTGCTGCAGGCCGCGGTACTCCTCGTGCTGCCTCAGCCATGCCTCGGCATCCTCCACGTAGCGCTGCGTCGACACGCAAGGGGACAGCGTTGGAGCAGCCTCTCGTGTTCCCTTCCCCCACACTCACGAACCACCGCCAAGGTGACGGCGTTGGACCGGACGCGGATTCCGTGTGCCGATGAAGGTGTCGCTGAGCTTGACGAATGCTCGACCTACCTTGCTGATTTCTCGGATCTCTTCAAATTCCCCCTGCAGGTCCAGGAGGCTCTGCCCGATGGAAGGGTCTGCTGTGAACTCTTGCACTGCGTGGCCTTTTTCGATGAGCGAGGCCACCGCGGCCTCGTGCGAGAGGATCGCCTGCATTATACTCTACAGGGGAGGCGATCGAAAGAACACAGTGTGTTATATATAGGATCGTCCAGTGACAATTTGTGGATGGTGCCATCCTGATATTTCTCATGCTGAATTTAAGGGAACGACTTGTCACTACCACATGCAGCTTGCAGACGACATAAACGAAGCTAATTGAAAGTATTTGAGGTAAATTAGTATTGAATTTTCCATGCTCACATGAAGAGATTACATAGTTTGCAATGTGCTACAACATGTGGTTCATTCTTTATTAAATCAATTACTCGCAACCTGTTAAGGACCGTCTGAACTACAAGTCAATCCAAGAGACAAAGTTTATCCCTGCTCAAATAAGCATGAACCTATGGCTGTCATCTTGTTACCGATTCTCATCCGGCAGTGGACATTTCACATTCCTACGGCGTGACCCCGTGAACCCCTATTGACGCCACCTTGTGCTTGTGTAGCTGGGCCTTCTTCTCGTAGAGCTCGGGCTTGGGCTCCGGCGGCGTGGACAGCAGCTCGCGCTGCTCGCCGAGCCAGCGCGCCAGCCTCTGCCGCCTCCCGTCCAGCTCGGCCCCGAGCTGCCGCCAGCGCTCCAGCCTCACGAGGTGCTCCCTGACCGCCGCCTCCAGCTCGCCCAGCCGGTCCCAGACGCCCGCCGCGTCCGCACACAGTCGCTCCGCCTGCTCCGCGGGGGAGCACTCGGCGGCGCGCTCGCATCGCTCCCGCGCCGCTCGCGCAAGCTTCCGGCCCTTCTCCAGCCCGGCCTGCAGCACCTGCAGATGCAAACGGTAGCGACGGTTCGTGAAACGACGCCGCCGCTTGCAAACGCCGAACCTTACAAACGAACGTGCGTGTTCATTTACAGCTTCAAACGATGGTGCAGACCTGTATCTTCTTGATGTATCCTGTGATCATCGCCATGTCCATGCAGTCTGCGCTCCTGCTCAAGTTGGCGAAGTTGCACTGTGCTTCCTTCAACCAGTCGTCGGCAGCGGAGAGTCCACTTTCCGCCTCTTCCACCATCTTTAGGTCTTTCTCCAGGGACTTTGTCTGGTCCTGGATAAAAATGTTTTCATTCTGACTTTTCTTGCAAAATCAAAATTGTCATGTTTGCAATTACAAACACCTTGTGTTTTTTTTATATTAACAAATTAAGAATTGAAACAGCTGCTCCTCGGGAGGTCCATGTCTTACCTTAGCAGATAGGAGCACAGCTTGGTATCTGGTGGACAACTGAGTAGCCAAGCTGCCCATTCGAGTCACAAAGTGGCTTTCCTTGATGATGTTTTGGGCCAAAGAGTAGATTCCCCCCACCTCCTCCTTCTTGTCTGCGATCTCGCTGCAGTAACTCTGAAGACAGCAACATACAAATCAAGTTAAAAAAACTGACTTTCCCAGCATATTCTTTTACGGATGATGTTGGTGGCAGCTGTTTCCAGCCCAACAACTTTGTACGTATGTATGTATGTTGAACTTCTTTCGCACTCTATGTAGCCAACCGCGCTAATCGAAGATGCGGGGGAAAGGACAGCAAACTTAACACAAAACGCAGTTCAAGAAAATTTGTTTTCAATATGAATGATTTTAAAGTGCATAGCTCCAGTGGCTTCCTAGTATCGGAAGCAAGAGCATTCCAGATGGCCAAAGAAGTGCAACCGAAAGCGTGCGATGCGGTGATCGTCTTTATTCCATGGATAGCTAAAAGTCCCTGCTGCGACGACGACCGGAGTTCGCGTGGTAGTTTACGCTCCTTGACGGGGTCGGCAACTCTGATTCTCACACCTTGTGCTGCTCGATGTGCCGTGACTTCTCCCCCTTATCCGTGCTCCTGTCCGGCGGCGTCTTCACCGCCCCCTCCATGCCGGAGAGCCACGCGTCGGCGGCGCGGTAGCGCTCGGCGAGTAGCGTGTGCTCGGCGAGCAGCTCGCCCAGCCGCGTGGCCGCGTGGCCGAGCTGCTGCCGGTACGACGCCAGGTCCTGCCGCAGAAGCTCCAGGGCGCTGCTGTCCACCCACGGCTCCCCGCCGCCCAGCAGGCGGTCTCGGCACGCCGCCGCGTCCGCCAGCAGCCGCTCGCCGTCCCCGCACCGCGCCTGCAGCTCCTGTGCCACAGAGGCCGATACGGCGCTTTGATTTCGCGTGCGGCCCTTCCCGAGTTGCGGGGATAGAGTCAAGCCCGCTCTGTTGGCCTCAGTCCAGAGGCCAATCGGCGTGAATAACAAGTAAAATGCACGAAGCAAATGAAGACTGAATGCAAAGCTGCTTCTTTTGTGACTTGTATGCAGCAATGCATGCCTTGAGTAATGAATAAGAGAACAGACAGCGTTGTTACATCAAATGCAACTCATGGCTTGACACATTCAAAGTGGTCTGTCTTACAAGTCTGTTTTCCATGGCCCTCTCCAAGGTGTGCACAATACCACAGAGTAACGGAGCGACACGAAGCTGTGGTTGTCCCGGGGATGAGTGCTCAAATAAAAGGCGTTAGCGCCCGACCTGCAGCTGCACCATCCTGGAGTTGAGCTCGTCCTCCTCGCCGGGGCTCTCACTGCAGCCGGCCAGCGAGTCCTGCTGCGACCGCAGCCACGCCTCGCACTCACTGAGCTGCTGCCGCAGCGTCTGGTGCAGCTGCAGCATCTGTTCTGCCTCTGCCACCGTGTCCTGCGGAGAGAGGAGCGTTTCACTCATGCCAGCCGTGCGGCACAACTTTTCTATCAGGTTTCTGTTTCCTGTTGTTTTTTCTGTATGGAGATTACACTCTTCTCCAACGACCCAGGTCTTCCTAAGGAAGCCCAGTGTCAGCTCAGTAGGAACACTTATTCTCCACCACTATCACCATCATATGGAACACCATTCCCCCAGCCATCAATGCTGTAGACTCTTTTCCTTTGTTCAAGTCCAGGCTCAAGAGCTTCCTCTTATCTTACGTCTTTGACTGCCCCTTTCTCTCCATAAAGCAATAATGCCCACTGTTTCGGTACTGCGTCTTGAGATACGGTCGGATTTAGACACGCTATGAATCCAAATAGCATTGTATCGTAAGAGTCCTCAAGAGAGCGGCCCCAACTTTTACAAATTGATAGGGTTCTAATCTGCTAGGCCAGCACACTCGCTACCCCCAACCAATGGCAGAGCCAGGATTTTCAGGTAGGTGGGGGTAACCCCTCGATCGAGGGTCGAATTCGAACCGTGTGTGATCGGCATCGCGCTCGCTGAAGGTGAATGCCTTCAGGGAAGTCGTGTATTGTGTACGCAACTGCGCACAATTCTGAGTCACTTATAACTGCTTTGCCGTTACTTGTTGCCAATTATGGACTCAGACTATTGTCCTATCATCTCATAGAGTCCCTGGCACATAATAATATGCTACACAGTGACAGTGGGGGTCGCAAAAATGCCGATTTATTACTAATAAACCCCAATGATCCGATCAAAATTAGGGATTTCGATCGGATCATTAGGGGGGCACGTGCCACCCCACCCCTCCACTGGCTCCGCCAGTGCCCCCAACAACCAATGCCACTCAATTGGCCCAAACTGCGCGATGTGATGGTTGGGGTCCTGGCCGCCACACCCACGCTGTGTGTTCAGGCGCAGGCGGCCGAGAACCGCGGCGCCGAACACGGCGCACCGGCAAGTGTGCGTGCCGCACGCGACGCCGGGGGTACCGTGACGCGGCCGCAGAGCGAGGCGTGGCGATCCTGGAGGTCGTGCAGCTCCATGCGTGTGAGCGCGTGCTCCGCCATGCCCCGCCCCTTCTCCTGCAGCATGAGCAGCATCTCCGCATGGCCTCCCACCTCCTCCTCCAGCAGCTGCATACACAAGCCCATTGTGTGCTGTGAGATGCGAGTAACAAAGACGAATATCCTGCCGTGTAGCCTGAAAAGACTGTTGGGGCAAGTGCTGTTAGCGAGCAGCTATGAAGGCCGGCACGGCACACGAGGGGGTTGGTGGCCAACACCACGCCCGGCCAGCCTTTATCTCCCCAGTGGCGATGTTCACAGACTGCACTAGGTACTCATTTAAGGCTGAGTCGACCTAGGGGAGTCCCAGGACCGGTTTAAATAATTGTCACTGTGATGTTGGCCAACTGCTACACTACCGCTCCCCGCCAAGTAACACACGCAGGCACACACACATACATACACACGTACCAGCTGCAACCATAGTCAAGCAGATGTCTGTGCTGCACGACGTACAACCACCTGACAGCCCTGTAAAGCTACAGTGTATGTGCCAAATCACTCCTAGTATCATCAACATAAACCATAATCATTACCACCGCTGTATGAAGGCCTCGCCAAGCCTCTTGAGAATATTCTTTGGTTCTTTCGGTGAAGTCACGGAGAATTAAAGTGAATAAAAATACGTTTCGATTGCAACACAAGCGGTCGTCATCAGGAAAAGGGGTTAGTCTTTCAAGGCAAACAACAATGTTTGGAGATGGGCGTAGCCCAAGTGCCATCAGCAGCACCACCAGTATGGGCGGGGCAGCAATGCCAATGCAGCAGCAATGCCAATGCAGCAGCAATGCACTGCAGCAAAGGGCCGCCAGGAAATCACTGCCCCCCGCTCTACACAACACACTGCTGACGGTGGAGGTTGATTGACAAGAAAACACAAGTCAAGTCATGAGAATGTTCCCACCTTTGGCTGCCGTCATCCTCCAAGGGACATGTGATGCCCAAGCCCACAACCCCTTCTTGACAGTCAATATGACATCTCTGGCTTGTTAATGTTCCCCAAACCACGTGGTCCTCTTTCGGCCTCTCAGTGTATTGTGCGATGTCATCACGCGCGCGTGCAAGGGGGTGCTTCCGCAGCTTACCTTGGCTCGGTCCAAGGCAGCCTGCTTGTCCCTCAGCTCAGGGCAGGGATGGCGCAGGGCCCCCAGCTTCTCCTCGGCGCGCTCCACCCAGCTCGAAAATTGCCCGAAGCTCTCCTGGTAGCTCTCCCACTGGGACAGGGCGCTCTCCAGGTGGCTGCAGTCAAGGGCACGGGGCAAGAGCAGCGATCGTCTCAACAAAGGTAGAGCGGAGGCTGCTTTCAAGCTGTGCCGTGTTTCAACAAGCGACGGCGGAACAATTTGAAGGCTGGGCGATCGCGTTGCAGGTTTATACAATCGCTTGCATTGTGCCCAGGGCATGCCAAACACACGATGGACATCACTTGCTTCGTGCGCTTGGCCGATAACACAGAGCTTCCCTTGATTATGTGCGCGCGCGCTCATAGCATCGCGAGCACTAAAAGGTCAGACTCCACATTGGGTTTTCACGATTGCCTCCGCCACTTCACGCACACCGAGCCGGGGCGGTGAGCCGCAGCGAGTGAGCTCGAGTGAGGTGGAGAGGTTTAGCACCTCTTGCATTGCACCGCTGCGGACAGCAGCACGTCCCAGGCCTCCTTGAGCTCGTGCAGCTGCTGCTGCACCGGCGGGGCCCCCTCCGGCGCGGTGCTGCGCAAAACCGTGTCGCCACGGCTCAGCACGAGGTTCAGCTGAATCTCCTTCTCCAGCCGCGTCGCCACCAGCGCCTGCGCACAAACACACATGTTTCTGTCTGGCCGCCCGTCCGATGGGGAACTAACTCGCGATGGCTCAGGGGGGTTGAAGCTCGCGCTCATCCCAGCTGAGTGAGCTCGAGTCTCGAGAAGGCCACGGTCTCTGCTTGCTCGGCTCGGGGAGGACGCTGAGCCGCGCGGCGGGTCTCAAGCAAACTGACCAATGTTTGAAATGAGCTCATGGTAAAAATATTCAATATTGATTCGTAACAAGTGGTGTGTTCATGCTTTTTTTTGTCGGGTGTTGAAAATGGTGTAAATGGTCCAAGTGTACAAACTATATAATTTGCACCGGGAGCCTCATATCCACAATCTCTGTCAAGTGGCTCTCGTTTTGTCCTTTAAGATGACCTCAGGATGCACGTGGTGGTTAATAGCTCCTGCCAAGAGACATCTACAGCTTTGGGTGCAAACATCTGCTTATGCCTGACACGGGGTAGCCCGGAGTAATGGCTCGACAAAGAGGTGAGGTTGAGAAAGAGAGAGATGGCCATGGATTAGATCATCGATATTTGGCCGGAGACAGTCAACAGGCAATCCTTTGTGCAGCACATCTTGGCTGTGTGTGAAGGGGGAAAATTGTTCCGAATGCCACGGTATGTTGGCCCCACGTGGGCTGTCGTAGGCGGTGGCGCGAGGCCATACCTCCACCTTGGCGAGGCGACTGCGCAGCACGGTGCGATCGCCACTGGGCGCCAGGTACGTGTCCAGCAGCAGGCGACCGTCTGCCAGCCAGTCCTGCAACTCCCGCCAGCCCTGCTCAAACTGCTGGTGCTCCTGCAGGGCGCGCGTGGCTCTCTGGGCTTGGTCCTGGACATGTGCACAAGAAAATGCCCAGCGCTCACTCTCAGCCATCCGCCCGGGAATGTGCATGATGCTGCGCAAATATCGAGCAAGGGCGCTGCAGGGACACTAGCGCGCAGACAGCTGCCGGCGCTGGCAGACGCCGCCGCACTCAGACGCAACAAGGCACTGCTGTCTTCACGTTGCCAATGAATGTCACATGGCTCGGTTAAACTGCTGTCATTACAGTGTTTGGGAAAACGCAACATTCGATGATATTCTGCCACATGTTTGGCAAAGAACTGCGGTGGTGACTCACTATGCTCATGGTCTTTAACGAAAGCCAGCAGAATTTTTTTTGTGGATGTTTATGACAACATTTTTTGTGTTCATTGGTACTTAATATAAAACATTTATTCAGCGTGTTAAAATAACAGATGCCGAGGTATTTACTTCATGCATGATTTCTTACCACTACTATTAGCCAAAGCTCTTTACACTACCATCTTTGCTACGAGCTCCTGGCCACTTGGAGTGAAAGACCTTTGGGCCCTTGTTCAGCAACTGTAAATTTAAAAAAAATGCAGTCCATTGGACTGTTTTTTCTACCCGTAAACACACCCTGCAGTTATTTTTGTAACAAATTAATCTTCATGACTGCTCCCAGAGTATCTTTCTTTTCCCTTCCATAAAGCTGAATGTGTAAGCATGGAGTGAAAATAAGCATTGGTCTTTCTGGGGTAAAACATTACACGAGTTTACAACCGCTGCTGATGCAGCAAGCGATAGAGCTGTCAAAAACTCTTTTTAACTCAAACATGTTTCCTCCCTCGTCAAAGAGTGAACCCAAAAAAAAATAAAAAAAAATAAAAAAAAATTTGTCCAGCAGCCTTAATTTTCTTTCATCATTTACACTATGTCGCAAAAAGCTCCCTATGCACTCCCAGGCAATTAACTGCAAGCAACTCTTATTGCTGAGTCGCACATCCCGGGCAGCAGGGAAGCATGGTCCCCGCCACTCACCTTGGCAAGGTTAGCCAGGGCAAGGTAGCGCGTGTTCAGCGCCGACACCCTGAGGCCAAAGCTGTGCGCGGCCGGGGCACAGGCCTCTGCCATCTGCTGGGCCCTCTCCCTCAGCCGCGCCAGCTGCGGTGCGTGGCAAGCCACGTCCTCCAGCACCGACTGCACAGAGACGCGCACAGCGCACGCGGTGACATGGCCGGGCTTTAGCGGACGAGTTGGAGTGCCGTGAGAAGTGTGAAAACCCGGGATAGCGGATCACACGTGGCGGGGGTGGGATCATTCGGGCCGTGAATTAGGGGAGGGAAAATCGTGCGTATTCATGGCTTGTGTAGCACTTTCAAACGTGCGTTTGGTCTTCAGAGGTATTTTATCAGCAGTGCGGAAGCCGATGGGTCGGGGAAAAAAATACATGCGCTTACTTGCAAATGGTGCTATTTGCTCTTGTTTGTCTCTAATTTGTGGGCAACCCTTTGATCAATTTGGCCAGTCTTAAATAGCATATGACCCAAATAGCAACACAACTTTATCGTGAAAGGTTTTGTTCACATTGCATCATCTTAACATTATCGTGCCTGCCCATTAGTGAGTGGGGGGGATGAACAAAGGCAAACGAATAAACGGTTTCAAATTGAGTTACAAAACTTCATTGGCGATGGCCGTACGTTTTATGTATTTTAATGCCAAGCATGCCTTGCTCACAGCAGTGCATAGTGTTAGCAGCGTCGTGGGTAGAGACTGCATTTGTGCAAACTGCAACTGAAGGAGGTGCGGGGACATTTAGAAGGGCTCGGTAAGTGCATGAGCCTACAACGGTGCCTTGTTTTGATGCCCCGCTATCTACTGGTGACTTGATTGAGCGTTGTAATAACCACAAAAGAACACAGCAGGCCATCATGCTCCAGTCGTTGTTAGAAGTTAGGATACATCAATCCAAACAGCACACGTTTGACCATGAAGTCAGTTTTAGTTGTATAATAAGAAGCACAGAATTTTCCAAGTACAAGAGAATTTGAAAGTTACATAAAACGTGTAAGTAAACAAGTGATGTGAAAACACGATGCATTTCTTAATAAATCATAACATTGTAATGATTAATGACAAACACCCAAAAATATTGACGTCTGATTGGAATATAAGGAGGTTAAGAACTATAACCTGAAAGCAAAAGATACAATATATTTATGGTATACCAAAGAAACATGTAATCAAGCACCAGTAAAGCAAGCTCAATTAGGAAGGACAACCATCAATAAAATAATGTGTTCAACATAAACGTGAAATGGCGAACAGTGACATTCTTTTGTGCTGCATAAAATGTCCCCGCACAATAAAACACTGAGTGCTGCGTCCACCTTGACCATAACACGGCACCACCAACTCTTCTACTTTGTAATCCATCACAGTTTGCATCCCAACCGTGCAACGATTCACATCATGTGGCAAAGAATCGGTCTTCCACAACTCGCCGCGGAGTCAGAAGCGCCCCACGTCATGCCAGGAAAGCGTGCCACAATACGTCGCTACATCGCTCACTCTGGAGTTGCTGCAACAGACCTCGTGGCTCTGCTCCCATATCAGCAAAGAAATAAAAATCACAGAACGGGCGGGTATAAATCCAGTTGTTGCTAACAAGACATGCCTGTTAGTAATTACACCAGACTTCTCAGTAGGTGGCATTGGACATGAGGAGTGATTGGTCTGTCCTTCATGGAATGCCACGGATGTAAGGAATGCCTTTAGTAAAGATACAACTCGTGCCATGATAGCTCTTTTGTCCCCCCCTCCCCATTTTGTGTGTGTTTTGCATCAGAGCCATTACCTGAAATGTTAACCTATTGTATATTTTTTCTTCTGAGGCAGTGTTATTGAGGAATGTGTTGTTTATTTGTAAGTGTGCTACTGTGACCCACTCATCACGTGCCCACTAAAGGGTGGCTCATAGCAAGACCAGCACATCGCAGAATGTGGCTGAAGTGGAATGAGTCAAGCGGAATATTTTTGTTTTAAAAAAAATCTTACAAATACATATGTGAAGTAACACTTTTGGAATCGAGCAATAAACCGTCAAAATATTGCAACTTGCTGTCTCTGTGATAATTTTCAAAACGAATAACTACAACACTTGGCATGATTAAAGATTTCCGAGATTTAAATTATCTTATAAATACATGCTTTTGTCCTAGTTTTAGGAAAATCCCGTAGCAGAAAAAGTCGCACTTGAAAACTAGTTTTCTGAAAAATACTATAAAAAACGTGTTTGATTATCACCCTGTCTGATTGTCGAACAAAGTGAAATGGCTTTCAAAAGAGTGCAAATTTTTTCAATCCTGCGAAATAACATTCCGTGCCACTTCCAACCAGAGGGCTCCGTTTATCAACAGCGCGAGCCCTAAACATCGGTCACTGAACCTCACCGCGTCCGTGCAAATTAAACAACACGAACGCGGAAACGCAAAGCAAGAGAACGAGCAGGAACACTGGGCAGAGGCACCGCCGACGAGGAGCCCACGGGCCGCCGGGCCGTCGTGCCGTCGGGACGGGCGAGTCCTGGGTGCCGGCGCTGCTTGAGTCGGCGGTCGGGCCTGGCTGCTGCGGGCGTCTCCCCGCGCTCACCTGCAGCCGTCGCTGAAGCTGCCGCTTGGCCGGGAGATCGGCCTGGGCGCCTCCGTCGGCGGCCTGTGCGAGCGACGTCTCCGTCTCTCCGAGCCACTTCTGCACAGGTGCCGCGCAGGCCTCCAGCTCCTCCAGCTGTTCCTGTAGGCCCTGGAGGCGAGGAGCATGGGGAGCATACCCAAAATAAAAACGAATCCCTGACCTGGCCCTAAACACCTTGTTAATTGTATTAGATCCCCTTCAACCAACTTTTTTACTTTCCCATGTGTTGGCCACTCCTCCCCACCCCTCTGATGTTTATTACAAGAAAAGAACGGCCACCCATGTGGAGTTATATAATTAAGGGTGCATGTGACCTATAATGTTCGGGCAGTACGTCTGTTTTTGGACGTCTACTATGTTAGGAAAAAGTTAATAAATAAAATAAATAAGTTAAACAAATTATCCCTAAGCCTGGGCATTTTAGAGTAATGCCTGGGAGTATATGGCAGAGTAATATTTGAATCTGTCCAGAGCAAGGCCTTGAGTAGTGTGGAAAATTTATTTGACATTTTATTTGTGTGTTGAGAAGTATATGCAGTTGTTGCCAAATATAATACACAAACAGAGCTTGCTATCTTTAGGCAAGAGTATTCATGACTTCTAATTAACTCAGCTGTCACGTACACCACTCTAGCGACAGCATGTGATGTCACAATGTAAATTTAGACCTGAATCTCACGAATTATTAAACATGCCCCCTATGAAGGAGAGACTGGTGGTGAGTCCTGCACCTGCAGCTGAGCCTCCTGCTTGTTGAGGCTGCCCAGCAGCGCCTTCCACTCCTCGCGAGCGGAGGCCAGCTCCGCCTGCACCCCTCCGGCCTCCTCGTGGCCCAGCACGCTCATGAGCAGCTCTCCCTTCGACGCCAGCGTGTTCAGCCTGCTCTGGCCCTCCTCGCTCTGCGACAGCACCTCCTGTGACAAAACACAGCGTGGCACGGCCGGCCCCGTTAACGGCATGCCGTGTCACGGTGGGGCACCGGCGGTGGGGCAATCTGCGAACTCTAAACCCTCCCGACGCACCTGTGTCTTCTGTAAACTGTCCGTCACCACGGCGACGCCCGTGTCCGAACCCTGCACGAGCGAGGCCCGGGCCTGCGCCATCCAGAGCTGGACATCGCGAAGCGCAGAGCGGAACCGCGACTCCAGCACTTTCTCCTGTGCCAGGCACCGCTGGGACCCCTGCAGGCAGGCCCTGTGCGGTGGCACCCACATTGACTCCATCAAATCTATACTCGTTCCAACCGCATTCACTCCACTACCTTCACATTTACTACCGCCACATTCATTCCGTTAACACATACTCCCCTACTTTCCCACTCACTACCTCCGCATTCACTCCACCTACCACCACATTCACTCCCCAAGTTCCCATTCACTACCTCCACAATTACTCCATTGCCTCGACCATTCGCGGCATTTACTCATCATGCCAAATATATATAAGAATCTAAGTGTATGTGCTATGTAACATGAAGAACATGACAAACAGCATATGCAGCACCAATACTGTACCTATTGCAGTCTCGTATTATTGTAGAGATCCTTTCAGAGACTGCGCTGACATCTTGTGGGAACTTGCACAAGCTGCCCAGCTGAGCCTTGATGTTCTCGTTGAGTGATTCCATGTCCTTAAGACATTTCTGTGCGTCCTGCCAACAACAACAACAGCAGCACACCAAGGGTCACCGACTAGAAGCGATTTAATCCTCATTTGCACACCGGGAAACGTTCTGTTGCTTTCTCTTGTTGTTAGCGCAACTGTTGTCACGCCGCTTGGGTCGATCATCTCGCGCACACACGAACCTGTGCCCTCCTCCAGATGTCCACGATTTCCTCATCGGTGTCTCCGGCCTCCTCGGCCGCCGGCATGGCTCTCAGCGCCTCCTCGAGGACGTGCGTGGCACGTGCCAGCTCGCTCTCCAGCTGCTGCGACATGGCGTTAAACTCGCGCTCTGAACGCAGGGCCTGCTCCAGCGCCTGCTCCAAGGCCGCTTCCACCTGCCTCGCCGCCGCCTCCCAGGTTTGCCAGTCGGCTTCCAGGCCGCTGAGCTCACGCTCCACCGCCTCGCATCCCAGCGGCGCTGTCTTCCTCTTCACTTCAGCGGCCAGGGCACGAGCCCGAGCCAGCCGCTCCTCTCCGCTCCCAACAGAGGCCAACAGCTCCTGGAAGTAAAGAAATTAGTGTAAATTTAAACTTGCTTTGCCCATCTGTTGAACTTCTTCATAGGAATCGCTTAAGGAGGTTGCTCCACTCGGCAGGGCGCAGAACAAGGTGTGCGTCCACAGACAACGGGAACCTTGATCTTGTTGAGCTTGCGATGCAGTGCGGCCGTGTCGCCCGAGACGTCGGCCCAGCGCTGCAGCTCCTCTTTGGCGGAGTGCAGCCAGTCGCTGACATCGCGCACGCTCTCTTGGTACAGCTGATGCTCCCGCACCGTCTCCTCCAGCTGCTTCACTTTGCCCTGCATGCGAACGGCGCAAAGCCGCACGGTCAGACGGCGAGAGCGTGTTCCCGCAGACAGACGCATAACGTGACGGTTGACTTGAAAACGAACGCCTGCGAAGGCAACGGACGCTGCAGGCGGTTACGCTGGGGGTCAGAGTTCACTCTGACGCTCTTTGTGAGAATGCTCGGGGGGGGCGGGGTGCCGGGTTCCCACCTTGGCGACGGCCATGACGTCGTTGAAGTGTGCTCGGTACTCGCCCGTGCCATCCTCGCGGAACGAGGCGTCCCCGGTACGCTCGAGTAGCTCGCGCGCGCGTTCCACCAGCCGCTCCAGGCCGCCGGCTCGGCCCTCGGCCTCGGCGAGCAGCGCGCGGTAGCGCTCCAGCCGCGCGGTCTTCTCGGCCAGGTCCGCGGGCAGCAGCGCGGCGCCCGGCGTCGGGTCGGCCAGGTCCAGCTCGACGCGCTCCAGCCACTCGGAGAAGTGTGCCTTGCTCTCGAGGTACGCCTGCCAATGTTGGTTCACTGCCTCCAGCCGGCTGCACACCGTGACCGCGCACCACAGCAGCAGCAGGAGCAGCGATGCTGTCGTCTCTTTCAAATAACTTCGTGGCTTGGCATGGGCAAGCGATGACCGAATGCCTCCTGCGTGTGCTTAAGCAGGCAATGGTTGGTACACGTCTATGTTGGTGGTCTTGTATGTATGTACAGTAGGGGGTACAGCTGGTGGTGCATCTACTGGTCATCTCAGTCAGCCAACCCATGGCACCTGCTGGGTCTGTCCCGAGCCCTCCTGTCAGCGAGCCTCAAATTGCACCTGGCCTAGCACAGGCGCCGTGGTGACGTCATCGTCACGAAGTGGCGAATGGTGGGTATTGGTACATACATGCATATGTTGAACTTCATACCGTACGTAGCCAACCGCGCTAATCGGAGGTGCGAACTGCTGGTGGATGTGACACACTCCTATTTTCGGAATCAGCCTCTGGTAGGATGCCTACTTTTGACTTCCAACAAATTGGTGTTCAATTTAAATAGTCATTTGGAAGTTTCCCAACAAACGTATGTCTCAGTCCACTTGAGAAAATCTAAATCGCTTTACTTTCCATGTAAATGATACATCCAGCCACATCTTGTTCAGGCTGTCGAGAGCACCTTTGTAACTGCAGCTGCGTACGCACCTGTGGCAGCTTACTGAGGTGTCCAGCACCTCCTTCCATACGTCGCGCAGGTCACGCAGCTGTCCGCTTATCACGTCCTGCCCCGCCTCGCTGCTGCTCTGCATGGTGCGCTCGCCCTTCCCGATTGTCAGGTTCAGCTTCACCTCCCCCTCTCCCTTCAGCAACAGGATCTCCTGCAGAAATAACCGCACACAGCAATGTTGGCCAGCCTCAGGCAGGCTCAACCCAGATTCTATCCACTCCGACGTTCACAGCCGCGATGATGTGATCAAATAGCTCCTCACAAACAAACACCCGGAGCTGCGGTTTGGCGACAGCAGGCGTACCCTGATCTGTGACATCCTCTTGTCGAGTGTGGCCTTGCTGCCGATGGTGCTGTCGATGGCAGGCAGCCGGTCACGCACACCCATCACCCACGCCCAGGCCCCCTGCAGGGCTTCCTCAAAAGCCTGGTGATCCTGCACACGCACGGCCAGCGACACTTGGACCACTGCGAACAGGCATCGTGAGCCAAGGGACCTGTAACTTAAACCTACCGACACATTCCACTTCATGTCATGTAGATGCATCTCACAGCCCAACCTCGGTCGTGCAATTCCACGCGACGATTTTTTAAATTTTAATTCGAGGTTAGTGTGTGTGTGTGTTTCGTACCGCATTTTGAGATGCCATGGCATTTAATTTCTATGCAAATCCACGTTGTTTTGTGTTGTATATCTTTAGGTTTAATTGCACTGTGTCACAATCAGCGACCAATAATGCTTCTGCGCGGTGGGCGATACCGTTAGGGCGGCGCGCGATGCTCGCAGCTTCTCCCTGGCGGAGGCGCCGAGGTCGTGGTATCGCGTCGTGGCGAGCGTGGACCGGCGAGACAGCTCCACGTCCGCCAGTGCCTGCAGCTCCAGTCCCAGCGCTTCAATTGCCTCCCTGAGCACAACCATCAGATCAGCGGCGCTGTTTAAAACGCGGAGTCGCCACGCGATCGTTTTTTTGTACTTGTGACTTTTTGTATGGTTGAGACAAACGATGGAATGGCAGCCAAAGCAGCCATAGGAGGAAACCGTACCCACGAGGATGTCCACCATGGAGATGGAACAATAAAATGTAGGATATAGTAGTTACTTAAAAATGTAGTTGTGTCGGTTCTGGCAGAACCCACAGCATCCTTTGCCATTGGGTGTATCCTCTGGAGGTCACTAGGCCGTATACCAATCAGCTTATGTGCAGGTATTAAGTGAAATGTTACGTCACAGGATCGTGACGAATAGTGGCAACTTGGGGAGGCCTTCATCCAGCAGTGAATTGATCATGGCTGCTGCTGCTGCTGATGATGCCGATACACTTTTTATTCAAAACAGCTGTGTTTTTTTTCACGTCATCACCTCTGCTTTTGGAGCTCCTGGTAGAAGTCATCCACCTTCTCCACTTCGGCCTTCTTCTCGGGGATGTGCTGCTTCTTGGCGCCCAGCTCCTCGGTGAGGGCACGTTCCTCCATTTGTTGCAGCCACAGAGTCAGCCTCTTGAGCTCCCCCTCACAGCTGGCAGGACCCACAGTGGCGAACACACATGAAAGAAAGATAACCGCAACATGATCTCTCACGTTTACACTTCAAGTAAAGCATCAGACATCAGTGGAGACACGTTGTGGTCAAGGTAGACGAGACTGAGATTATTGAACCTCAAAGGCAATCAAAAGTTAGATGTGTCTACACTTAACGAGGCTTTGTGATACACACGGCACCCCGACCATTTTTGTTTAGTTTCATTCAACAAAGGTTTGTCACTTTTTTGGCAATCGTCAAGATGTTTGGTGGATTTACAACACAAGCAACCATAGCAACGACCACAAGTCTAATAATCACTGACTTGTAGGTGATCGGCTCAGGTAGAGAGGATTAGGGGAAGCTAGGGGTTGGACACTGAACCGTTGAGACGTATTCGTGTGTCTGCAAGCCCTGGTTAATGATCTAACATTTTTCATGATAGTTACACTTATTTTGCCATCTTCGTTGATTTCATAATTGCATTATTCAATTACAACGTTATTCAAGATAATGTGCTTCTAGACAGCTTCGTTCATAGGATCAGAGTTAGCCCAATATATTGAGATACTTTGTACCATATTTTCTTTACACCCCAGCTCTTCCTGACAGAAGAGGCGTGTGTCTAAAGTGGCTCTTCACGTGGCAAGATACATTTACAGCGTTCACGATGATGGTGATGAGCTGGCTGGTGTACGTATGTATGTATGTGTATGTATGTTGAACTTCTTTCACACCGTACGTAGCCAACCGTGCTCATTGGAGGTGCAGGGCGTACGCACCTCTGCAGCTCAGCGAGGGCGTCCTGCAGGCTCTCGCTGTGGTGCTGACTCTGGGCCACAAACGCCTGCCACTCGGCGCGACCACTGTGAACCTGCCCATGGACTTGCTCGGCCATGGCGCGTGGCATCCCGCTTGCCAGGCGATCCCCGCTCTCGGCCGCCAACTCCAGCAGTTTCTCACCTTCGGGCACCGAGTCCAGGAAGCTCTGCAAGGCCACAGCATCAGTGGTCACGACACAAATGGTAAGACACGTTTGTGTTTCGTTGCACAAGTGCAAATGTAGCTGCTACACGGCAAGCTGTGCTGAAGAGTGTTTGAATCATCGGTGGAATGTTGAGAGTTAGAATCCAGGAAACTCTACAAGGCCAAGACACGAGTGGGAAGAAACCTTTGTTTTTGCTGGTCAGAGGCAGGATGGTGGAACCAATATAATTTCCAGGCATACTTATTCCAATAAATGTCATATTCTTCCACTGTGGGTTATGAACTGTCAGTAAAACCACGTTGAAATGATTACCTTCCAACAGCAAAATGTGGTTGCACGTGCAGCTTAGTTTTATCGAGTTACATTTATTCGCAGAGAGAAAGGTAATGCTGTGAATTGCACCTTGATTTTCTGAAGTTTTTCTTCGACAACGGTTACATCGCCCGACGTGTCCGCGCAATCTTTCACCTTGACCCTGGCCTCGGCAAACCACTCGTTGAACACCTGCAAGGCCCCTGCAATACAGCAAGAGGGCAGCTGTGCAAAACAACTCAAGACAGCAATTCAGAACGCCCTCTAACCCAGGTGCTCTCGATTCTTAATGAGCTCAAGCTGACGTTACCAAAATGCAACATATTAGAACTACATAACGCCCAAGTACAAATGTTGCTCCCAATATCGAGCTCTGGTGAGAGTTATTGACTGGCAAGTGAAACTTTTCATCACGTTCAAATCCTAGTTTGGAGCTGACTCAGCCTGTTAACATCTGGGTTTGTAAAATCGGTAACATTTTGTGAGGAGTCAACAGTGGCACTGCTATGAAGAGGCTGGCCCCCTTACCATGAGAATATGGAATTTCCACCACTGGCTTAGGTAAACGTATGTAAATGAGCAACAATCCGATCCCTGCACAAACAGGGCGACACTTTTGACCAGAACAAATGTCGTTGGCTTTCTTCTGTTCACTCGTGTGCCTCAACCTCCCAGCCCGAGTGTCCGTGCGTACCGGAGAACTCCCCGTCCATGATGTGCTGCAGCTGGTCCCGGGTGCTGGTGCACAGCTGGTTGGCCGTCTCGTAGGAGCGGATCAGCTGAGTGACGCGCGCGCCCAGGGCCTCCAGCTCACTCGCGTGGTAGCGCCGGCACAGGCCGTTGAGGTGCTCCCGCGCGGCATCAATGTTGCTCTGCTGCGCGAGCAGATCCTGCTGCACCTCCTGGGAAACGCGGCACACACACCGATGGCGGCATGCACGTCAAGAGGTGACAACGGGGTCTCGGGAATGGACCGTATTCATATTCTTGGTTCTTTTGGTAAAGTCACGCAGATAGAAAGATAATAATAAAAATAAAGTGAATAAAAATAAAAATAATAAAAATAAATAAAACCACTAATGTAGACTGTAGCTTGGTTCTAATTGGAGTGAGTGCGCTTGCAGTCGAAAATGTAGACAGTAGCAATGGTTAATAAAAAATAAAATTAAATAAAAATACAAAAACCACGACGCTTTGATTGCAGCAAAAGTGGTCGTTATCATGAAAAGGGGGGGGGGGGGGGGTTAGCCTCGAAAGGCAAACTGTTTAAAAAGGTTTATAGATGGGCGTAGCCCAAGTGTGTCAGCAGCATGGGCAGGCAGCTAATGTTAATGTAGGAGGAAATAATTTTAGTTACGATTAATTGCCAAGAGCCCTCCCCTGCCGCTATCCCTCCCCACCTTGGCCTTCTGGACGTGCTGTGCCCCAGGGCTGACGGCCAGGGCGTTGAGCGAGCTCTGCACGGATCCCAGCCACTCGTCCAGCCCCACGATGTAGCTCTCTAGCTGGCTCCTCTGGCTGCTGAACTCTCGCAGCGTCCCACGTGCCGAGCGGCACGCCTCCTCCACTTGCTCCACCCTCTGCTGCACATCCGACTCCAGGGCCTGCGCAACACAGAGCCTCGTTACTCATCGATCAAGACAAACGCGCCTCGACCACGGCACGACGCTGCTCAGGTCACACGCACAGGAAGTCACGTATGATACTTTGGGATGCCGTGGAAAATGCACCTGGAGCTCTGATGGGATGCTTGACATCTGCAGAAGCTGTTGCAGCTCCGCAATGTTCTTGTGCAGAGACTCGACCTTGTTCTTTTCGTTTTCAACCTCGGCCTGGATTGGTGCAATGAGATAGTGTCTCATAAATCATTCTGTCAAACCAACAATGTTGAACACAACACAGTAGCGTTTAGAGCTAATGTCAAATGTGGCTAAAAGAGACTCGTGAAAGTCGAATTACAGTTTCCCAGGTGACAATGATACTGTTACTGGTGTGGTTTCTGTCACAGATCAGGTTTTGTTTCTGGTACATGAAGATGCGGAGTAAAGTCACAGAGAAAAACTTAACACTTGGAGTTTGATCAGAATGCAATTTAAAAGGCCACACGTGAATCCAGAAGAGGGCATCATTGACACTCGGGAACATCTCACCTGCACCTCCAGCAGGCGCTTCTCGAGTACGGCACTGTTGCTCAAGTCGGCCATGGTCTGAGAGATTTCAGCCAGGGTGCCAGCTGACCAGGCCTCCAGCTCAGAACCGGTCCGGTGCACATCCTCCCAGAGAGACACCGTCACCTTCAGGCTCTCCGTGCTCTCCTCCAGCCGGTCAGTCACCTGTACACCAACACGTAACGCAGCCACGCGTCCACCCCACCCCGTCAGCTTCGTGGACATTGTAACAACAGCAGCAGCAGCAAACGCAACACGGCCTTCCTATTCAGTTGTAGAAACTATGCATACGAAGTACAAAGTGCAACTGAACAAGATATACGTATAGTTTGCCCTCCGTGAGTGGATTATCCGGGTTTGAGAATTAACCAAGCTTGCAAAAACATTAATAACATATTATTACACACACGCTGGTTCTATCAGAAGCTACGTCTTGACTCCTATTGTACACAGGTAATTAATGCATACTTTATATGTCCTCATTTACGTATGTTTTACATTTATCCGTGATCTTATTTTATCCGTGTCACTCCTCCCCCCCTCCACCCACCACCATTGTCCCAGATAATAGAGAGTTGACTGTGTTTGTGAAAGTCTCAGAAATGAATTGGCGACTTACATCGAGCCATCCGTCCAGCACGCTCTCCGTCTCCTCCTTGAGGGAGGTGACATCACAGCCCTGCACCTTCCTGATCTCGGACACCACCTGCTTGCTGCGCATAGTGAACTCCTCTAGCTGCTCCTGACACGACGCCAGCTCAACCCTGCATGCCTCATGCTGCACCACACGTAAACACATGTACGCACGTATTTAAGCCCTATCAAGGCCAAAGCGGTGCACAGAGAGAGTGATGTGGCCAGTACCAAACCTCATCGTCATGTCTCCCCAGTGCTTATGTTTACAATTCGTGTCGGGTACTCATTTAAGATGACCTAGGGGAGACCCAAAATTAGTTCAGATATTACTCTCTACCGACGTTAGCTGTGGCCGGGAATCAAAATAAGGTCACCGGGTTCGTAGCGTAGTGCACTTACTACTACACCCACATCCCCCACACACACACTGTCACCTAAAGCACGAGTAACCTAACACTGAGGCTCAAAAAATCCTGGAAATAACATTAATTTCCAACTTTTATTTAGACGGTGGATGAAACAGACAAAATGTCCCCCCCTCTATCACCAATGTTGCAGCCATGTTGTCTTGATGATGAGTGAGAGAGGTGACAGCGTTCACAGCTTGACCCCTGACCTTTGTCAAAAGTCTGCGAATCTCCTCTCGGTCAGTGCGTGATGGCTTCTGGGAAACGACGCCCTCAGCCGTTTCCACGACGCGGTTGAGCGCCGCCTTGCAGCCCTGGTACTCTCGCATCAGCGCCACCAGGGCACAGCACTGGTCCTGGCTGTGTGACGGAAACAACAATCAATGCTCTCAGTCAGAGCCGCAGCTACACAACAACATCCACGAATCCTGGAGGGTACCGGTGGAATAACACGACGTGTAAAGAGTTGGAACGTTTATCAAACATGCAATGGATGCACCTGTGTTGAAACTTGTAAATTTGTTCATGATTTGTTTGTTGCAGAGTGCCCTATACGCTGCTGCGTCTCAACTCAAACATTTGGAAGGGTTCCTCCCTGAGTGGCAGCTATCCCTGCAGGCACAAGGTCAATCAGTCTGAAATTGGACATTAGCCTGACAGAAAGGGATGATAGCTATGTGTAATCTCAATTGAGTAATTCGCAGGTCCTTTATGAATGTGTCAAACTTTGGACGCCTATTTTGACTTCAAACTTTCGTGACTGCAGGAATTCATATTCTTTGGTTCTTTCGGTAAAGTCACGTAGATAGAAAAATAAAAATAAAGTGAATAAAAAATAATAATAAAATACGCCTGGCGTATTTGATTTCTCTAAGACGATGGTACTTTGCAAGGCTACTGGCTATCAACAAAGATATGTTCATGAAGCCATCCATATATACAGACACAGACACAATTTCAACCGAGAGGATGGTTATAAACTCAGCAATCATTGGAAATATGTCATCAACCACTTTGGGTCATGACTTGACTTGTGTTTTCTTGTCAACCAACCTCCACCGTCAGCAGTGTGGTGTGTGGAGTGGGGTGCAGTGATTGCCTGGCGGCCCTGTGATTGGTGTTCTCCTGCATTGGCATTGCTGCAGCATTGGCATTGCTGCTGCATTGGCATTGCTGCTACATTGGCATTGCTGCATTAGCATTGCTGCTGCATTGGCATTGTTGCTGCATTGCCATTGCTGCTGCATTGGCATTGCTGCTGCATTGGAATTGTTGCTGCATTGCCATTGCTGCTGCATTGGCATTGCTGCTGCATTGGCATTGTTGCTACATTGGCATTGTTGCTGCATTGGCATTGCTGCTGCATTGGCATTGTTGCTGCATTGGCATTGCTGCTGCATTGGCATTGCTGCTGCATTGGCATTGCTGCTTCATTGGCATTGTTGCTGCATTGGCATTGTTGCTGCATTGGCATTGCTGCTGCATTGGCATTGTTGCTGCATTGGCATTGCTGCTGCATTGGCATTGCTTCTGCATTGGCATTGTTGCTGCATTAGCATTGCTGCTGCATTGGCATTGTTGCTGCATTGGCATTGCTGCTGCATTGGCATTGCTGCTGCATTGGCATTGCTGCTGCATTGGCATTGTTGCTGCATTGGCATTGCTGCTGCATTGGCATTAGCTGCCCCGCCCATGCTGCCGGTGCTGCTGAGACACTTGGGCTATGCCCATCTCCAAACCTTGATAAACAGTTTGCTTTTAGAGGCTAACCCCCCCCCCCTTTTCCTGATGACGACCGCTTGTGTTGCGATTGAAACGTCGTGGCTTTTTGTTTGTTTTTATTTTTATGATTTTTCAGGTTACAGTCTACATTATAGACTGCCAGTACGCTCACCGAAGTTGTCTACATTATAGACTGCCAGTATACTCACCGAGGTTAATAATAAGGCTACAGTCTACATTATGGACTGCCAGTACACTCACTCCAATTAAGAACCAGGCTAGAGTATAATTTTTATTCACTTTATTATTATTTTTCTATCTACGTGACTTTAGCGAAAGAACCAAAGAATATGGAAGCCTATTGAGATAAACGTTATTCTCTACCGTGAATCGTCATATAGCAGCTGACGATGAAAACAATACAAACTAATCTACAAAAGATAAATGTAGACAAAAAAGACCCATTAAATTTCTCACTAAGCAGAGCAAAATAACAAAGCACACGGTCACGAATATCAAACATTACCTGTAAGTTGTTTTTTTACCTACGTGACTTTACCGAAAAAACCTAAGAGTATTACCTGTAAGGGTTACAGAGTTAGGGTTAGGCCCACGCTGGGGCAATGGATGTGGGTGAACGCACCTGAGGTTAATGCCCTTGTGCGCGTCCTCCCAGGCGAGGTTGAGCAGGTGCAGGTGCTGCCGCGCCTCCTCCCCCAGGGCTACGTCTCGCTGAGCCAGGGTCTCCGAGCGCTCCACGAGCCACTGCAGCTCCTGCTGGCTCGGCTCCAGGTCCTTCTCCAGCTGATTGAAGTTTCTCAGCCTAGGCGCACAATTGCACGCATTACCACAAGACTCACTCAAGCGTAAGGAATGATTGACAATAAAACTCGCAACTTTCGTCGTTAGCTATTTCTCGTAACGGAAAGTGAAGTACATGTTTTCACCCCATGGACTTGCTATGCTGCTCAAAATATCAGCCTCTTACATTTACGTTACAAGCCAGTGTTCATGATGAACCTGGCGAGTTTAAATTATCTGTTTGTGAGCTAATATCTACGTGGTCGCATACAAATGTTCAATTACAATAATGTCCTTTGATATTGGAGATGAATTGTTCAACAACATTAATGTCTCACGTAATGAACAACGCATTACCTTTGCTGCAAAGCGTAAAGCGTCGGCTCCTTCAAGGCTTCCTTCTCAGCCTTCTCCTCGATGTCTTCAATGTTCTTCAGCAGACGTTCCTTGCGCTGCTGGAAAGCCTGCCACAGGGCCTGCGTCTCCTCTGCCTGACTGAGCTGTGAGCTCAGGAGGGCTCTCACCCTCTCCTGCTCGTTCCGCAGTCGCTCCGCCAGAGCCCGGCAAGTCAGCCTCTTCTCCGCGCCGCCCTCGCGCAGCCACAGCTGGGCCTGCGTGAGGAGCCCGTCTAGCGAAGCCGAGCGGCTTTCCACCTCCACCAAAGCTGGCTCCATCTCGTCCAGCTCGCCGTTAACACAGTCCACTTTCGCCTGGTCGATGACGGAGGCCTGCTGCTTGACGGAGGCCCTGGTTTGTTGCAGCCTCCCCTCTGCGCTGTGCCACACGTCCAGGAACCCTGTGAGCTGCTCCAGAGACTCGCCGCGCTTCTCGGACACCGACGCTCAGCTCATGGAAGAGGCTCAGGCTCTCCTGGGAGCGAGCCGCGAGGGCCTGCGCGTCCCGCGTGTCGTAGAGGTCAGAGAGCGCCGTTACCTGGGCCACCATGGAGACGCCTGCTGCCTTCTGCCGGCTCACGGCCGCCATCTGGTCCTGAAAAACAAGGGCAGCTTTCTCAATACTGCGTCAGACTGCCACTAAGATGATAACGGGTGTGTGGATAAAACAATATATAACTTGACTATATGATACATTTTATAAGGTTAGGCGAGCATTACGCAGTGCTAATTTATTTTGCCAATTGATAGTTCTGGGCGAGTGATGGAAATGTAATGTGCTTATTGTGGAGACCAGGCCCTCCATACGACAACTACTGTTAACTCGTTGATCCTGGGGTGAGGGTTAGAGTTTTATTAATAACGGCCGATGTGATCAACCAACTGGAATTAAAACTGGTGTTCATAGAAGTCTGGTTCTTTGCCACCTTCCTGCCCAACTGGCTAGAACAAGAAAAGTGTGTACACGTTTACTTTGGGTTCACTCATTAACGAGTTACCCTTTTTAAAAAATTTGTGAATCTGCACCGAGCTGCAGAATGTAAGAATTTGTAAGCGCAGCTCTGATGCAAGTCGACAGAGGTGGTCAGACGCTCACCTTGATCTGTGCGGCGGATGACTGAAGGTCAGAAATGTTCATCCCGCTGGAGCCCTGCAGTGTCGTCTGGAAGTGCAGGATCCATTCGGAGAAGGACTCCAGCGTCTCCTCAAACTGCTGATGGGCGGCGCGCGCGTCCTGGAGACTAGACATTCTGGAACAACAAACCGAGCCTTTCAATGCACAACGTTCCGGGAAGACTTACAGATGTCCCAGAATGGCTACTTGCAAAAAAAAAGAGGACGATTCTAGGAAAACCACGGCAAGTGGCAACGCTCAGCTCCACCGCTCGCCCCCGGGAGCGGGGCGTGCGCGCAGCGCGCGTACCGTTTGGTGAGCGCGCCAGGCAGCGCCTCCCATCGAGTGCGCAGCAGCTGCCGGCTCGTCAGCAGCTCCTGCGCGCCGTCCGCGGGCGCCGACACGAGCAGCTCCTCCACCTGCCCGTCCAGCGACACGAGCGGAGCCTCCTGCGCCTCTACGTCCTTGCGCAGCTCCTGCAGCCCAACGCAGCACGCATGAAAAACGTGACACACGTCACAACACGCGCGTGTTACAACAAAGCACACGCACACACACAGCACACGCACACATCGTACACAAAACCCAGTGGCGCAGGACACGCGAGGCAACGAACAGCACGCGTGACAACTCTCGCAATGCTAAAAAGCAACAAGAAAACAACAAGCAGCATAGGACACCCGCAATAAGCAACACGGCGCACACGATACAGCACAACACGCGTTACAATGCATCGCAAAAACGAGACGCACGTTATACACAACGCACACAGGACACGACGCAACATACACAACACACGACCTTGAGGTTGAGGATCTCTGAGTCGAGGCGAGCCTGGTCGGCCGGCAGGTGAGGAGAGCGTGGGCAGGCGGCCGCCTCGCTCTTCTCCAGCCACACCACGAAAGCACTCCGCTCTTTCTCAAACCTGGTGTTCCACAGACAAAGACAAAGATCCCCCATGTAGCCTTAACAGCCTTTTGGAGAAAGTGCTGTTAGCGAGCACCGATGAAGGCTGCCACGGCACACGAGGGGGTGGGTGTGCCAACACCACGCCCGGTCGCCTTTGTCTCCCCAGTGGCGATGTTTACATGCGGCACCAGGTACTCATTTGAGGCTGAATAGCCCTAGGGGAATCCCAGGACCGGTTCAGATAATTGTCACTGGTGTTCGCCGTGAGCGGGAATCGAATTCACGTCGTCGGGTTAGTAGCGCAACTAACAACTACACTAACTAACAATTACACTACCACACTGCCCACGTTCCGCACACACACACATAACGTACACAGATGCACACACACACACAGACACGCACCGCACAGAGAGTGAGCCTCCATGTTTTTGTCTTATAGACTTTTGGGGAAGAGTGCTGTCCAGAATGGCGCACACAAAACTGTTCTCAATGTGCAGGCAGCACAGCATAAACTCCCTCTGCGATGGGAATGTCAAACAGTGGCTCAGAGCTGCCACTGAAGATGAGCACAGCCCAAGGAGGCTCTGAACGCTGAAGAACAGAACAGCACGCGCATCCTTTTGCCTTTTGTACAAGACCTTAAAGGAATTCAGCACCAAACACAACTTTGCGTGCGATTAGGCCTCGGCAAGGTAAGGTAATTTACCCTTTTTACCGGGTAAAAGCATCGACATGCCAAGGGGTGAGGTAAAGGGTAGGGTAAAGGTAGTGCAAAGTATTACCTGGTAAACAGCTTGTGTTTACAGCTCGCTAAAAGCTCCGTGGCGCAGTCCGTGGCCTCAATTTAAAATTGGAATCGCGAGTATTCTATATGAATAAAGCGTTCTACCTAGCATTTACTTGTTATAAACCTTGTTCATGTGTAGTACCCCAGTAATTACCCTGTAATCGGGGCATGTGTGGGGTAAGGGTAAAAGGTAGGGTAAAGGTAGGCTCGTTGCTTTTGACCATTTACCTTACCTTGCCGAGGCCTACGTGCGATAACAGTGACCCACACTCACGGCCTTCGATGTTTAAACTTAGCGGTGGGAAAACAGTGCAGCCTTTTGCAGCCTCCTTAAAGATGCAGTGGCCAGCCTGGCCCAACAGGGGGCGCATTGCTAAGGACTGCTTGGAGTGGTGTGTGCTTTCAGGGTCTCCAGCCTCCAGCTCATAAATTTAATGGCCTTTGTTTAGATACTGGGGTAGGGAACCTTCATTTCAAACGGTCCAAGGCCACATTAGTCCTCCCGTTTCTAAACGGCCCGCAAACGATATTTATCCATCGCTGCGTGAATCGGTTGCTGGAGGGGAATATCTTGGATCTGGCCAAACTGTTTATAACTTCAGTGCGCTTAGTCACTTCGGTCACTGCAAGGAACTCCTGAAGCAACAAAGTGACCAATATATACGTATTAACGTGGTTGCCCGCCAATAGTATTTGAAAGCCCTGTTCAGCCCTAACTTAAAAAAAAAAGTTCACCACCCCTGATTTAAAACTAAAGCCTGCCGAGGCACTGTGCATGGAGATCTGGCAAAAATCTAACGTTTAATATAAGCCACCGATTCTCAATGTCGCCCACACCTCTGCCACGTGGCCAGAACCTCCTCGAGCCGCTGCTGCTTGTCGGCGGCCAGCGTCAAGTCATCACGGTAACGCTGCTGAAGCACCTCCACTTCCTCAACGGCGTGGCCACCGTCCCTCACGCGCGGGGCCTCTCCGGCCAGGCCGCCCAGCTGGCCTCTCTCCACCTCGAGGGCCTGCCTCACATCCTGCGGGCCCCGCAATGCACCACACAGCTCGCACCTCCAACTCAACCGCCGACCATGGCAAACCTTCGCAACGAAGCATTTCTCTGGCCCTTACAATCTCCCGGACTTGGCAAATGCGGTTGAACGGAGCTCGTATGAAACGTCAATTAACAAAGGTAACTGAGCGAACGATTTGTTAATTGTGACTCTGTAATTTCTGTCAGCTTTGTGCTGTAATTATGGATGCACTTATCGCGAGTGAAATTGCTACGAGTGTTAATCAGTTTCAGCCCCACTGCCGTCCTCAGCAAGCACAGAAATTCACGTATAATTTACGAGCAATTAAAATTCCCCCTTCATGGGAAAAGGTCATTCGTGTTAACGATGTTAAGAGTAGCATTGTGAATACATATTTAAAGCAGTTAAAAACACAAAAATTACACAGCCTCGTTAATTCACGTTTATGTGCATATATCGTGCCGTGGCCTGGCGCGTTAGACCCGGTTTAGTTCATAAGAAAGCAAGAGGCGATAGCGGACAGTTAAGAGATGTTAGAAACCCCCTCACCATGTGAGCAAGCAGTGCTTTGTACGTCTGCGCAACACAAGTGCAGTTTTGCACTGGAGCATGCAACAGGTCCTCCAGCCCGCCCAGGGCTCGCAAGGCCTACACGCACACGGGCAGCCACACACGGTGCCGCGTTCCAGCAGCAGGAAAGCAACGGGCGCGCCGAGCAAGCAGCGGCAGCGGCAACCTCTCAAACCCGCGAGTAGCCCCTCCCGGTCATCGCAGCAGGTTAGAGGACGGCATTAGTGTGACGAAGCGTTTGGCATTCGTTCAATGAAGCTGCTGTTGGAGTGCTCCATTGGAGATATGCACAAGCAAACGTGGGTGCTTGATGGGGTTAATCGTTGTTTACAGTGCAACACTTCAACTTTGATTTCCTTCAAAGCAGCAGCAGTGCGACCGCAGTAGTGCCCGTGGGCCTCAGGGGCCCAGGCTCCGAAAAGGGATGAGGGAATGGACAGGGGACCTCATTTCATCCTTCGCTCCAGGGCCCATCGCAACCACACTATGGCACTGCTTCAAAGCCTTATCCACCTGCTGCATTTACTGTGGAAGCCTGGCTGAGGTATCTCTGGCACAAGGAGACCATTACCGACATGCATTTATCTACTGTGGACGATTAGAAAAATGTGGGGTGGCGTTGGCCACCTGCTGCAGCTCGGCCTCAAACTTGTCCCCGAGCGCCACGGCCTCGACAGAGGAGGCGTGAGTGGCTTGCGCGAGGGCCCGCAGCTCTTCCGTGCGGCGCGACAGCTGCGCCAGGCGGGCCTTGACGTGGGACACCTCGGCAGGACGCACGTGTGACGCCAGCGCCTGGCTCTCCTCCTCCAGGGTGGACACCTCACCCCGCCGGGCCTCGATCTCCTCGAGCAGAGCCTGAAAGGCAGGTGGGGGCTGTTCAAGCGGTGACCTTACGCTGACAGCTTTGTGCCGTGTGGGGATTCTTCCGTGTAAAGTGTAAGAAACAACAAAAGTGAGTGAAAGGTGTTTACCCTTTCACTGCCTTTGACGCTGTCGTTTCAGAGCGCACAAAACAACAAGCTAAGCCCTGCTGGGCACAGTAGGGCTGATCACGTGTGTGCGGGTTGGGGCTTGCCTGGGATTTCTGAAGCTGTGTCTCGGCCGTGTTGCCAGGGCTCTCTGCGTCATGGATCTGTGCCTCCTTCTCCGAGATCCACGTGGCGAACTCCTCGTGGTGGCGGATGAAGGCCTCCCAGCTCAAACGAACCCGCTCCATTGAATCGATGCTGCAATGGCCACGCACACGTCCCAAGAAACCGACTGTGTTGACTGAATAAGCTCCAGCTTAGTCGGTGAGCTCTCACAATGAAAAGCAGCTTACGTACAAATAATAACGTTTTTTTTTTACTTCCAGCGAGAGGAAAGGAACACCTTGACATTTCAACCAACATGCCTTCAATCAAGAAAGAATAGGCTCGTACATCCTGAAAGGTGAAATGTTAAGATCTCTGAAAGTCACAAAAGACACCATGTTTTTATTTTAACATTCATTTCTATATATACACAAGACAAAGCCTCAAGAGACTTTTGGGGAACGTGCTGTTAGCGAGCACCTATGAAGGCTGGCACGACATACGAGGGTGTGGGTGGCCAGCACCACGCCCGGCCGCCTTTGTCTCCCCAGTGGCAATGTTTTTACACACCGCACCAGGTACTCATTTGAGGCTGAGTCGACATAGGGGTGGCCCAGGACCGGTTCAGATAATCGTCACTGGTGTTGGCTGTGAGCAAGATTCGAAACTTAGGTCGCCGAGTTCGTAGCGCAATCCGCTCCCCACAGATATATTTCACACACAAGCACACACACACATATGCTACAGATCTTAAAACAAGTGGCTGAAAACATTCACTCTCCATCATCAATGAGCCTATCCATGCATTTAGAAAGAGAAAGCGCCCACTTGTTGGCGAGCGTGCGTGTGGCCGATGCCAGCTTGTCGTGCAGCGCGCTGGCGTCGTGCCGCAGGGCCTCGGCTCGGCCCGCGTCACGGTGGGCCGTGCGCGCCTCCTCCTGCAGCGCCACGGCTCTCGTCACCTGCCCCTCGGCTCGCACCAGCAGGTCCTGTGGGGACCAGCCGCATACCGCGACGATCGTCTGTCAGGGATCGTCATCATTCCAGGCACGTCCCAGTCGCTCACCCACGCGACACACGTGACACACACGCACGCAGCACGGTGTGTGAAATGTAGAGCAACCGTTTGCGTGTTACTGCAAGAGGCTTCCATCAAAATGACGAACGGTGCTGGAAGACACCCCCCTTTGTCATTACAATAGGCCTCTATTGTATATGTACAGCCCCTTTTGCCAATTCCATGGAGGATGAGGGCCTCCCCCATGCCATGCAGGTTGTGGGCGTTATTTGACCGTACTTCACCACAGTGAGCGTGTGTTGATAAGGGTGGGGAACATAGACATTAGAGCGTAGTACAGTACTGTACGTACAGTCAATGGATTTTGCTACACTGCTGTCTGCTGGAAACACAGAGGCCTCAGTTACCAGCAATCAAAACCACGGCACTCACGATACAGGAACTTGCGTCTCGGGTGAACACGCACAGCTTGAATTTCAGTGTCTCAGCGGTGCTATCCTGGTGCTCTGACACAAACACCAGCTCGCCGAGCCCACCAGACTTTTAGTAGAGAGACGAGATTCTGGAGCGGTCGCGTTTTAGGGCGCGATGGTCACAGCGTTCCCGTACCCTGGCCTGCTGCAGCTCGGTTTCCAGGTTCTCCGGGCTACTAAACTGCAGACGCCGCTCCACGGCGGAGCCGACAATTCCCAAAAACTCGTGCAGGCTCGCCTTCTCCTCCTCGAAGTGCTGCCACTTGTGCAGCTGGGTCTGCCGTGCAAAGCGTAAAAAAAAACACTTTAGCAAAGCAGCAGCGTAAACTGCGTGTGAACGACGCCATATTGACAGCGCTGGCAGAAACCATGAGTGTGACGGCGATGAAAGCGGTGATGCACGTGACGGTGACAAGGTCAGTGGTGATATAGTGGTGAAGGTATCAAGGGTGCCCTCATCCCCCGTTTTTCCACCTTTGTCTCCTGCTCCTTCTGGTCGAGAGCCGGACCCAGCTCATGGAGCAGTGCGCGGAGTTGCTTCAGATCGGCGCGCACGCCCTCATCCTGGGCCTCCAGGCCCTGCCCCCGGCCTAGCAGCTGCTCCACGAGCGGCCTCCTGCCCCTCAGCGCCGTCACATGCTTCTATGGAGTCAGGCAATGACGCATCCATCCTCCAATTAATTAATCCTTTCAGTCGCAGTGCAATCGTTTACATAAACGATGATTTACTGATCATGCTAATTATATGCGGATATAATTGTTATGATAATTACCGACATAAAACTACAAAGGAGAAAGACAAACAGTACTAATGAGATGGTACACATGAAATAAAAGGAGAATTCATTTCCTATAATGGGATTTGTCAATTGATCAAATCACTTAGTGGTTGGTGCATGGGGCGGGAGGAGGTGAATAGTTACCTGCCCATGTACACGATCTAAAAACCCCGTTAAATTGAAAACTACAGATGTCTATTACCGTCCAAGGCGAACAGTGAACACAATTTAATAAAGTACACATTTACATGCCAATGCGGCACTGCTGACCACACGTGTCCCACCTGCAGGGAGGCCCACATATCCTGGGCCTCCTCCAAGGTAGCGGCCTCCACCGTGGCGTCAGCCTCAGCCTGCACCTCCTGGAGGGACCTGCCGATGTCCCGCAGGACGGTCTGCACCTCCCTGCGGTAGCGCAGCACTTTCCCGGCCTGCACCAGCTGGGCCTCCACCTGCAGCCCAGGCAAAGCCACGTAGTCGTGATTGATGTCAAATGACCACACGCTGCGCAGGCGAAAGCACTCACATTTCACACTTTGGGGTAATAACGAGAGGAATGTTGAGGTAGGGGAAATGGGCATTAAAACAAACTGGAAGAGGTCCCCTCTTTACCTCAATAAACATCCTCTGCAACTTTGCCAGGTCCCCCGAAAGACCCTGCAGTTCACTTCTGCTGTTGGAAATGTCTTCTTTGCTGCAGAACTCGGTCAAAGCGTCGAGACGCATCTTCAGCCAGCTCACCTCAGAGTTCTGGGAATCTCTCTCATTGCCCAGAGCCTGGTTTAGTCACATAGGAGTAAAAAAAAAAGAAGGAAAGGTCACGTAAAGTTTTAAAACTGACTTCACATTGTATAACATTTTTCTCAAGGGAATTGGAATGAAAAAAACCATTGTCCAATTGCAAGCGATATTTATCGCACACACCTGCAACCTTGCTCCGAGAGATTCGAAAACATCGTCCCTCTTGCTTTGACTTTGAATCTCACCAAGAGACGCTTCTGTGGCTTTAAGCCATTCCTTTACCTTAGAAAACCTGCAGAGCAAAGAAACACAAAGGCTCCAGAGTGTTGTGTGACACAGCACCTTGGCAAGAATGAGCACAGGGCTTCAGATGGCGGCAAACCGATGTCCTTCCATGGGAGAAACCATACATGCGACATCTGCCGTAAATAGGGCCGCATGACGGCCGACCTTAGCAACCCATAGTTATTTTACACATTCATTTAAAACTACTTGACTTGAACGGACTAAAGCTCGAAGGACAATTGAATCTGTTAACTAATTAATTTTAAAAAAGCAAATGAAACTGCACCCAGATATTCGAATGTAAACACACGGACATACACAACACCGTTAAATTAACGGCACAAAAGCCACGACACTTGACAACAATACCAAGACTGTGTTATTATAAGGGCACAGCAATGCATTGCAGGGCAGGAAAGGGCAGGGCAGAAAAGGGCAGGGCAGGAAAGGGCAGGGCTCACCTGAAGTTGAATTCACGCCACTTGTCGGGGTGCTGTCGCAGCTGCTGTGCGGTGCTCGCCACGTATTCCTGGAGCTCCTGGAAGTGCTCCTCAGCGTGCGCGAGTCGCGTGCGAAGGCCCTGCTCCACACGGCCAGGAGGCAGGCCCGAGAGGGCCTCCCGCATGGCCGCCAGCCGAATAAGGCACTCCCCAAACACTCCGGCCTCCGAGAAAAACTCCTGCACGTCACAAGTAACAAAAAAAAATGCAAGTTAATTTTGTTCAACCAAACGAGAACTCACGAGACCAGGATAGAGTGATTTAGGCATCAATCTGCCTTTAGGGGGCGATGATCGCTATGCATCATCTCAACTGAACAAAACACATTCCTGCGGAGGGAGCTGGTAGGAACGTTGGGTTGCTCGGTCAATGGCCAGGGTCAACGGCGGCGTGGTGTATTTCGCAAATATGGCCGACTGTGAGGGCGGGCACAAGCCGGCGTGAGTAAGTTAAACGTTGAGTTGTATAAGGGCACCACGGGGTGACCAGCCCCTCCCCACCCAGCCCCACCCCACCCCACCCAGCCCCACCCCTCCCACCCCCCACCCAGCCCCACCCTCCCCACCCAGCCCCTCCCTACCCTCCCCTCCCCATCCAGCCCCACCCTCCCCACCCAGCCCCACCCTCCCCACCCAGCCCCTACCCACCCTCCACTCCCTACCCAGCCCCTCCCTCCCCACCCAGTCCCTCCCTGCACGACGGACGGACACAATAATCCCCTGTGGGCTGGTGGAATCAGTGGGTTCCTACCAGTATAAGTGTTGCGTACAGGAAGCAACCCCATGCAGATAGAGGGTAGTGATAAAACCTCTCCGTCACGATGTCGCCTTCGCAACTATTCAATGTGGCTGCACCTCCGATTAGCACGGTTGGCTACGTACGATGCGAAACAAGTTCAACACACATACATGCTGTGCAGTGAGGTCTTCACAAAGCAGGCTGTCAAAGTGTACGATGCCGACAGAGGTAGGTGCCTATGCGACCTGGGCTCACTCGAGGCAGTAGCTGCAAAAGCTGTCACACAATGCCACACTCCCTACTGGCAAAACCAGCCCAATTCTCAAAAGTGCACGCTATTTTGTATAGAATACAAGATAAAGATGCAGCTCTGCAAATTGCCACTACTGGTGGAAGGACCTCCACTAAGTCGAGCTCTACAGAGCCCCACTAGAAGGTATTCTGGTTTACTCTTCCCCTTTGTAAACAATACTACGTCATATTGATGGTCATTTCTCACAATCGCAACCCAACAAAGGCACGTATATACTGCTGACGAGTTTTTGCCCATTTGCCACTAAACGCAGCCTTTCGTGTGAACACGTTACGCTTCATCCCTCGCCATCCGATTTATCACGGTTGGGCTGCGTACGGCGCAACAGAAGTTCAACACACGTACGTACAAATTCGTGCATATTATTGAGCGACACACTTGGCGACACACTTGGCAACGCGCTGGGCTGGCGACGCTGGGGCTCGCTCACCTTGTGACCGCGCAGGAGCTGCTCGCTGCTGGCCGAGCTGAGCGCACGGTTCTCCGTCGCCAGCTGCAGCTCGCAGCGCTGCACGGCGCTCACGAACCGCTCCTGCTCCGCCTCGAAGCGCACGCGAGCCAGCTGACCCGGTGCCTCCGTGCCTATCGCCTGCACGCACACACAAAAAAGTTAAAGACGAAGATTCCCCCGTATAGCCTTAACAGACTGCTGGGGCAAGTGCTGTTAGCGAGCATCTATGAGGACCGGAAGCTGTACACGGAGGGGTGGGTGGCCAGCACCACGCCCGGCCGCCTTTGTCTCCCTAGTGGCGATGCTTTTACACACCGCACCAGGTACTCATTTGAGGCTACGAACCCACTGGGTTCGTAGCACGCTAACCACTACACGACCGCTCCCCACACACCCACATACGCGTGTGCGTTCAAAGAGGGACAGCGACTTTACACCAATACCATGAGATTAGCGATTACAGCGAAACGAGTGGCTGTCAGAATCGGTAAAATCTATCTCCTCTCGTTTAGTTTAGCGGCAGATTTATTCATGATCAATTAAATCGATTGCCTTGGCTTAGTGGCCATTTAGGCCACTGCTGTCTGCCCTTATCAGGGTTGTAGCCCTTGCTTGCACATATACTACAGCCATTGCTAAATGAGGGCATTGACACACTGTGTGGATCGGTGTTATTTGAACCCGTGACATGCACGGTGGTCGCCCCTCCAAACACGATCCAGGCCCAAATCTGCTTAGCTTCCCGGATCTGACAGGATCGGTCCCACCGCGGCTTATTCGGTCATTGGCACGTGACCCTTCGCGCCCCATCACGTTTAACCTGCACGCGTCGAGTGCACCCCCCGCGGAACAAAGACCCCGCCCCCCCCCTCCCCCGACGCACGTGCACGGCGGAGCGAGCCTCGCCGACGGCAGCCTCGTGCGGCGAGGCGTCCAGCTGCTGCAGCGTCCGGCTGGACTTGAGGAGGTGGCGCACGGCCTGCAGCGCACGCTCTGCCCGGGACAACGCCTTCTGGCAGCTCTTGGTGGCTGCCTCCACGTCCTTAGGGCCCGACGCCGTAAAGGAGCAACATTAGTACTGCCCTGACTTTAAACTGTCATGCGCAATACGGCGGAGTAGTGCCTTTACTGTACAAGTTGACGATTGCATAGAATACTGTGTCTGTACGAGCTATGCTCTCGCAAAGGCTGTTCTCGCAGGGATGAGATGAGCTCATGCACAGGTGCGTTGTGGATTGTGGCATTGCGATGCTGACAATGTGGAGATGTTTTCATTCAGTCGTGGATAGAGCATTGCTGATAATGATAATAATAGTGCCCCTATGCCTGTGAAACACATTTACATTAAAATTCAATATAATTGAATTAGATTTAAATTTGTGCATGTGTGTTATTCGCTCAGATTTTTGGCACAACAGCTCGGCATAACATTTTTGGAATCTGGCATAATGTGACACCAGGAGCTGTGTGGTACCTTTTGCTGGACCATGGCGTCTTCCTTGCTGGCACCGGGAGCCAGGCTGCCAATGGTCTGGGTGGCTCTGCTCAGGCACTCGCGCGTGTCGGCCAGCCCGCTCTCCAGCTCCTCCAGCGTGCTCGCCAGTTGCTGCGCCTCCCGCGCCAGCACGGGGCACTGCTCTCTCGTCTGCGCCGCGCGCACGCAAGGAGGAACAGCTTCAACAGGGGCCTCTTAGCCAGCGAAATCAAGGGTAGATAAAACATGGGCTATTAGGTTGCGCATTGTGGTGCGAGTCGGAGAACGGAGCTGTTGAATTGGAGCCGGTGGCCTTGCATTGGTTTGCTTTGAGTCGGCCCGCGCCCCCACGCACACAAAACGGAGCCTTACCTTGACGATCTGGTCCTTGATGACTGTCATGGCGTCCAACATGCCTTTAACTTCCTCCTCCGTCGTGTCCTTCACCAAGACCTGCGCCAGCTTTGACACGGCCTTGAACTGCGTCTCTATGCTCGGAATCCTCTGCTTCATGGTCTGAAAGTGCAAGTCGAGTTAGAGGCCACTCGGGAGTGGCACATGAGGACCGAGCGTAGCCACAAGCATGAATATTAGCAGTCAGGCTCGCGCTGACAAAGCACATTTCTTAATTTCGTACCAATCTAATATAAAAAAATAGGTGTATACTACTACACAACAAGTTCAACCTTTGACTCAATATTGTTTAAGTATGTAGCCTTGACTACGTATTTATTTTTATGTCATGAACGGTATTCTGAATTGAAGCCTGCTTCTGCCATGTGGATTGAGTTATTGATTGGCAGACATAGTCCTTGTATATTGTTTGAAGCACTGCTGTTCTGTTGGTTATATGTCATCGTGGAAAATTAGTTTTTTTCACTTTGTGTTCCGATTAACCTCTCGCTCAAATTCTCCTACATTTCCCCAGGTCTGTTGATAAGAGCCTTTACACGGTTAAATAAATACATTCATCGGTCTCTCTATACCCATTTAAAGAAAGGTGAGATGTGTGATTGCAGTGTCTGAAACAAGAAGAGGGGGGGGGGGGGAGCAGGGGCAAGGGTGGAGGTAGGGGGTGGTAGAGGGAGGTAGGGGTGGTAGGAATGGATATGGGGTGGTAGGGAGTTGTGGGGGTGGTAGGAGGTGGTAGGAGGCGGTAGGGGGTGGTAGGCGGGCGGTAGGGGGAAGTAGGTGATAGGAGGTGGTAGGGGGTGGATGGAGGCGGTAGGAGGTTGTAGGTGGTAGGAGGCAGTAGGAGGTGGTAGGGGGGCGGTAGGGGGTGGTAGGGAGTTGTGGGGGTGGTAGGAGGTGGTAGGAAGCGGTAGGGGGTGGTAGGAGGTGGTAGGAGGTGGTAGGAGGCGGTAGGAGGTGGAAGGGGGTGGTAGGAGCACCTCAAGCTCGCCCAGGTAGGCGGCGATGGCGGCCGGTGCGGCCTCGGGGGGCCCCACGAGCAGCGGCTGAGTCCGCGCGACAAAGGCCTGGAGCGCGGCCAGGCCGTCGGCGTACTCCTGCCGCAGCCGGTCCACCTCGTCGGCCCGCGCGTACTGCACAGAGCAGCCGGCAGCCCAGCGTCAGCGTCAGCATTACTCCTATTCCCAGCGATGCTAGTGCTACCGATTCCTAACGACGTCAGTGTTATTCCTATCAGAGCGATGCATGCATTACTGTTAATGTTAGTGATGTTACCGTTGCACTCATTCCTAGTGTTTTTATTAATGACGCTATTGCTACGGATGATGCTCGAAGTCAAGGTTTTTCCACGCTCAGAAGCGCATTCAGCAGTGGCCGTCTCTGTTGGTGGCTCTGAGCCAGTGGTGTAAATTCCTCATTCTCATGGCGGGGAAAGAATTTTCAAAGGGTAGTTACTTTGTTGATGCCATAATTATGACTCTATTGCTGCTACTGTTGTTGTTGTTATTAGAGTTGTTTTCATGTATTTTTGAAGCAGATTTGCAATATATTTTAAAACGTTAAATTCTACGTAACTTTCTCCTTCACTATTGCCACAAAGCCACAAAGCTATTTGGAAGATCACTTGATTTTCTTCTTTCACTCTTCGTTCTTCACGACGCTTTCAGCCGAACATTTTTGCCCGCATGACGGTGAGGCCCAACGAAAACGATGGGCCCCCCCCCCCCCGCCCTTCCCCTACAGAACACTTGTGTGACCGCACGCCCGGTGTGCCGAGGTGCGGGCCGCTCACTTGCTTGACCCTGTCGAAGAGCTCACGCCAGCGGCCGTTGAGCAGCAGCAGCTGCTGCTTGAGCTCGCGGGAGACGGGCGACTCGCACGCCTCGATCAGGAAGTTGCCGGCCTCGTTCATCGCCGTGTGCTGCTGCATCCACTGCGGCAGGTCACGGAAAAACTCCTGCGGCAGAAAGGGTCGGCCGCGGTCACACTCTGATCGGCCTGTTAGAGATGGCTAGTTGGCTCAGGGGTCAGACCACTGAGCCAGGACTAATTAGATCCTGGGTCAGAATTCAGGCAGCCAGCGATATTTAAACCGGGTTCTCAAGTGTAGCGAGTTGGTGGTCTCAGCCTGGTCACCAATGACTGTGCACAACAACAAAAATCGACACTTTTTTTCACTCAATTACGTTACAAGTCAGGTTCAATAATTTAGAAATGTTGTTTAACCGCAATGCGATGAACATTTTTCTTGTGTGTGGACAGAATAGGTCACTTAAAAGTATCTCAAAATATATGTATTATTATGTGTTCTGTGATATCTCCTTTCATGTGCCGTTCTCTAACACGCAATAATGCATTGCTCTGGAAGAGTTCTTAAGTGACATCTGCATCTCTTTCATGAGGTGCAAACCATCAGGCAAATCACTGATGACTGCCCAATACATGTGTATTCTGGAGGAACAAGCAGACTCCAACAGCTACCACCAGGGATTGCTGTGGAATGGCTGACATTATTAAAATACAATTGTAACCATACGGAAGAAGATATCACTGTTGTTATACAATTGGAAACAGATTATTTAAAAATCGTATATTTGTGGGTTTGTACAAAGTAGCCTCGATGACACTGTTGGCCCACTGATAAAACGACATGCACATGCAGAATCTTTCGCCCATGCCTGAGACAAAGGCCTCCCAGCCACTCCGACGACATACCCTCTGCGCCGCATCCGACTGGTGCGTCATGCATTCCCCGTTCTCCAGCCAGGCCTGCAGGCTCTCCACGGTGCTGGAGTAGATGCCCCAGCGCAGCAGCACCTCCTCCAGCATGCTGCGCGCTCCACGCAGCTCCACCGTCAGCCCGCGCCCCTGCTGCGACACCTCGGCAAGGAACCGCCGCGCGCCATCGCGCTCCTCCTCTGCAGAGCACACCGGCAACCATGGCACCGTCAGCTGAGAGACTGCACATCAGCCGCTCGTCGACTCCTTAAACTCACGGCCGTTTGCATGTATGTAGGTTGAACTTCTTTCGAACTGTACGTAGCCAACCGTGCTAATTGGAGGTGCGAGGGAAGGACAACAAACTAAACACAAAAAGCAGTTTTAAAGAAATTAATTTTCAATCTACATTTAAAATTGCATAGCTCCAGTTGCTTCCTAATATCTGAAGAAAGAGCGTTCCAGACGGCCGCAAAAGCGCACCCGAAAGCGTGCGTTGCAGTGACCATTTTTTTGTCAAGTCACTTCCCCCGTCGAACAGCTCTCCATGCCGTGCCGGTCGTGATGATTGCCTGACCACACTTCACCATTCTGGTCAAAGTGCATTGGCCATGGCTGGGAATCGGACTACGATCACCGGGCACATAGGAGAGTGCCCTCCACCCACTCCGCTTCTACTGTTGCTGATTGTCATTTGTGGGTCACTCTCATTGCCTCTTGCGAGTTTTATCCATCGTCGGTTTATCAGTCACCACACACTAATTCAAACACAATAGGCAGTGATCAGGTTTGTGCTATTACAACGAATAATAAGTATAACCCGTAAAAACAAAGTTTTTCACTATAAATCCTTTATATGCGTGGCAGCGAACTTAATATAAAGGATTTAAAAATATATTCGCCTGTGGAGGACGCGGGGATCGATCCCGCGACCTTTGGCATGGGAAGCGAGGGCGCTACCAACTGCGCTACTCCGCCACGGCCTGTGGAGGGGTTACGCTCTGGGCTCTTATACTGTGACGTTCAGCCAAAGCCAAGAATGAGTTCTTTTGAATATATGTAAAATATTTTTTTTTGCCTAAAAAGTGTAAAATTTTGGGAATTTTTTTCACGAACATTAATTGTCTGGCACAACGAGTCTGTGTGGAAAATGTCAGCTCGATTGGATCACGGGAAGTGGGTTAAAAAACGACCGAAATATTTGCACGGTCCTAAGCAAGCAAGCACGCAAGCAAGCGAACTTAATATAAAGGATTTAAAAATGCACAGTGACTGTGTCCTCAAATGTTTTAATCAGTATGATTGCCACCGATCGTCTTCAGCGGTTAAAGCGGGTTCCACAGATTTCTGCATGGACTGCCACTTACGAACTTCCGCCACGGTTTTCAGTTTGTCAGGATTGAAAACAGAGATTCCCTAAGAGGGAGGGATGCCAGCAGCTCTATCTGACCGGACAATACAAAGCCAGCGATGTGCGCTGCTGCTCAATGATAAGAGCAACTCGGGTGTCAAACTTACGTGCAACGTTTGTTTTCAAGTAAACTTCGGTGCACTTTGTGAGGTTCTGATGCGCCGCTTCATACTGCTCAAAAAATGCTTTTCCTTCGATGAAGTCCTGCCGAGATCAATACAATAGATCACACACTGAATTCAGTCACAAAAACAACGAATTATTTCTGTTCTTTTATTAAAAAAACTATTAAAACAACGTATTATGTATGAAATAATTATTTATAGTATAGATAACTACAGGTATTTATTTGTATTGCAGCCTGGAATTGAAAATGGATTTAGTATGGCTCTCTGATGACCATTTACCAGGGTGAGGCATGCATTAGTGGCCGAGGTGATCTGAAACCAGCGGCATAGCAGTCAAGTGCGCATGCGTGTCCCTCACAATGTAGTTGTGCAGCAGCATCTCGACGGCCTCCCTGCGGCCATACTTGATGGTCCAGGCCTTGAGCCGAGCCTCTGCTAGACCTGACAACTCCAGGATGTTGTGACGGCAATGCAGGTACTCGAGTCGTGGTAGCTGCCGAGACGATGTCTCCGACAGCTGAGAGAGCCTGCATGTCACACGTGACACACGTACATGTACAGCCCTTTTGTAAATACACTGCTGGATGAGGGCCTCCCCACGCTGGCCAATGCGGGCTGGTGAAGACGGGGAGCACAGATGTGTAAAAAATGTGTAAGAACGTGTTTTTTCTGGACTGCCCTCTGCTGCCAACAATATAGTATACATGTTAAGAAACAAAACAATATAAGAAATCTTAAATCAATCATTAAAAAATCCATTATTTGGAGAGAAAAAAAGTATTGAGTAAAAAATAACAAAATTTTCTGAATTTAATTGAGGTATAGGATGCTGTTAAAAATAACTTACATTTATAAGGACCAAGCAATTAATTAAATCACAAATTAAAACTGTGGCTGGGAAGTAATAGATTTGTTTAAACATAGGAGACGCGACATGTAGTGCTATTCCATGTAGAAGGAGTACCACGGTAAAAAGAGCACGTTTCGTGGCCATAGTCATGCAATACCCAGCACGGGCGTGTCTCCACGCAGGGAGACCTTCAGGAAACGGAAACTGTGCCAGGTTCAAATCACCGTGCCACACCTACTCCGCTCCAATCAGCGTGAACACAATCGCCTTCCGCTCCTTCTCCCTTCCACCTACGTGACTCCGCCAGGTCCCTAGAACATCCTACAGGGCCCATAAACAGATTTAATGGCGTGACACGTCATCATCTTCATCATCATCGTGGCAGTTCTCCCTCGCTATGGCCCTGGCTGTAACACTGGTCACTACGCAGTGAGCAGCTCTTACGTGCCAAAGGAACTGGCCAAAGTGGAGTCGTACCAATTTCTCCAATAGAGACACTTGGTGTGTGATTACGTCAGAATGTTTAATATGAGGTGGTCAGGAGGTAACAGTACATAGATGGCAGTACAATGGTTTCTTGAAAGCATCTGTGTCCTTGTGTGAGTGTTACTCCCTCATGTGCGCTGGTATTCTCCACGTACTCCAGTTTGCTCCAATATGCCAAACACTGAAAGAGTTTTGAGCCTCAATGAGGCTTTCCTGGCTACATAAAGGACGTTGTTATTATTCCCAAGTCAATAAAGGGTGTGTTGGGAGGAAGCACCGTGCAGTCAGGTCGTCGAGCTGCTCAGTTGACACGTCCAGCCCCTGCGCCCCGGTCCTCCGCAGCTTCTCCACCAAGTGCCGGTGTCGCTCCAGATCGAGGGAAATCTCCTGCACCCAGCGCAAGCGACGAGCGTCTCTCCTCCCGCCGCCACGAGCACAAAAAACCACCGCAAGTTTACCCAGGGACCATGCGAGCCCGGTTTGCGTGGCGCCGCGGCACAACTCACCCGGTGGATCTCCAGCTGCCGGCGCACGAGCCCCACCGCCTCCTCGCCCCCGTCGCGCCCGGGCGACGCCCCCTGGCCCAGCGCCGTCTCGACGCGGTGCAGCCACACGCCGACTTCAGCCAGGGGCGGCGGCAGCGCTCCGTCCAGCAGGCCCTGCCACTCCCACAGCTGCAAACGGCACCGGTAAGAGGGAATGAAGGGTCACGGTGAGGAAGCACGCCAATCTAATTCCCAATTCTCCCCACACCAATGAATCGATCTGGAGTTAATAATGGAGGCGACGGATATCATGAAAACTGCTTTAACCAATAATAAACAGAAAGGAATGAATTTCCACATCCTATCCAACAAGCCAAAAAGCAATGATAGTCATCTGTTTTTCCATACAAAAATCAGGAGACCGGCCACACAGACACAAAGTATTCCAAGACAAGACTTAACCCTTTCTTCAGCGCATGTGCTGATCGAGTGCACGAGAGAAAGTAGTGGACAAGAGAGGAAGATTTCACCACTCGCCTTTGCCGAGAGGAGGTCCCAATCTTTCTTCGCGGTCGACTGCTCCACTGAGAGTTTCCCGTTCCCCTTCAGGGGCTGCAACATCAACACCACTGTGCTTTTCCTGTCCTCGTATGGAACTTTGATTCGCCGGAAAGCCTGCCATAATAACAATCAGCAAAGCCATGGTAAGAGCACAACGGTGATAAGAATCCACTTCATCCTATTCAGCACTAAGGGTTACATCTGTAAACCCAACTCAACCCAGGTTAATCCAGTAAATCCCAGCGAAAGACAAACTCAACCAAGTCAAACTCACACAAAGTTACTCAAATCCACCGAAACCCAAGCAAAGCCAGCTCCCACCTGGTAATGTTCCTTGAGGGACTCAGGGGTTGCTTGCAAGCTCACATCCTTGATGGCTTGGTTTAGCCATGCCTGCAGCTCCATGAACTTTATCCTGTCTTCTCTCTGCATCAAGTAACAGCAGCAGCAACGATAAATTACTGCGTTGTTGGAAACTGCCGCTGTTGAAATATTGTGGGGTCAGTATCCCTTCCAAGTGTATCTATGGTGAGTTAGACGTAACGAGAAAGAATGCTAATGCTGGGAATTAGGTCAGAGCCAACTTGACAACACTCTCTATGGGCACGGTGCCTTGAATGTGTAATGCGGTTGTAAACGGCCCTTCTGAGGTGCCGTCAGGGGGGGAGGAGTTAGGTCACGTGGGGGGAGAGGGGTTGAGTATAAAAGGAGGGGAACCGGAAGAGCAGGGGGAGTGACTGGGAGCCAGGAACAGAGGAAGGCCACGTAGGGCGAAGCGGGGTGTGGCGAGATCGCCACGAACACGGGGGAAGCGAGGATCGGCACCGTTGGCCAGCGGTGACCGACCCGAAGCAGCAAGGAGGCTGCAGTCAGCAGCGGGGCTGCACAGAGAGAGTGGGCAGCGGGTCTGCATACAGTGACAGCCAGAGGGTCTGCACATAGGGGTAGCAGCAAGTCTGCAGGGAGGAGGTTACAGTAGATGAAGCAGAGAGTCAGAGGGGTGAGGAAGCTATAATAGCAGTGAATAGCCGGGGGCTACAAATACAGGAGTTATAACAGAGTGCCGTGTGGGTAAAGACGTGAACCTGAATAAAGACACGAAGACAGAAAGAAGTGTTCGAGTCCTTTTATTACACTGGAGTCAGAAGTGAAACGGCATGGCGAAACAACTGAGGAAGAAGAATATCCCATCTCCGGCGTCGGCTTCATCATCGGACGACGACGATCTTCCTCCTGAGGTCGGCTTCACTTCGGCGGAGGGAGAGATCCGTGAGGGCCCGGGTGTGGAGGAGGTTGCCGCTGCGTCCGACCCATCTGCGTTGAAGGACGAAGATTTAAGATGGACCCGGATGGCGGAGCAACTGGCGACCCTAAAAACCGTCATCACGGAGTTGTGTGACCTTGTCACGCCAAGGGTGGCGTTGGTAGGTGATGGTGGTGATCGGCAGGAGCCCGGGTCGTCTTCGATGGCGCCGCCATCGACCACGCGGCGTGAAGACGCCATCTTGGGCGTGGCGCACCACGGAAGGCGGGAAGCCGCCATTTTGGGGCCGCCACGAGGATCGTCCGCCATCTTGGAGACACCGCGTTGCGACGCCTTGCTGAACTTGCCGCCGGAAGAGTCGGTGACGGACGGAAGCAGGCCAAGGAGCCGCAGTCGTCACCTTACAACTGTTAAGGAGTTCTCCATCGGGGGCGATTGGAGTGCGTTCGCTTGTCGATTTTTGGCGGCGGTACGAACGGCAAGGTGGACGGACGCCGAGGCGCTGGAGGTGCTTCCGACTCTCCTTGACGATGAGTCTGTTCGTTTTTTTCGCTCTATAAAAGCTGCGAAGAAGAAAACATTGCGTGGAGTGTTCGACGAAATGGCGGACGCGTACGAGCCACCGGATGACGCCCATCGCCGCTTCGTGCAGCGGCAACGCGCACCGGAGGAGTCGCCTGTAGCGTACAGGGGCGCCGTGCTGGAACTCGCGATGGCCGCTTACCCGGAGACGGAGCCTGACCTGCTGGAACCTCTCATCTTGGGGAAGATGTTAGAGTTATCCCGGGATCTGGGCATTCCTATGCCGGCGTGCGGTCACGAGAAACTCACGTCCCGGACCGCGGCCAAGTGTTTGGACGCCCAGTTCAATCTCCGCCGCTGGAAACAAGTCACGGCGTGGACGGGCGGTCCTGTCGTCGATGGGGGGGCCGTAGGGTGGGACCCTACAAAGGCCGTGTACGTGCCGGATGCGACCGGCCCAAAGGAGCTGTCGGCCGCCTCCACTCCGTGGCCGGCTCGAAGCGAGCCGGGGCCGCGGGCTCCGCCGCCGGCGCGGCCACGTCGGGACGGGGTGCCTGCTGCGCGCCGACCCGACGTCGACTGTTTCCGCTGCGGCCGTCGGGGCCACTATGCCAGGGACTGCTGGGCCCGGGTTCCGGGGCCGCCCCAGCAGGAGGCCTCGATCGCGGACGTCCCAAAGAAAGACCCTCCGGCACAGGCAAGTCGGTGCGCACCAGACACCCGGCAAGGCCTGACACCTCACTCATCGCCGTTGTTGTGCGACGCGGATGTTCTAAAATATGGGAGGCCAGTATCTGCGCCTTGTCGCTCGATAACGCAGTGGCGTAAGTTGGCTCGGCGGGTTGTCGCGGCCGCTACAGGTTCGTCCACTGTACCGGGGTCGATCCAAGGGGTGGACGTGCGTATTTTGGTGGATTCCGGGGCGTCCGCGACCATTATTTCGGATGTCATATTCCATCTTTTGAACATCCCACCGGGGGCCGTGAGGCCGGCTTACGCTTCCTGCATCGCTGCGAACGGGGGTAGTATGGGCATCGTGGGACAGGTGGACGCTAATATTTCTATCGGGGGGGTCTCGGCCTCGGGCGTTGTGTTAATTTCGAGGTCCCTGGCGGTTCCTTGCTTGTTGGGCACGGATTTTTTGGCTAAGATGCCCATTTTAATTAGAATCAATGAAAATTGCATTGAACTGCCAGGGGGCCGCAAATTGGCGTTTTTACAGTCCACCTGGGGGCGACCGGCTCCGGTTGCCCAGGTGCAGGCGTTATCGGAAGTTTCAGTTGATATTCCACCTGGCTCGCAGATGCTCATTCCCCTACGATACCGGAAGCCGGTTCCGGGTCGGCAGAGTGCTTGTGGAATTTTGCTGTCGCCGTCCGCCGCTGTTACGGGCGGATTGGCACTGGTGGGGGCGCAAACCATTGTCCGTCCGGATCAGCGCCCGTTTTTGCAGGTGTTAAATGCGACTTCTGAAAGCGTGTGTGTGCCGGCTGGTACCGTTGTGGCACACGCCACTACGGCGTTTACGGCTCAGAGTGACATTCCGGACGGGGGGCTGGTGGGTGGTGTTTCACACGACGGAGGGGTGGACGATCGTTGGATCGCCGAATTATGTGCGGAAAATTCGGCCCTTTCCGCTGAGCAGCGTTGTGCGATTCATAAATTATTAGCGAGCTATTCCGATGTGTTTAGCTCGGACGATTTGGACTTGGGACGCACCTCGCTGCTCTCTCATCACATCGAAACGGGGGACGCGGCCCCTATCCGCTTGAACTCGCGTCGGATGAGTCCGGCTGAGCGTGAGCACGTTCGAGGGGCAGTGGAAGACATGTTGAAAGCGGATATTATATCTCCGTCTAATAGCCCGTGGGGTGCGCCTGTCGTGTTGGTTAAAAAGAAAGATGGTAAATTACGATTTTGTGTGGATTTTCGGAAGTTAAATAAAGTGTCGGTGGCAGATGCGTATCCCCTGCCGCGTATGGACGATTCTCTCGACGCCTTGTCAGGGGCTAAGTTTTTTTCAACGCTAGATCTCTCTTCGGGCTTCTGGCAGCTTCCCCTTGACGAGCCCTCGCGGGAAAAGACAGCGTTCCGTACGCCGCAGGGGTTGTTCCAATTTAACTGTCTGCCGATGGGGTTGAATGCAGCCCCTGCCACCTTTCAGAGATTGATGGAGTTGGTATTGACGGGGTTGCAGTGGGAGACATGTCTCATTTATTTAGATGATATTATTGTCTTCAGCCGCACATTTGATGAGCATTTATTGCGGTTGGAGGCCGTTTTTGCCAGAATGCGTTCTGCTAATTTGAAATTCAAGCCTAAGAAATGTCATCTACTGCAACGTTCCGTTCGATACTTGGGACATATTGTTAGTGCGGACGGGGTGGCCACGGATCCAGAGAAAACTGCGTGTGTCCGGGATTGGGCAACCCCCGCCACGGTGGGTGATGTGCGTCGGTTTTTGGGGTTCGCCTCATATTACCGGAGGTTTGTTCCGAATTTCGCTACTATCGCCAGGCCTTTGCATCTCCTTACTGGGAAGGGGCACAAATTTGTGTGGGGACCGCCGGAGGAGGCGGCGTTTCGGAGCCTGCGCGACCTACTGGCTACTGCGCCGACGTTGGATTATCCGGATTTTGAACATCCCTTCATTCTGGATACTGATGCGAGTGACACCGGGATTGGGGCGGTGTTGTCCCAGTCAAAAGGTGGTGTTGAGCGTGTGGTGGCGTACGGGAGTCGGGTTTTGTCTCCCGCGGAAACTCGTTACTGCGTCACTCGCAGGGAACTTTTGGCTATTGTGTATTTTCTCCGCCAATTTCGACCGTATCTGTACGGTCGGTCGTTTATTGTCCGAACGGACCATGCGGCCTTGCAGTACGCTCTTAAGATGGACCAGCCATCCGGACAATTGGCGAGATGGCTGGACACGTTGCAAGAATTCTCCTTCCAAATTCACCATCGGAAGGGTGTGCGTCACGCTAACGCGGACGCACTGTCCAGGTTGCCGCAACAATCCCCTTGTGCGTGTGCGTCGGGGACGCATAGGTGTGGACCGGCTCAGCCCCCCCCTCAGCCTGTCGCGCGGGCAGTGGATGTTCTCGAACCTCCGCTTACACCGGGACCGGTTGAAGGGGGACCGGCTGACGGGATTTTGCGTCTTCCAAGGTCTGTGTGGATTCGGGAGCAAATGTTGGACGATTCTTTGGTGTCGTTACGGAAACGAACGGAGAAGGCGGGTAAGGAAGTCGGTGCGGGTGGTAATTCGGAAACTGCTCTCCGAGATGGGTTACTGATGTGGAGGGAAGGGATACAGGAACACTGGCGTCTCGTTGTGCCTGCGTCATTGCGCTATGAGTTGATTAGATCTTTGCACTGTGACACACTTTTACACCTGGGGGTGCAGAAAACCCTATTGACGCTGCAACGAGACTATTATTGGCACGGCATGACGACGGATGTCGTCGGTCACGTTCGCGCGTGTCCCGATTGTGCCCGCCGTAAGCCGCCTAAACATCCATATGTTCCGCCGATACAATCGATTAAAGTATCTCGGGTTAATGAGTTGGTGGCGTTAGATATTTTGGGACCCTTTCCGCCATCAGCTAAAGGAAATAAGTATTTACTGGTGGGGGTGGAGTACCTCTCTCGCTGGCCGATGGCCTGGCCCTTGCCTGACCAGTCAGCGGCGTCTATCACGGACGCCTTTCTATTTGGGTATGTAATGGACAAAGGGGCTCCGGAGAGGCTCCTTACGGATCAGGGACGTAACTTTTCGTCTAAATTGTTGGGGGAGGTGTGTGCGGCTCTTGGAACTAAAAAGATACGGACGTCCCCCTACCACCCGCAAACGGATGGTATGGTGGAACGGTTGAATCGGACTCTGTCCGCCATGCTGTGCCATACAGTCGGGGAAAACCAATCTGATTGGGATTTGCATATCCCTGGGGTGCTTTCGGCGTATCGCATGACGCCGCACGCGGCTACTGGATACTCGCCGTTTTTCCTTATGTACGGCCGTGAGAACGTGCCGCCGATTCATGACCAGTTGGGAACCGGTGCGAGGGGGCCTGTTAAGCCTCTTCCTGAGTATATTAAGGACAACGTTCGGCGTGTCGCTGAGGCGAGGGAAAATGCCCGCATGGCTACTGCCAAGGCTCAGGCCAGGAATGAGCGGTGTGCCCGACGTTCAAAGGGGGAGTGTCCCTGGAAAAAGGGGGACCTGGCCTGGCTTCATTGCCCACAGGTGCGGCCAGGTACATCTCCTAAATTACATCGACCTTGGCAGGGTCCGGTCCGCCTCATTGAGGTTCCCAACCCACAGTCGGCGCGTGTTCAGGTTGGTGCACGGCGTTGGTTCGTGCACACGTCCCGGTTGAAGCCATACATTGCCCCACGGCCGGATGCGTCATCTCCCCAAGTTGCCTTGCCGGGGTCTGTTGCTGCCGACTCGCCCTTGCCTGTGTCTGCTGACCTTGCGAGAGCGCCTGTCGTACCCTTCACAGACAAGCCGGCCGTGACAGCGCAGGGAGGAGGACCTTCCGCTTGTGGGACGCCGACCGGAGCCGCAGAACCCACGGGACCTGCAGCTCTTCCTATCCCTCCGCGGACGCGAGTACGGGATGTTTCTGGACGCGAGCGGGACAGTGGCGGGCCTCCAATGGCGACGGAAGAACTTGCGCCCGTCGCCCCTAAAACCCTTCCACGTTCCCGCTCGGCGGGTGGGCCGCCGACCGTCCGGGACGGCCCGGCTATCCGTACTCGCTCGAAATCCCTCACGTTTCGTTAGATTGTGTTGTGTTGTGTTATTGTTATAATGTTCTTCAATGCTTCGTGTCTTTTTGCGTGTTGGCCCTTTACACCCGCATTGCTTTTCAGGTTGCAATTCAGCCGAGGTCGGCTGGATTTTCTTTAGGGGGGAGGGTGATGTAATGCGGTTGTAAACGGCCCTTCTGAGGTGCCGTCAGGGGGGGAGGAGTTAGGTCACGTGGGGGGAGAGGGGTTGAGTATAAAAGGAGGGGAACCGGAAGAGCAGGGGGAGTGACTGGGAGCCAGGAACAGAGGAAGGCCACGTAGGGCGAAGCGGGGTGTGGCGAGATCGCCACGAACACGGGGGAAGCGAGGATCGGCACCGTTGGCCAGCGGTGACCGACCCGAAGCAGCAAGGAGGCTGCAGTCAGCAGCGGGGCTGCACAGAGAGAGTGGGCAGCGGGTCTGCATACAGTGACAGCCAGAGGGTCTGCACATAGGGGTAGCAGCAAGTCTGCAGGGAGGAGGTTACAGTAGATGAAGCAGAGAGTCAGAGGGGTGAGGAAGCTATAATAGCAGTGAATAGCCGGGGGCTACAAATACAGGAGTTATAACAGAGTGCCGTGTGGGTAAAGACGTGAACCTGAATAAAGACACGAAGACAGAAAGAAGTGTTCGAGTCCTTTTATTACAAATGTGCTCTTATCATTGCACTTCAAACGGCAATTAAAGTGTGAAAACGATCACATGCCTCTGTGCCAGCAATCAAATTAAAAATTAAACCGGTGCCATGCAATCAATGTCACAACATAGTTAGTGTCATATGCAAACTCGGAAAAAAAAGTTACAAACTCCACACTGCACAAGAAACGTCATTAGGGGGGCTGGAACAAGTGTAACACAGCAGACGGCAGCTTGTTAGCAGCAGCAGTCTGCACCACAGTAGCAGCGAGCGGACAACCCAGGCCTTACCTGCAGCTTAGGAACAGACAGAGCAAAGGTAGGGATGGTTGACAGGGACACCTGACAAGAGTGGTACACAATGTTGTCGTATTACCCATCACGATGACAACTCGGAGGAACAGCATCTCGAATGCAACACGAAGAGCGAGCACGTTGTAGACAACACGCAAAAGAAAAAGAGAAAGGTTTGACAGTGAGCTGCGGGACACTCGATAGGGAATGGAGGATGGTGAGATGAACACACTTCACTCAGGGACAACGGAGGTCGGGGGACATGGGGATCGTGGGGGACGTGGGGGACGTGGGGGACGTGGGGGACGTGGGGGACGTGGGGGGTGGGGCTCTGTGCTGTACCTCGTCGCCGAGAAAGTTCCCCTCAGACTCGGCCGCGTTGGGGTAGTGCTTGAGGAACTGCGCCACGTACGTCATGATGATCTTCTCGTCCGGCTTGTCCACGTCCACGTCTACCGCGGCGGGGCAGACAGACGGGGAGGTTGCGCGCGTGCATCACTCGCACACAAACGGCAGCGACTGCCCAAGGAACCAGTAGAAGGTGCTGAGTGATGCCAGATGTTTGTCGTTTTGTTATTTAGCAATGATTTGTCTTTTCTATGGAAAGACTGGTTTCTGTATAATTTCCACCAACGGCTCAGATCCGTCAACAGAGATGAGCACCAGCTACATTCAGGTCAACACAGATCTCTTCTACAATACTTACATTTATATGGCGGTGTTTAAATGTGACTGCATCTCAAGATGTATGTGAGTATGTTGAATTTCTTTCGCACTGTGCGTAGCCAACCGTGCTAACAGTGGGAGTATATATTTGGTAAAGGTGGCAATTCATAAGCCTAGGCATGACAGAATTAATTATTAAGTTAACTATGTATAGTGTGTTATTAATATATAGGTGGCGGCGGTGCCGCAACCAGGACATCACCTATGGGATCCAGCAGGCGAGGAATCCCAAGCTTTTCCTCAGCAACGATGAAGGCCTCCTCGAGATTGTCGTGGTTGGACCTCTGCGTGACTTTCTCGAGGTTCACCAGCTCTGGCTGAATGGCGCGGATCATCATGTGGAAGGCGATGCCCGTGCGCCAGCTGGCACCGAAGTCGCGAATCTCGGTGCCCCCCACTCGACTTTCCAGACGAAAGGAGCCAACGAAGGGCAGCGACGCAGAGCAGAGGTGACGGGCCGGTGACAGGGGAAGGGGGAGCCAGGTGAGGATGACAGCCCATCGTCAGTCACGCAGCAAACTCAAAACAAGACTCGCACTCGCTCCATGAGCATGAGCGTCTGCTGTCAGGGACGAGTCGCACACTTAAGCCTCCGCGCCGAATGCCCCGCAACACAATCTCCCACTTCCATTCCCCACGCACCCATCAAGCAGCCCACGCTACCGAATGTATGGATGGGGTTTTTCACGCTTGCACTGTCCACAAGCGGCAGTGCGGCAGCACAGCGCGGGAGATGGGCAGCCACGGCAGGCGAGCACTGCCCCTGCCATCTGCACTGGCACTCGCGCCGCGCTCTCTCCTGCAACACTCTCAGCGTCTCCCTATGCTCGCAGTCTCCAAGTGTCTCCTAGACTCCTAGGAGGAGCATTGCAGTGGCGCACGCACGCCCACGCGCACTGTCCCTCACTCCTCTTGCATGCCGAGGCGGCTGCCTTCATGTCTCCCGGCGCTCTGCCTCCCGCCGAGCCCATGGCTGCAGTGGCGGCTGTTTTACAAGTCACGTGATTGATGCCCAACGCGTCTTCTCGAGTGCCCCTATGGCAGCACAGTCGTTGCAACAGTCGGGCTCTTGACTGTAATAGGGCCAGTAACAGCCTCCGCAATCGAATACAATTTTTTATAACTAACACGTTTCAATCGAGTCTATTTTTAAAAGCGTGCAGCTGTTGTTCAGGTGAAATACATTTTTTGCTAGTAAATTATAGAAGGATATTAACAGTTGTTTTGCATTTCATTGAGCCGTTTGTAAAATCAAACATGGCAAAAAAAAAACGAAAATTATTCTCGTTAAATATTAATGTTTAAAAAATACAATACCATTTCAGTACTCCACGTCTCTGCTTCCACGTCTACGCTCACCGCCTTCACCAACCCGCAGTTACCACCGTGGTGAACTATGGCCAAATAACCCCCACGACCCATACAGGCGTGGGGAGGCCCTTATCCAGCAGTGGAATAACAAACGAGCCATACTTAGACAATCAGTACATTTCGATTTAAAGCTTTCGTGACTGCAGGGATTCATCTTCTTGGTTCTTTCGGTAAAGTCACGTAGAAAGGAAATAATAAAATAATAAAATAATTCTCACGACGTTTCGGCCACAACGCAAGCAGCCGTCCTCAGGTGAAGAACAGGTCTGTCGGAAAGACAGCGTCCGACAGACCTGTTCTTCACCTGAGGACGGCTGCTTGCGTTGTGGCCGAAACGTCGTGAGAATTATTTTATTATGTTTTATTTTTATTATTTTATTATTTCCCTTCTACGTGACTTTACCGAAAGAACCAAGAAGATGAATCAGTACATTATTTCGATTCACGTGAATATTCAGTAATTTCAATGTCTTTCTTCACAAGATAAACAACATCTGTGTCCATGTTTGTATTTAATCGCCGACGCGGCTCAGTTATATTCGTTTGTTCTCCTTTCTTGTGTTTAGTTTGTTGTCTTTCCCCCGCACCTCTGATAAGCATGGTTGGCTGTGTACGGTGCGAAAGAAGTTCAATATACATACATACAAACATAAAGACATGCATCTCTGATTCTTACATACTTAATCTCTCTCGCCTTCAGCACATCTCTCCAGAGGCACGCAAACTTCCTCTCCACCATCTCCCATCTCGACAGATGGCCCAGTTCCAAAACCTCCGTTCCAATATGGTTTCCACGGCTCACCGAAGCCCACAGTCCGCAGGGCCTTTCCTCTCTCACCTGGGAACGACCAGCTGCACCCACTTGAGCAGCGCTTTCTTGGCGGTGCTACGCATGGGAGTTTGGCGGCGCTTGCGCTGCGGGCTGCCGGTGGAGGACCCCTCCATGCTGCTCAGCGACGTTTCGCTGCTCCACGGCGAGATGGGCAGCAGGTTGTTTGTCGCTTCTTCGATCTGCTCACACACGCGTCCGCACATTGGGGGAACAGCAAGCGGGCATCATACGCGCTTCCGACGACGATATTGTCCAGCTGCTTCAGCAGGGCGTGGAGAAGCTATGGCCTGCGACTTCATTTCATATGACCTGCGATTTCATTTCATACGGCCTGCTACCACGTGAGGTTCTACCACTTCGAAACGGCGCGTAAACGTTTGTTATCCATCACTGCAAGCATCTTAGCTACACTAATCGGGTACAAGTGGGGAATATTTAATTCAAGCGCAAGAGCCTTGCAGTGACAAGTTTGGGTTAATGCGCGGCCATCGAAATGTATTAATATCATGATTGTTTTATCCAGGAAAAGCTCACTGAGGCTCATGACTCTTTTTCAGGAAGTTCCTGCCCAGTTTCTGCAGTAGGGGGCGCTAATTGTTACGTAAATTCCCAATTGAGTAATTTGCAGGTGAATTGTCAATTTCGGGAAATTTGGACCAAAATACCAGCACAAAATGGCATATTCTGCCGAATAATGTCCTGTAATCTTTAATGTCCACTTGTGAAGCAGACGGTGCGTATTTTATGGTTGATACACCCGGAGCAATAACCAGGGCGGCAGCTGGATTCGAACCACGAGCCTCTGCAAAAAGTGACAAATGCACTACCAAACGGTCCGCTCCCCGTGTTTCAGCAACAGCACAAGCAAGAGTTGAGTGTTAAATGGGTCTGCCACAGATTACATTGCGGGTCATCCCACAAAGAGAACAGCAAGAGAGTAACAAGCATTTTACATACATGCCATTGTATAACGAAGCACATGGTTTACACATTTGAGACACTGTGGTTGTTTGCGCATGAACCTGGCAGTCTGGCGCTTTGAAAGATATTTGTTGAAAAATTCAAGCAAGAGAAGTGGTTTTCTGTGAAGAACACTGCTGGTAAACCACTCAAACCATCACTAAGTGACTTGCAGTGCTGCTAGTGAACGAACCTGGAAGTAGAGGATGATGGTCCATATCAAACCCAGCACGATGGACGGCTTTCCGTCGGCAATGTATGGGGCATTTATGTTCACAAGTTTGATCTGAAGGAAACACAAAATTTCATATGTTATGGTGTGTTTTATTACAGTTCTAAATAAACTGATTTCTCAATGCACAGCCAAAAGTGAATGTTGGTAGCTCTTTTTGAAAAGCAAGCCTCCTGATGAGCATGATGATTTTTTTTGGCACTCATAACCTCATTCTTAAGCACATTTATGAGAGAAAAACACAATGGTGCTCAGTGGAAAAATACGGCGTCAGGGTGAAATGATGATTCCACAAAAAAAGACAATCGGAGGATTTCCTTGCCCATGACGTGCTGTCAAAGAGTAAAGTTAGCAGCCGCACTCCCATGCTATCGAATTAGGCACACCGGAGAGTGTGGAGCTCTCGAATGGTGACAGAAAACGTAATTGTGCAGCATGGTAACTGTCGGTGGCAAATGAAAAACACTGCTGATATCTCCACCTTGCGATCTTATCTTCAAATGTCACTGCACTACGAGTCATATTCACAGTTTTGTCCTTGTTTACTCTCCCTGAGTGTCTCGTGTTTATTTTAGTAGATTCCTACATTGGGATGTTTGGCAAAACATCCATGATTTGGTGTTTGGCATGCAGGAATGATTTCGAGTATTTGGAGAAAACCCAAACACAGGGGGTAACAGTCAAAGGTTACACGGAAATAGTTTCAGGAATACATCGCTATACTGATATCTTTTGGCTACCTCACAGCCAACACTAGATTAATCTTAGGCAGCTTCCCATCCCAATGCTAACCAGATTCAAATCCTGCTTAGCCTCTGATATTTATCGAGATCGGGTGCATTCAGGGCACTTTTGTTGTCGGCAAAATGTAAACTTTATAAATTTACCTGGACACATTGCGATGCCGGACACCACCATGCAGCACTCTAATCACGGCCTCACACACTGCTTCCGTATGTTGTTGCTTTGAAGTAAGGTTATGGACACCGACAATCTGCTCCACCTGAATTTCTACTGACAATGGGCAACAGTGCGGCTGCTGACTTTGGCACTGCTTTTGACCCAGCCACTGCGATGGGAAAATGCCTGAATGCGGCACGGACACAGCGTGGAACGATGCGGCGCACGCGAATCCCCCAAAAACACAATGGCGTCTATCTCGGGGACAACGCAACGACACACAACGGTGACCTCTGAGCACTGTACCGGAGAGTCGCCGTGTCGTGTCTGCAGCGGGGAGCGGCGAACGGGGAACACGACAACAACACTTTAGAACTGCAATTATCGCAAAGGGCAACTTCCCACATGTCTGGGATACTATACTGCTGTCCAGAGCTACACATTCGCGTTAACCTAGTTCACTTTAAACAAAGCACGTGGGATACGTGTGGCGGCGCAACGGACAATTGCGTAAATGTCCTGTATATTATATGTCGACTTGTATATTTTCCAATTAATGCACGTGAAGCGGGTTACACATGAGAGCATATTCTAAAGTTGGACGATTTAACTTTCTCCCACTGTTGGATTTGGTCTTCGGTGAGCTCAAGATTAATAGCATTGCACCAACAACACAAGAGGCCACTGCTTTCACGCGACGCCGGGAGCCTTGCGAACAATCCCCACTGTGATGGGGGGGTGGGGGGCCCCGCGAGACCCCCGATGGGTGGATGAGACTCACCCGCCGCGCCTCCATGAACTTCAGGGCGGTGCCGATGTTGCTCAGGGCGTGGATGCGCTTCAGCTGCCGTCCCTGCTCGTAAGGCTGCAAAGGCAACGGCCGAGACAAAGCAAATCCTGGCTTTAGGCCACGTAAAATAATCAGGCGTACGCGGAGGAAAAATACAATCGCTGCCATTTAATGTGTTGCCATGTGCTCGGTAGCGACATTATACACGCACGTTTGAGCAACAAATGATTATTTATTCACTTGTGTCACAAAATCACGAGAACAACGAGCTCCGTGAGAAGAGCAGCCTTGAATGTGCGGCTATTCGTTTATTTGTTGAGCAGCCCAGGAATGGAGCCACGTGAGAGAGGAGAGAGAAGAGTGAGATGTTTTACCAGGCGCTCTCCAGTCAGCACCTCCAGCAGAGCGATGAGCCTCACGCCATCCCTGAGATCCTTGAAGAGGTCATCGACCACCAGCGGGGGCTTGTGCTGAACAAACAAAGACAAAGATCCCCCGAATAGCCTTTAGAAAATTGTCGGGGCAAGTGTTGTTAACAAGCACACAGTGTCCGGCTGCTTTTGTCCCCGAGTGCTCATGTTTATACTCCAGTTACTTATTTAAGGCTGAGTCTATTAAGCAAAGACCCAGGACCAGATCAGAAATTTGTCACCAATAGTGACAATGAGTGGGTATCAAACTTGTGCGTCTGGGTTCATAGCGTGGTACGCTAACCTCTACGTCACAATTAATGCACGTAGACGCACACACTGAACACGCTTTCCAAAATGTACACAATGCTCTTTTTGTCAATGGTGTAGCACTTTCAAAAGCCTATCACAAACTATTTAAATGTTGTGCATTGGCCCTTTCAGTGTGAGGCTTAAGCCAATGGTGTTTAGTTGACAGTACCATACACACCACATACATCGTTTGCATCTTATTTAAATGCATAACTTAGAAAATGGCAATGTTTGTGTTTTTTGTAGGGACAAATTCCTTATTTGTCATGTATTAATATCTATTTCAAATGCTTAAACACAAGTCAAGAAGTATCCAGCCAACCATATCTTTCCAATTCAGTAAATACAAAGTGCGCCGACAGCTCTCGAGACCCAGGGATCAATGGATCTAAAGAACGTTTCAGACGCACGTTACAAATTCCAGCCTATATCAACGGAGCAAAATCCACAATGCTACCTTCATAGTATATTTGTACACATTTGTGTTACCGACAACCCAAGTAAGCAAAGCTACTTTTGCTTTTCACACCGTACTTTGCCGCTAAAAAACTGCTCGACAAACGCTCCCTACCCCCCACTGCGGTAGAACAAAAGTGTTGGGCTTGGCTTGGGCCTGGTGCTGCAAGACTCCGCGTTGTGTTTGACGTGGTCTCCAAGCGACTGCCAAAACAAGAGCAGTGGATGGGCGCACTGGCCAACCGAACCACAGCCCAGAAGGCTCCCACCACCACCGCCGCATGCTCCCCACTCGTTTACTCATTCACTCGCTCGTTACAGCTGCATTCCACACGGCATAGCCCGCCGACCGCGTTCAAGCTACGTTCTCCGCGGATGAAGCTGATATTTCGAATGACTTACTTTTCAAGCGATTGAAATGAAACTACCGCAAAGCCTGGCGATTATCTGTTGTATCGATTTATAGAAAGGGAATGCTGTACAAGTAAATCACCGTGTAAAGTTCACAAGATCGGCAGTTTCTCAACTTAACTGAATGTACCAATTCCGCGACGCAAAATCACAACTCCTGGCAAGGAGCAAATCTCCGCTAGACAGAGTGGAATATATAGCCAACAGCGGTGCACACCTCACCAGAGCCAAATGGGAGTTGATCCATTTTGTGAATGTCCTCTTCTGTACCGCTTCTTGTTCATCTGAAGAAAATAAACACAAATTTCCCAGTTAAGATGCAGTGTTCTGAAGAAGAAATGCAGCATGCCTGTGAAAAAGTTAACTTTAAGCACCACATCACAAAGGTCACGAAATCTAATTTCATCAGTATTTCAATGCAAACACATTTTAGCATGCAGATACTCGTATTGGACAGCAATCTTGTGCATGCGTGGCAGTTTTGGCCACCCTTGGTCAACTTTTTTTGGCTTTTTATCAACAAAATGTATCCTGATTGTGCATTCAGCATCATGTCCTGAAACAAACAAGCCACCCACAGCAATGCAACCCTTCATGTCAGAGAATGGCCCACGGAAGCAGATTCCAAAGAACTACCTCTGAACTCTGGCCCACACATTGGGCGGCAGCACTTTCTCACTCGCTCGGCCATTGAGAGTAATGTCCGTCACGTGACAGTCAAACCAATACGTGTTAAACAAACCAATATATTTTTCAGTAACAATCAAAGCTGGGATTTAACCAAGCAAAGAAACAAATGCAGTGTGTTGGGGCTTTTTGTGTGTGTGTGTGTGCAGTAATTGGTGACCAGTCTAAATCCATCCAACTCACTATACTTGAGAACCCAGTTTAATCACAGGCGGTTGTCTGGATTCAAACCCAGCATCTCTGCGGTGTCAGCCCAACGCTCTGAACTCGGAGCCACCTGGGCATCTCCTCCTTTTTTAAAGGGTTAATTCAGGATGTTTTTTTGACAAATGTTTTATTTTCGTCTGATTTTTGGCGAGAGCATCGGCAAGATTGAGTGAAATCGCCAGCACCGTGCGTTCTGGCCATTTGGTTATGGCAAAAACATGTAACACCAAAACATTCCACAGTGTGCAAGACTGAAAATAATTACATACGCAGGCATCTATAACCACGGCATAAGTTCCACAGCGTACAACAGAGAAAAGCCATAAGTACACGGGCATATTTGTGGCAGGTATATGGCGAGACAACTGAAAGAAAATGTGTGAATCAGTGGTGTGTACTGTTCCCTACGAGCATGCGTGCTGAGCAGATGGTATGAATCAATTAAGCGTTTGACACAGCTCAATTTCCTCTGGTTAGATGAAACCTGCACAGGCAAAGTTAGGAACCGGTGAAGGACACAGTGGAAAGTTGTAAGCTCGTGCAAATTACATACGTTGTCATGAAGTTCATGCTATAAATACATGACAGTAAGCACTAAAGCCATTGGCAGTGCCTCTTGGAGCTGTGGGTCACCGGCATGCCATGAAGGCTGGCTCCAAAATAAACAAGTCACGTGTCCCTCCAGCGGTGCCACGGACAAGGTCAGTGGCACCGAGTCTGGTACTCACCGCGCAGGAACTGAAAGAATCCAGTCACCAGGTTGATGGATGTCACTTTGGGGATCTCAAAATCCTGCTTCTCAGCCATGGCAGCTCAAGGCGTGAGTCCAAAAATCAGGAGGCGTGCTTTCATGTCGTCGCCTCCTCAACGGTCGCAGATTTTTCTCATGTGTGGAACCCAACTCATTGACCACACCGTCAGCTCCTTTTCAGAGGAAAGTTTCAGCCGAGATTGTTCTCTTCGTTTTACTTAAGACTTCAACAACAGGAAATGACATCACCTAAGCGGCATCTCGTACGGGCGGCGGAGGGAAAACTGCTCTCGTATCCCGGAGCCGGAGCGCCATGCGTCGTGCGCCTGCAGCTGGTGACCGTTCGGGCAGTGCACACTCCCACCACTCTCTCTCCACTCCACTCCCCAGCCCTCCCCCTCCAAGTAATGCAGGCTACCTCCTATATCCCTAAAGCAAAAAAAAGCACTCTGCGCTGAACCAACCAATCATGGAAAAGTTGAAATTGGCACTGGCGGGAAATATGCCCGCAACTCCGAGAGCAAGTTTTGTTTCTAAACATAGCCCCAGCAGCACCGTCCACCTCTCCGCCGGAGGCCAGCCACGTGAGCAGCGCTGGGGCTACGTGGAGGCTGGCCGAGTGGCGGTGGGACAATGCGCATTGTGGCAGCCCACCGTATCAAGAGCTCGTGTCCAACACGGAGCTGTTTATGTGCCACTCACTGCCACTGCCCTGTGCAAAATCTCCCCAAACCCCTTTTATATAAACACGGCCGCGCTGTGCTTCTTGTGATGCTTTTGGGCTGTATCGTGACGAAGGGGATTTTTTTTTCTGTCGGAAGTGAAGCCGCTACACATCACCATGCAACGACTTTCAACTCCTAAAGCGTTTTGTTTTGGCGAGGAAGCGTTCATTTTTTTTACACGATCTAAACAGAACATTACACTTGTCAAAGGCCTTTCTGTGAAGCTGGGGGGTGGGGGGGGGGGAAACAATGCAACCCAAAACTAAGCCAGATGTCGGGAGAAAAGTGGAAATTTCATCAAGACGTTTTCTCACAAGTTCTGTGTTGCTCGCATTAGCCTCAGCATGCAACAAAAACCTCGTTTATTTATCACGAAGATGCCACTGGCAAGAGATGTATAACACAAATTGTTCTATTTAAAGACTGGTCCCTGCCATAGAAATGTGGAATTTTCATCGCAGATTCACAGATGAGAATGTTCCAGAGACTATCCGAGAACGGAGGAAAAAGTGTATCTCTTCTAATTTATTCGTACATAGAATGAATTGCTCAGTGCAGCAGGTAAGTCTGGTCTCTAAGGAATGAGACGTGAAATTAGTTTCCCAGATGCCTGAGGCCGGGTCGCCCTATAATGAGGTTAAAAAATGTCCTCGCACAGAATTCCTATGGACGAATACATTACACGACCAATAATGGCTTCGGACTGATCGCAGTGCTCCAAGGAAGAGGTGTTTGAATGTGGTGCTGTAGGGTAAAGGTGAGCATAACGTGTTGGCACCCAGCCTGATCGGATCTTATTTTTAGAAGAGGGGCTAATGCCATGTGGGTTGAGCACGTGGGTCTGGCTCATGATCCAAATTGAAGAAATCTCAGCGCACTCCGTAAAAATTACGGTCTTTCATGGCAATAAATACTAAGCCGTCCAGTCATAACTATACCAAATAAACACATCATTAAACTAATGCAATCAGATACAGGAGTCAGATAATATATAATTATAATGACTATATATAAATGACCCAATGTGTTTTTTGACCACCAGCAAGGACAAACCACCCCTAACCCCCGTGACCTCACTGTCAATGTCCACTGCAGGCTCCAAAAATCCCCCAACGCCAGAGGCATGAGAGCCCCTACCTCGTAACCCTCCTGACGCCGACGACGCAGCACAGACAACAGGTGGGGGCACTAAAACATTACCCTGCGGACAGTGTGTGTGAGTGTGACCTTTACATTCAGAGCGCGGACACTTGCTGTGGACGAACCACCTACTCGTCTCGCCAGCACCCCAGTGTGAGTTAGTCTATGGACCCCCCCTCCCTCCCACTTATAATTGTGAACCCGGGGTCAGAATACTCTTCTCTTAACATGATGTGATAGCCTTCTTTTGTTATTTGTTTTGGTGTAATTTCTTATTTTTGTTTTGCTCGCGAGTCGTGTTTTCATTTTCTTGGTAGTGGCTGTATATATTAATTTTACCAGGTAAGGTCCACTGAGCTATATAGCTCTTTTACTTAAGTGACCTGGTCACAAATGATAGCCCAATGAAGTGGCTTACGTGGACAATCATATCAAATACTCTAAACGCATGTTTCTCAATGTGGAGGGAAAAACCAGAGGACCTAAAGAAAAATATACACGACCATGGGGAGAACATGCAAACTCCAAATATACAGGCCTCATGTTCAGGATCGAACCCACGACCTCCTGCATACCAGGCGAGGTAGTTAACACCTCGTCACCGCAGCGCCCCCATTGTACAGCGTTAAGGGGTGCTATTAGGATGAATGATGCTTTATAAAATTAAAGTATTATTATTATTATTCGAACCCCACCACCGATGGTGGTTTATGTTAACCTCCCTCTTTAGCCGAACTAATTATGTCCCCGACGGGTCAGGATCAGAACCCAAACCATGAACCATGATTGTAGCCTGGAAGGTTAAAAAAATACAAAGTATTCTGAAAGCTGGGTCCAAATTCTTTGAGGTCAAACATACTATCTCACACCGACAGCTCCACGTTAGCGGGAGAAAGCTGGGCCCTGTGGCGATGCACTTCTCTGATGAAACGACTCAGCCGTCGGGTTGGTGGTTCATGCAGAGATCAGCAAGCGTCCGGCTGTTTTATGCGGTTTTGTGATGTGGTTGCCTTCTTCAGATCCTCTACAAATTCAAATATGGAATGGTAATTTTACTCATGTTATTCATTTATCAAGGTATTTTTTTCAGAAAGATGAATAATTTATAAAACAGTCAAACTATGAGTATCCATTCAATGTTGCCGACAGCATCACGACAAGCATACTTGAACTGATTATAGACACCACGGTGTCATTCTAAAAACTATTCTAAACTATTTTTTTTATTTTACCAGGTAAGACCCACTGAGCTATTTAGCTATTTTTCAGAAGCGACCTGGCCACAAATGATAGCTCAACGAAGTGGCTTATCATGTCAAAATTTATATCAGTCAAACACTCTAAATGCATATTTCGAAATGTGGAGGAAAAAACCAGAAGACCCGGAGAAAAATCAACGCGACTACGGGGAGAACGTGCAAACTCCAAATATACAGGCATTAGGGTCGAGATCTAACCCACGACCTCCTGTATACAAGGCGAGGCAGTTAACATGTCCCCACCATGATTGAACAATTACTGAATGAAGACCTCCCTAAGCCATCGAATAATCAATTACGGGTTGAAAAAAAACTCGATGCAAGTTGTCAAACTGCTGATTCTGACTTACATAAGCACACACGAGTCAATCAGACACATTTGATCCTAGTGGTTAAGCATATCCTTCATACCGGCCTTAGAATTCACTCTTAATCCAGTGGCAGCACCTGACGTGGGAGACGCTGAAAAGCAGATGGGGCTCTACATTGCTCTAAATCTGGGTTTCATCCACTTC